TGCTGATTTCAAAATGTTTCAACTGGGCTATAACGACAGCTTAACTATTTTACCCTTAATTTTGCCATTTGGATTTCAATGCACTAGAATTCAGTGTTCAGTCTATATAAATCTATATAATACGAATCCCATACTAGTTACATGCTGACACCCCCACCCATATGCTCCGCCAATCTGTGACATCACTCTAATCATGGCGCCGTATGCTCCACCTGTGCTGTATTTAAAGTGACACTTTAATAAACTGTCACAAATGTGACAGACTTCATACAACAAGGGGGAGTGCTTTATGTGTCTGGAGTTTTCCTTTCAAGGACCACTCCAAACACCATAACCACTACAGCTCACTGCCATTAATAGATTGTCAGCTGCCACTCTCAGTCAATCTCTGCCGTCTCCTCACTGCTTGTACAAATGATGCAACCTTAGCCGAATAGATGAGAAGAGGGAGAGAGCTGTTACTGAGGGCACAGCATTTAGCGTTAAACCATTCGTAAACAATTTAACACTTAAATGTGTGTTCCAGGGACTCTACGCACCATAACAACTTCAATAAGATTTAAGTAAACAAATTTATTAAACTTGTAATAGTTTATTGCCGGGCCCTGTTGCAGCAACAAGAAAAAAAAAACATTTGGTTGGTAAGAGCATTTTTAATGTAATTTATTTGGTTTTCTGATTGTTTTTGCCTTTTCAGGGCGCCAGATGCAAAAAATCTGATGATGTTGAGCAGAAAGGAGAGGACCTTCCGGGTATGTTAAAACATTGTGTGTGTAGTTGCTCTCTCTCTCTCTCTCAAATGTAGGCTTTAACCCGCAGGACAGCATGGTATGCCCAGCAGATTGCACTACCCCCCCGTTCCCCATACTCACGTTCCAACTAACCCAGCCCTGCTTGGCCATGTGATAGATATATTTATATTTTTTATTTATATTTATTTTTTCATTTATTTAATTCTACGTGTATATGTATGTATTATTTTTACATAATGATGTGATTTTATTAATTATAATTTGTGGAACCTGCCTGACAACTCGGGCAGAAAGTTCAGAGAATTTAATTAGCAATCCCTATATTTAACCCAGTAACTTTCCAAAACACCATAAAACCTGTACATGGGGGGCTACTGGTATACTCGTGAGACTTCACTGAACACAACATTGGAGTGTTTTTAAAACAGTAAAACGTATAATGATATCATCAGTGAATGTGTAGTTCTTGTGTGAAGAATGCAAAAGAAAATGTGAACACTAAGTTTGGCCAGAGTTTGTGACTGAGTGGCTACTAAAAAAGACTGGGCATACCCCATTTTGAGTACCCTGGGTTGTCTACTGTTGCAACTGGTATGCCATTATGGTGGTAATACTCATTCCTGGGCTGCCATATTGTCTCAAAGGCAACTTAGGCCCAGCAAACGGAAATGGGCAAGCCTTATATTGACCAGGTAACTTTCAAAAATCACTGTACCTGAGGGGTACTTTTGTACGTGGTAGACTTACAAAACAATATTATGACATTCAAAGTTTAAATGTCATGGAGAATGTGAAAAATTACAAAATAGATAATTCGTCAAAAATCTCAATCAATTTTGGAGTATAATTCCGGATATCTTTCTCTGTTGCAACAACCAGAGTGTTTGGCTGAATAATTACCTTAGAACGAATGTCCAACTTGTGATGCAAACAATCAAGGCACTCAAACATAGCCCTTTTCATTTCCTCTGGCAATGTAAGACCAGCGTCCTTTGCCTTCTATCCTGGCATTGTTTTCCGTAGCTTTACTCTCCCTCTTCTTTCCATAGAAATCTCAATTTCTACAAACGTAGTAGTAGCATAGCAGATGGCCTTCTCCACAATTTCACTGGGCTGATGTGCAAGAAACGCTTTCAAACCCTGTAGTTTCACAATGCACTTTTCAAGAGTGAGTCCCACTGTTTGCAAATACTTCTGTGTGATATTAACTTCTTCTAGAACTTCACACCAGAAAGAAAGGTAACACAAAAAAGAAAAATCACATATGACAGACAGCAACATCTGAGCCAATCCTCTTGTGTCCACATTTTCTTTGGGATTACACAGTTTTTCAAAGGCTGAAGTCAGTTTTTCAAAGTTTGCCGTCACTGGCTTCACGGCATTATAATGGGCGCTCCATCTTGTTTGGGAAAGTGTTTTCACTGTCACACCTAAATTCTCCATCAGCAATTCCAAACAATGTGTAGAAACCGAAAAAAAGGAATACACTCTCTCCAATGTTCCATAAAAGGTCACATAGGAATTAACACTTCCAAATGAGTGCACCCCACAGAGGTTCAGAGAATGGTTTGCACGTGGCATAAACAAAGCCTTGGGATTAATCTCTTTTATTTTTGCCTGAACACCACCATGAATCCCTGCCATAGTTGCAGCATTATCATAACCTTGACCACGGCAAAGACTTATGTCTTTGACATGGTCTCTCTATGACCACAAAAAGGAAGATTCTGGTGAGCCAGAAACAATGTTACATCCAAGAGGCGATGCAAAATATCCATCCATTTCCTTTTCTCTCTGTCCACTGTTGTTTGATGGACATGATCAAGGCATTTTTGTAGCTTCAATCCTGCTCCCAAGGTCTTCCATTTCTCCAAGCATGTAAGATGCTGCTCAGAAGCCTCATGATCAGACACCTTTGGGTTCAGCTTCCACCACAATTGAAACCCAGTAACAGCTGGATGCCCCTGTTACTTTGTCATCAACAGCAAAAAGTCTGCAGCAAAAAGTACACCATCCACGTTCTAAGAATGTTTTAGTCATTAGGCAGAGCCTTATAGAACCATGCAGTGGTCAGCTGTGGACTCTTCCCTTTTGATTTCTCTCCTTGCTTTTCAGCAGGACTGAATGGCCCATCTCTATTTTGGAAAGGTTCACTTCCCCTCTTAATAGGGCCCACTCTTAAAACATCTGGAACTGGAACTGGCCAAGCAGCAACATCAGAATAAACTGATAGTCAAACAGTCTCCTCTTCATCATCATCATCATCATCATCATCATCATCATCATCATCATCAGAGTCTTGCTGATGCAGGCTTCTGCTGGCATCTCCTTCATCTACATCACTTTCACTGCTTGAAGATAAAATGGTCTTCTCCAATTCTTGCGCTTTCACATATGAAGCTTCTTGAGAATACACTTCAAGCATTTCACCTCTGGATTCACCAGACTGAATGTCTTCAGCACTTTTTCCTACTGCGGTAGATGTTGAAGGTGCAACATATTTAAAAATTAATCCAGACATTGCCTCAGCTGACTTTTCTCTTGCCGTCTTAATTATTCATTGCTGAGGCCCGCTTGGTCGATTTTTTTGGTTCTAGGGTTGATTAGTGCGATATCTGTCTTATATATCCCATCTTGGCATACCATTTGTAAAAGTATTTAAAATTGGGTATGTCCAGTATGTTTTAGTAGTCACAAACCATGGGAAAAGTTTGTGTTCACATTTATTTATTTTTGCATTTTGCATTCTCACAAAAACTGCACTTTCACTGATATCAAAATTACACATTTTACTGTTTTCAAAACACTCATATTTGTGTTCAGCGATGTCCCACGAGTACAGCAGTATAATACATAAATTATATATATATATATATATATATATATATATATATAATTGTATTATTTAGTTCTAATTAAGTTTTATATTTCATTTTTATTTTAAGAGTTGAGGGTCTGCCTGACAACCCAGGCGGGTTCCCCGCAACACTCCTCACCCTGCTCCTCCATATCGGCCAGTGCAGTATAGTGCGGCCTGGCCACAAATGCGGCCGCAAAGGTGCTGCGGCGCACACTATAAGAATTGATGGGGGTTGACTCATGACACTGGCAGTCATGGCAACCCCCTAGTGAGTGCTCCCCCCCCATCCCTCCTTTAGTACGCCACTGGGTGCACTTAAAGGACCACTCTAGGCACCCAGACCACTTCAGCTTAATGAAGTGGTCTGGGTGCCAGGTCCCTCTAGGATTAACCCTTTCTCTTTATAAACATAGCAGTTTCAGAGAAACTGCTATGTTTATAATAGGGTTAATCCAGCCTCCAAATCCTCTAGTGGCTGTCTCATTGACAGCCGCTAGAGGCGTTTGCGTGATTCTCACTGTTTTGTAGATTGTAAATGCTTTCCTATGAGACCGGCTGAATGCGCATTCAGCCGAAGGGGAGGAGAGGAGGCGGAGAGGAGGAGGAGAGCTCCCCGCCCGGCGCTGGAAAAAAGGTAAGTTTAACCCCTTCCTCTCCCCAGAGCCGGGTGGGAGGGGGACCCTGAGGGTGGGGGCACCCTCAGGGCACTATAGTGCCAGGAAAACAAGTACGTTTTCCTGGCACTATAGTGGTATTTTAATATGAAATAAGTAAATTATGATTGAACAGACATATAGTCATATTTCAGGTTTTGTTTTGATTTTGCTTTTATCAGAAATTTCACAATTGCCACTTTTCTTAAAGGGTTAAATGACCAGATTAGACAATATTTTTTTTCAAGACTAGTAAGACTAACATTATATATATAACACTATGGGAAATACATCTGTGTTCAAAGATACATTCACACAATTGCCTCCGTCCTTAACGGGTTAAAAGACGTCAGTCAAGGCAGGGAATAATTTTATGTTGAAGCTATAATTATCTGAAAGACAAAAGCAGGAAAAGGGGGACTTCTGGCACCCAAACATTTGAGAGCACATAGCGTGTGATGATACATAAAGTGTCTGTTTGAAGAAATGTCTATGTATTAAAAGATCATTTGCCATTTTGCCTTGTTTGTATTGTGTAGTATTTCTTTTTATTTTTTTATTTTTGTTACAATCTTTATTTTGAGTTATTCTTTTATCAATGGCAGTCACACATATGTGTATCGATGAATTGTTCAGTGTTGTCAACATACACAAAACATTATGAAGTAACAGTAACAGTAATTATAGCAATATATAGGTTTAACTGAGGCTGCCGATATCTGTGCATCATTATTTATGTTTCACATTACAAGGGTCACCCGGTATACCGTAGGAAGAGGAATAGGGTCGGACCGTACAGATTTGAACCCTGTTTTGCAGTAGTCGGATCACAGTGCAGTCGGTGTAGTCTTTCTAACCTTGATTGAACAATATTGTCTGTTAACACTGTGATTTGACAATTTTCTTATTATTTATAGAGCGTCCAAAGACTCCGAACTCTCCTAAAAATGGCAAGTCCTCAATTGATCTGGACTCTCCTAAACGTCATATCATATCGGCAGTTAACGGTGAATCACCAAGACACATCCCTAAACCTGTAGCTCAGCCGGATATTGATAAAGTTAGGGAGCAGATTAAAAACGACATAAGAAAAGAACTTAAAATTACAGAAGGAGCCAGAAACATTGGGAAGGTGACATCCAAGAAAAAATATCTGGCGAATGTTAACAACTTTCTCAAAACATCACAAAAGAAATTAGACGAGCTTTACAATAAGCTTCAAGAACGCAATGCACATATTGTTGTGCCAGGAACTGAAGGTACATTCTGAGACTTTGTGTTTCCTTGTAATGAGTGTATGCATGTGCTTGTTTATTGTAGCTTGTTTACAGTTTATTGAAGCGTTTACATTTATAGGAAATCACCAGGATTTGCAGCTTCTACAGTGAGCTATGTTCAGATGGGAAATCTCTCTCCCAATCCTGGCGATTGCATTATTCCCTGTGAGAGTCATTTATCGGTGTTTGTGAAAACACAGAGTTACACTGCGGTTTATAGAATGACCCCATTTATGTTGTTACTGGATGTAATAATGGCGATCTCAATGACAGCTCACTGACATGTTACTGCCTTTTTTATTTATTAAGTGAAACTGTCTGTTGACATTTCTAAATTCTGCATTTCTTTTCTTGTTGCTAATTTTCGGTGATGTCCAGAGACCTCAGATGCTCCTAAAGGTGACACCAGCTCCCAGGCAGATAACGCGAAGCTGACTGCTTTGCAGAAACAGCTAGACATCGAGCTGAAGGTGAAACATGGAGCAGAAATTATGGTCAAAGCATATTCAGATGGGCGTTCCAAAGTAAGTTAGTTACATTTAATTTGATCTTAAAGAGACAGAACATATTTTATTTAGGAGAGGTGGTGAAAACACATGGTAACTTTTACAATGCATGAGTTTTATTTCAACCCAATGGCATTAAGCCAATAGTAGGCTGGTGATAGTTTTTTCCTAGAATCAAGAGAGGCGATACAAACTTCCCAAGCCAACACGTCTTCATACATCTCACTCAATTATCTATCTGACTTTTCTTATTGCTGTTACAGAATGTCAAACATCTTGCTGCTGTCCAGAAAATATTACAAGACAGCGAGAAAAAAATAGACAGTTTGCGCAAGTTAATTCTGGAAGAAAAGTCTATTATTAAAGGTAAGGGTTCAGTGGCTTCATGTGTAGTTTAAATGAAGATTGATGGGTAACAAATAAAACTGTTCAAAAACGGTTTGATTTCTTATAATGGGGTCCAGGGGATGCCTGGCACCATAACCACTACTGCAAAATATAACAGGAAGATATGATAGGGAGGTATGTATCCCATAGACCTCTACACTCCAAGGGTTTGTAAGGGAAATGTAGAGCTGCGTGTCCTCTTAAAAGTGGGAGCAAAGGCAGTAATGGAGTTATACCAACACGCAGATACATTTTATATTATTTACAAAACATATACCTTGACATCTATTATTGCAATAGTCTCCTACGAGAGAGAAATTTCAAATGTGTCCAGGATTGCAAATGCATTCGCTAAGCATTGTGGGACATCACATTCTGTTTGTTGCCAGGCAGATGGAGCATGCACATCAATTCTGACAACCATCGAGCTATACAGTATATAGACATTATAATGTATATATCCACCGAACATTTATTGTGTCCCCTCCAATACTACTGACATTATTAGTTTATACGTATACAAGGTATATATCATATTATGAGTTTACATATAAAAATTATAAGGGTACGTATAACAAATTGATTCTTTTATAAAATTAAATATCAGAAAGATCTACGATTGGAGATTGTGGTTCTTGTTTTATTCTCTGTTGGATTGAGGTTAAAATAATTGATCACTGTAAATACTTACATTATGTTACAGAAGAAACATCGTTACCAGTTCCGGAGACGGACATTAATACCAGTGCTCCCTCGTTATTGGTGACGGACACACAGGAGCCAGAGCCGGCTGGGTATTCACTTTATATCTTTCTCATCAATGCTGTTAGAACCTGAATCCCTCACAATTTCCAGTACCATTTAACTATAAATCTGACATATGTTTGCCTACTGCTGTCTACACATTTCTTAGCATGCGTATCAGTCACAGATACATTTTATAATGCTGTCTATATGTTACATGCTTGTGCCAAGTTGCCAGATCTCATTATCTTTGCAGGACTCCTGTGAATTCTACATTCTGCCAGGTATGGTGCTTTGGATGTCACACAGGAAGCACAGAATGTAGAATTCTATACGGTGCAAAAATACAGAAATCTGCAACCCTAGTAATAAGTATTCTTGGGGTGTCCTTTAAATAACGTACTGTAAACAGCAGCATTAAAAATACTTGTTTTCCTGGCACTATAGCTTCCACCTCTGTCAAGGCCCCCTCCTACATTATTCAATGCTTTCCTATGGGGATAATCTGACGCTGGAGATCCTCATACAGAGTGTGAGGACATCCAGCATCAGCTAAGGGACCAAAAGTCTGTTTCAATTTCGGAAGTCCCTCTGGTGGCTGTGTGGTAGAGGAGGAGCCACTAGAGAAAAACTGCAATAACTAGAGAAAAACTGCAATAATTACCACTGCAGGGTTCAGGGTGATGGGAGTTTGCACCTAGACCACTTCAATGAGCTGAAGTGGTCTGGGTGCCTACAGTGTCCCTTTAATGTCTAAAATATAATGACTATATAGATATGATAATCTGCCATCATATTTTAATGATACAACCATATAAACTGTTTTCTTTTTCCTTCTGATAGCGATATTCCAACATGTGATGTGAAACCAATTATCCAACTGGATGTGGAATTTGACTTAGAGGTGCCTCCTGCTCCAAGTCAATCCTTTCTACATAATGATCAGAGTCGGTTTTCATCCCATATGGAGATCCCGGATAAACCGGATCAGGTAAAGATGTGCTGGCTTTATTTTGGTTGTTCTTTATCTCTAAACACTCCATGTAGAATAACCATTACAGCTCAGTGCAGTAGTTATAGTGCAGAGAGTCTGTGGCTACTAACTTACATTTTTGTCAAACCATTTGGGAGTATTTTGACAAAACACTGGACTTTCTCTGGCATAAAGTGATGGCCTCCTTGGCCACAGGGGTGGGGTGGCGGGGGGTGGGGGGGTGGAGGTATCCAGGTTCTTGGAAGAATCTAATTGGTTTGACATTAAACCAGGGATAGCGCCAGGACACTCTGGGCAATATAACTACTACAGCGAGCTAGAATGGTTATGGGGCTTACAGTTCCCTTTTAATCATTATTTTCCCACATTTACTGATTCTCTCTTCACTCCCAGCAAACTTAGCTTCCATTAGTATTCAATATCCTTTTATTGTGTCTGACTTTCTTTTCTAGAATTCTGGAGATATCCATGAATGTAGCATTGATAACAGATTCATCATGACACCAGATGTAATGAGTCAGCCTAATTGTTCCAGTCTGGATAACAATGTCCCTGAACATTCTGTGGACCTACCGCATGACAACTTACCTGCTATGTGGATTCAAGATCAGCTTCTTCTTAAATTGCAGGATTTCCAGCATCGTTCTGTGCAATCTGTGAAAGTAAGTTTAAGGTGGAATCAAGTTCAATATAACAGATGTCTTAAATGTAGAACAGCACAACACTTTGTATAAAATTGAAGATTATGCTAGCGTTAGTGTACTTATAATCTTAATTTTAGTAATGACAGGAGGCGAGTATTTTGCATATAACTCTCTTTACTAACTCCACATAGCAGTAAAGAAAAAGTGAAAACGATAACCAATCAAAATGCAATATGCTGTATAGTATTCACAGTGATGAGGCTCCTCCCCCTCTTTCGGAAGCGACATCAGGCAAAACTCAAGAAACAATAACGTCCAAACATGTATAACGTGCACCAACGTGTGATTCCCATCGACAAAACAGACTTTCACGGGGTGCGAACTGATTCAGAGTGTCCTGCAACGTGCAGCGGTTGATGTGTCCCATTAACGAGGCTCCAGGAGCTGAAGGATGATTCAACTGTGTCCACTCTGAGAAGGATCTGTGAACATCGTGGATTTAAACTGAAACGAGAACGTGAAACGGATTAGGCACCGATCTTTCAACTGGTTGCAGTATCGACCCCACATAATAAAGCAATAGGAGACCCCCTGGTTAAAAGGTTAATGCATAATAACCTGAACATAACAGATCCCAAACCAAGAGGAGACGAAGGTATAGATACCAGATAAGACAACGGGATATAGAAATATACTTACGTGCATCCACTCTTCCCAAGGGAGGGAAAGGGTGGGAAAATACTCGCCTCCTGTCATTACTAAAATTAAGATTATAAGTACACTAACGCTAGCATAATCTTCAATTTTACCACATGACAGGAGGCTTCCTATTTTGCATTTTTAACGCTGATGTAGAAGAGACATAGCCGCACCTGAACTCGGGCGAAAGTAGAATGTCCGAAAGGTAGATTCCCTCGACCAGTCAGCTGACCGAAGGATATCCGCCAGGGACGCGCCTGCCGAGAAAGCCGAGGAGGCCGCCGCCCCGCGCACTGAGTGTGCACCGAAATTAGCATCCACACCCGCCAGAGATAGGATCCATCGTACCCATCTGGCGAGTGTGGTAGTCGAAACGGGAACGTGTGGCCTGACATAGGATACTAATAACTGTCCCGAGGCAGAGGCCCGGAGCAAGGCTGTGGTCTCCACGTACTGATGCAGGGTAGAGACGACGCATAGCTGCGGTTCAGTAGCGAAGAAGGGATAAAAGACCGACGTAGAGTCCGATTTGGTACGTCGTGATACGCGGAAGGTAACTCCCTCAGGGGAAACCGAAAAGGCATTGATGTCGAAAGCCCGCACGTCCGAAACCCGACGGAAGGAAACGAGGCAAAGTAAGAGGGTCAGTTTGGCCGAGAGTTGTCTGAGAGACAGTCTGTCATTAGTCGGCCAATCTCTCAGAAACCGTAGGACCACCTCCACGTCCCACATGTGGGAGTACTTAGGTCCTGGTGGTCTCTGTAATCGGATACCCCTCAGGAGACGGCATACCAGAGGGTCCTTCCCAACGGGAATACCTAAGTTCGGGACGTGAGCCACCGAAATCGCCGAGCGCACGACGTTAAGCGAGCGGTAGGAGCGACCCGTAGAGAAAAGGTGTGAAAGAAAATTCAGAATAGCTGTTACAGGTGCCGTAAATGGATCGAAGTTCCGTTCACTGCACCAAGAGGACCAGGAACTCCAAGCTGATAGATAGCATCGTCTGGTCCCAGGTGCCCAGGAATCCCATATGAGGTCTCTAGCCGTTTGCGATAAATCGCAGGTTTGCCAGGCTCCCCTGAAAGCGTCCAAGCCACCAGGGTGAGGCGATCTTCGAGGATGAGAGGATGGGGGTTCCCCTTTGGATCCGTGAGGAGCATCGGATAGGATGGTATGAGAAGTGGATCGGCGTAGGACAGTGCCAGGAGGTCCGGAAACCATGGTTGGCCCCGCCATAGGGGAGCGATGAGGACTAGAGATCCGTGTTGATTCTTCAGGTATTGAATCGTCCTCGCTATCATGGCGAACGGGGGAAAGGCGTATGCTCCCTCGGTTGGCCATGATTGGAGAAATGCGTCCACCGCCGCGCTCTCCGGGTCCGGAAGCCAACTGAAGTAGTTGAGTGTCTGTCTGTTGTTGCGAGATGCAAACAGATCCAGTTGGAGGGGACCTCTCCTGCTCGAGAGGCGTTGGAAGACCTGAGGATCCAGTCTCCAGTCGCTGCTGTCCCGCCAATGGCGTGAAAACCAATCTGCTGTCAGATTTGTCTCCCCCGGAAGGTATTCCGCCTTGAGGGAGATGTTGCGGGGCAAGCAGAAGTTGAAAATCTCCTTCGTTATTTCGGATAACAGTCGGGACCGAGCTCCGCCCAGGCGGTTGATGTATCGAACCGCGGAGACGTTGTCCATCCGGAGGAGGATGCAACAGTTCGATCTGTCCTTTGCTAAGCTGCGAATCGCGAATGAGCCTGCTAGGAGTTCTAGGCAGTTTATGTGTAGGTCGATTTCCTGAGAAGTCCAGGCGCCTCCTGTCGACTTGCCTTCGCCCGTCGCGCCCCAGCCCCAAAGGCTGGCGTCCGATTCCAGAACTATGTCGGGCGAACTCCCGAAGATGGCTCGGCCGTTCCATGCCTCCATGCTGTCTAGCCACCATCTGAATTCCTCCTTTACCTCCTCCGTAATCGGGATAGTTTGGTCGTAAGACGGGTTCCGGTGCAGGAAGGAGGTCTTCAGGCGTTGCATTGCTCTGTAGTGCAGGGGTCCCGGGAATATGGCCTGGATGGACGCGGATAGTAGTCCCACAATCCGGGCCAGATTGCGGAGCGGAATGGATTGGCAGCGAATGACTCTGCGTAATTCTTTTTTGATGGCCGCGATCTTTGTCGTCGGCAGGCGTAACGTGCTGGACTTGGAGTCTATTTCGAAGCCCAAAAACTGCACCGTCTGAGCTGGAGACATTTCTGACTTCAGGAAATTGACCACGAAGCCCAGTGATGTCAGGAAGTCTACGGTAAATTGTGTGTGTTGAGTCAGTCTGGACTTGTCTGAGCAGAACAGAAGCAGGTCGTCCAGGTAAATAATGCAACGAATCCCTCGTGCTCGAAGATGTGCGACTACTGGCTTCATTAATTTGGTGAAGCACCACAGGGCTGAACTGAGTCCAAAGGGAAGGCACGTGAATTGCCAAGGCCGGTCTTGCCACTGAAATCTGAGGAATCGGCGGTAGTCGATGTGGACGGGTACCGAGAGGTACGCGTCCTTGAGGTCCAGTCTCGTGAACCAGTCCCCGTCTTGGAGGAGGTCCCTCAGAAGATGTATGCCCTCCATCTTGAAGTGCCTGTATACGACGAATGCGTTGAGGCCTTTCAGGTTTATGACCGGACGGAATTCCCCGGTCTTCTTCTTTACCAGAAAGATGTTGCTGAAAAATCCCCCCTGATCGTGAGCGGGTTCTATCGCCCCTTTCGATTGGAGTTCCTCCAACTCGATTTGTATGAGTCGATGGTCTTCCGTGGAACATGTCCAGGGGTAAGGAGGTACCGTTTGGTTCGGGTGGCCCACGAAGTCTATGACGTAGCCCTGTACGGTCTGCAGGATCCATGCGTCCGTCGAAATGGTTGTCCAATTCTGAAAATAGAGAGCAATACGACCTGCCGTTTGTGAAGTAAGGGGTACGTGAGTCACATATCGGCTTACCTGTGGGGGTGAAGCGTGCTCTGCCACGGCCCCTTGATCCACGACCTCGGTCGGCTCCCCTGGTGTAGGAGAAAGGCTGTCTGTAGCCAACTTCCGGGTAGAATGGTTGAGGTCTTTGTGAGCGGGGGCCTGAAGGCCAAAAGCGGCTGGCTGCACGGCCCCTGTAGCGGCCAGCCCGTCCAAAAACGCCCCGGTTAGGGTTATTCCTGAAGACCCGCTTCATGGTGGTCTGAGCTTTGTTAAGCGACGTGAACACGTTCACGTGTCTGTTCAGGTCCTTCAGGAAAGCGTCCCCGAACAGCTTGCCCTGTGCCAGTGGTCCTAATTCTCTGGTGCCCAAATCCGCCCAAATCCACCAGCTTTCCGTCTAAGCGGAGTAATGCTGCTTTCCTCCTCTCAGAGGAGAGGGCCACGTTGGCATTGCCAACAAAACAAAAACAGCGTTGCGCCCATTCTCTTACGTCGTGAGCCCATTCACGTACCATGTTGGTATCAAACTGTTCAGCTCGGGTGAGGGCGTCATCCGCCAAGTACATGATGCGGGAGAGGGGGCCGATCGCATCCAGCAACTTGTCTTGTACGCTATGGAAACCCTTCTCCACCCCTTTACGGGGATCCCGACCACCCCGAGACATAAAGGTGGTCATGACCTGGTCGAATTCGGGGTCTGAGCCACTTGATCTGGTAGTGAGGGGCGAGGACATTCGGAACGCAAGCGGTTGCGGACCGTCTTATCCAATGGTTTGCGTAGCCACTTGTGCATGAACTTCGCCAGGTGTTCGGGGGTGTCCAGTCCCCCGAACGCGGGTGTCGAATGTTCCGTGGGTCGAATAATCGCTGGCCCGAGGGGTCCAGGATGGTTTCGCCTTCGTCCTGCGTTTGTGCCGGGTCGTCCGGCAGATGAATGTTGTCTAGGAAGGTGCCCTGTAGGAAACCAGGGCGTGACTCCTCCTCCGAGTCCCAGGCGTTTTCCTCTTGGGAATCGGAATCCATGGCCTGCCATGAGTCCAAAATCGCCATGGGTGGCGAGTGTCTCCCCTCCTCATCTGAGGAGTAATTGCGTCCTGGGGAAGGGACAGCCGGAGCTGGCTTACGCCTTTTTATAGGGGTCTTGCCCTTGTCGGGGTTGGCGTTCCCCTTTTCGCCCTTCCAGTGGCGTTTAGAGGGCCGAGTATCGGCTTGTGTGTGTGATTCCGAAGCCTCGGAATCGTAGTCCTGTTGCTGGACCTTAGCAGGGATTTTCTGTTCGGCAGAGGCCGTCAGAACCCTGGAGAGTGCCTTCTCCATCGAGGCCGCTATAGCCTCACTGATCATATTTTGAAATTCAGCAGTGTTTTGAGAAGAATCCATGGTGAAAATATTGACCACACAAATTTGTACTTGGCACAGGGCGCAGATAGGGTCAGGGGTCAGTCTGTATTAATAATGGTACCAGCAGTACCAGTTCAACCCCAGCAGGGTGAATAGTAATTACGTGCAGTGGTACCGGCAGTACCAAAACCCCCAGCAGGGTGTAATAATAAAAGACTCAGGTAAATGCACGTGGTACCAGCAGTACCTGTAACCCCAGCAGGGTATTATTGGGTTTTTTCACTGGGCCGCACCCAGGTATATGGAGGAGGTATAGTCACACCTCATAAGCAGCATAAGTATTAGGGGCCGCACCCCAAGAGCACAGGGTATTGCAACCCTATTGTGCTTTAGTACACAGACTGTATTAACTGACCTTGTGACCCTTGCCTTCAACACACTTGCTAGAAGATTGTCTGGGACGTGTTTGAAGGTGACCGGGTGTAAGTAGGAGCCAGGCACAGTCTGCAAGTGGCTCGGTGGGGCTTAAAATTGCGGCCGTGGATCTTGCGAGATGCGAGATCCAAGATGGCCGGCGCCGGGAGCGAAAATCTCGTGAGCGCCGGTCGGGATGTGCGCGGTCGAGAGACCGCGGGGTGGGGGTGGATGAAAGGGGTGAGCGTTACCCCAAAGGTGTCCTGGAATGAGCAATCCGCCGTTTGGGCGGCGGATAGCTCGAGAAAACGGTCGCCAAGCCGGCGGAAGAAAGAACCCAGAAAAGGGCCCCACAGATAAGGGGAGACAGAGAATACAGGGACAGGAGTCCCTGTGGGAAGAGATAAAGAGCAGAATATAGGGTAGGATGCAATAGTCATATAAATAACGTAAAAGTTAAAGGTACAATATATTTAGTCAAACAAACAGTAATGAAGAGGAAGAGCTGAAACTCTGACCTGTCTGCTGATGGAGCAGTAAAGAAAGAGGGGGAGGAGCCTCATCACTGTGAATACTATACAGCATATTGCATTTTGATTGGTTATCGTTTTCACTTTTTCTTTACTGCTATGTGGAGTTAGTAAAGAGAGTTATATGCAAAATAGGAAGCCTCCTGTCATGTGGTAAAATTGATTTTGATACAGAAAAGTTAATTCCTCGCTATCAGTATGGCTGAGTAGGGGGAGGTATCCAGGTATTTGGAAGAATCTAATTTGTTTGACATTAAACCAGTGATAGCGCCAGGAGACTCTGGGCAATAGAACCACTACAGCGAGCTAGAATGTTACGGTGCTTACAGTTCCCTTTTAATCATTATTTTCCCACATTTACTGATTCTCTCTTCACTCCCAGCAAACTTAGCTTCCTTTAGTTGTCACTGCCACTTCATTGTTTATGAGTTTCTTTTCTAGGATTCTGGCGATAACCATGAACGTAGCATTAATAACAGATTCATCATGACACCAGATGTAATGAGTCAGCCTAAGTGTTCCAGTCTGGATAACAGCGTCCATAAACATTCTGTGGACCTACCGCATGACAACTTACCTGCTATGTGGATTCAAGATCAGCTTCTTCTTAAATTGCAGGATTTCCAGCATCGTTCTGTGCAATCTGTGAAAGTAAGTTTAAGGTGGAATTCCAGTTCTTGTTCGATATAACAGATGTCCCCTCTCATAATATTGTAAAGCGCTACGGAATCTGTTGGTGCTATATAAATGGCAATAATAATAATAATAATAATAATGTCTTAAATGCAGGACAGCACAACACAATCAATGCCATCCAGGTTGCATAAAATTGATATTGATACAGAAATTTAAAAAAGCATGGCTGAGGAGGAGGGAGGTATTCAGGTACTTGGAAGAGTCTAACTGGTTAAACCAGGAATAGCACCAGGACACTCTAGGCCAGGAGTCGGTAACCTATGGCACGTGTTCCATGCAAGGCACTCAAGGCTGCCAGAGTAAAACAGGCTCTGGCCTATCAGGAGTCAGCTTTATTTTCACAACGCCGTGCTTCCTTTTTTCTATTGATCAATATGTTTGCGACTCAATCAGACAAGCCCCCACACCGAGGTCAGCTTTCTAGTGGAGATTATGACTGATATCCCTTTATAACAGCAGAGCGGTAAATGGCCTTCATTGTTTTCATCATGCATAGTCTCTGCTCCCTTGTCAATTTTAAATAAATACACATTTAAAAAAATCTAAAGAATAATATAAAAATTATAGAAAGGATGTAACGTATGCATTAATTTCAGTTTTATTGTTTCCAAGGTGCCACGTGTTTGCATTTCTTGATGATTTGAGTTGCTGGGTTTAGTAAATAAATCAGACCGTCTAATGGTTTATCAAAGGAAAACAATGACTTCCTGGGACTTTTAATATTATATTTACTTATCCCTATATTTAACATGTTTGTGAGATGTGAACAATAAAATTAAATGTAGAGTCACACCTCTTATCCTGTAACTGGACACCTCCATCTTAGCTCCCTGTCAATCATTATTATAAGCTCTGCCTTTTGCACCTGTCAGCACAGGGAGAGCATCCAGAGAGGAGGAGAAAGGAAACAATGTTTCTATATCTCCTCTTCATTTGCATTGTGTGCCCTGGCTGTGCCAGAGAAAAGAAAACGAAAACACGAAAAAAGGTTAACACATTTTTTTTTAAATTCAATGGCGCCTATTCCAGAGAAATGACAATAAAACCCGACATTTATTGTGTCTGACTTTCTTTTTTCTAGGATTCTGGAGGCAGCTATGGACGTAGCAGTGATGGCATATGCATCATGACACCAGATGGAATGAGCGAGCCTAATTGTTCTAGTCTGGATAATAGTGTTTCTGAAAAATCTGAAGACCTACTACAAGAACACTTACCTGCTGTGTGTGCTCAAGATCGTCTTCCTCTGAGAAAGCAGGACTTCCAGCTTTGCTCTGTGCTGGGGAAAGGGCAGTTTGGGAAAGTAAGTTTATGGTGGAATGCCAGTTCTAGTTCGATATAACAGGTGTCTTAAATTCAGGACAGCACAACACTTTATTCTTTAATTTCAGGTTCTGCTGGCCGAGCACAAGGAAACAACCAAGGTGTACGCCCTGAAATTCATAAACAAAGTCAAGTTAGAATTACCACATCATTTCAACAAGTCAGTGAATGCAGTAATGAATATCTTGTGTTTAGGAGAAGGACCATGTCCTGTTTCTGTCATTTATTTTGACATTTGGTTTTGGAGTTAAAGAAAATAAACTTTGAACTTTTCTTTTCCTTTCCAGCCTTCTGAGTGAGAAGCAGATATTCCAGACGGTGAGCAATAGGCGGCACCCATTCCTTGTGAACTTGTTTGGGTGTTTCCATACTCGAGATCACGCCTGCTTCGTTATGGAGTATGCAGCAGGGGGCGACCTTCTCTCATGCCTTGATAACAACCACGGCCCGTTTCCAGAACCCAGAGCAGTGTGAGTATAAGCAGCATTGTGTTCATATATCGAGATCTCACCCAATGTTCTACAGATGGTGGCTTGGGCTGAGCTTCACATTCCATCACGTCTTCTCACATTAATAATGAATCCTGGGATATCACACTGGGTTTAAATTCTAGTTTAAAAGAGGTACATTTACAGAAGGAGATAAAGGAAATAAAACAACGGGTGGAAACAATGCCCATTACATTAAAACTGTAACAATGTCATAAAAACAGAATTTCATATTTTTTTTTTTTTTTAAAGAGATGAAGTAGAGTCACAAGTAATGAAATATAATGGAGAACGATAAAGATGCCAGCACAGGTTTTAGAAAAACATATAAACATGATTAGTCATTAACAAACACGTTCTGTACTGACAATGACTTCAAATTGTATAAACTGATATATATTCCATGAGCTGCTGTATATCTGCTTGCTGTTATGTGTCCAATGCTGGATCAGTGCAGTTACTTCTGGCAACACACAGCCCTGTCTGACCAACTATGGCTAACGATTCTGGAAGTATGGGCCTTAGTGAATGGAACCAGCTGTAAGTGATAAACGACCAATCACCATTGTATCAGCTCATAAATAACAACCCACCAGCGGTGATAGAGAAGGAGGGAACCTGGGAATTAATGTAATATGTCAGAATACAGAGGGACTTAGGAAATATGGGATAAAACCATTAAATAGTACAAAAATCTTGTAGACCTCAATGGATTTATTTATTTATTTTCCCCCCCAGGTTCTATTCTGCATGTGTCGTCCTTGGACTTCAGTATTTACACGAACAAAATATCATCCACAGGTAAGCTTATAGAAACAAACTACACATGGAGTGTCGGTGATATTTGTATTATTTATGTCACCTGGTCTGTGTAACCCAGTTAGTTTATCTAGATGAAGTTATTCATTTTAACCAATTAAAAAGCCTGAGCATTGAAAGCTATCCTGAATGCTTCTAGTGTTATGTAAAATTAATAAAACTTTCTTTTCTACATTTTAATTTAGGGATCTGAAGGTCGAAAATATTGTTCTGGACGAGAAGGGATTTGCAAAGATTACTGACTACGGTCTGTCTGTAGAAGGTAACTATAATGTTCTAAACTAATTTCAGATAAAACAAAAAGGTCACACTTACTTAGTTCAAAATCAGAGTTATCTTCAATTTAAACAGCCATTTAACATATAATAGGATGTCTATAAAATGTGTACTTTATTCCAAAATAAACCTAAAGGAATGTTCCCCGATTTTTCCAATTTAAATTATGTTGTGAGTCAGGAAAAATAGACTGGGCTTTGGTCCCTCGGAAAAATAGATTTTTTTTAAAGATTTCAACAAGCTCAGCAAATGCTATTTAATATTATTTTTAGAGAAAAATGAGATTCGATACAGAAACATATTACCAGTCATCTTAATCTGAATTAAATTGTTATGGTGCCATGAGGCCCCTGGGTGCATTCGTACCTCAAGGGGTTCAGCTGTTCTCAGACAGTTCGTTTAACCCCTTGGAAGTAAGAGTGTGCCCGGCGCCTGCTGGCATCATAACAACTTCATTTAGATGAAGAGTTGTTACGGTGCTCAGACTGTTCCTTTAAAGTCTTTGTGACTGAAGTGTAGTGTAAGTGTATAGAGTACCTAAACCCAGCCCAAATGCGGCCACTGCGATAATGTCAATTTTCACTTTTTAATGGTATAAATCCAGATTTGGATGGAAATTCTATGAGCAGTTGTGGCAGCAAAACACCGAACTAGGTGGGGCAGAGCTAGCAGCTGAACGGAGCAGACGTGTGGCAGAGGAGCACCTAGACAAATAGACTAATATAGCCTACTTAAACGCATTACCTTTACTCCTGAAGACGAGAAAAGACAACCACAAGCATGGGGAAAATGTCCAGACGAGAGGGACCTGTCACACTCTCAGGCACCCAGGATATAGGGGACCTTTTGCTGCGCCCGGCAAGGCTCCCAGAGGCATTCCCGCCAAAAGAAAACGGTGACTCATCATCGGCACACTCCGAGGAAAAGGCCCTGGACACGCTGGATGAAATCCCTGCCATAGGGGGATTACACCACAAGTCTTCTGATGAGGACAATGAAATGCCCTCAACTAAAGGAGATATTAAAGCTCTCCTACGCACAGTTCGCCAGCTGTTTGCCGCAGATCTCGCGGTAGTGCGTGAGGGGATTCACTCAGTAGAGGGCCGTGTGAAGATGGTGGAGGAGGAAACACAAGACCTCCTCGCACGCAACACCACATTGGAGGCCACGACAGCCGAACTTCATAGAGCTCAAAAACTACTTGAACAACGCCTAGACGACATGGAGGACAAGCACAGGGCCGGAACATAAAAATCAGGGGCATTCCAGAGAGCATAATCCCTGTGGAGCTTCCACACTACATAAGAAGACTGCTGGCAAACATACTAACCTGTCAGCAGGCCAAACAGACAGTGGTGGATGGCGTATTCCGCATTCCTAAAGCGGCAAGTGCACCAGCTAGCTCACCAAGAGATGTAATCCTACAGTTTCAAACAAGATCGGCACAGATCGCTCTCATGACAGCAGTAAGGGAACTGCCTTCCTACACATTCGAATCTGCGGCCTTAACCTTCTTCCAGGATCTGCCCAGATCAACGCTGATATGGAGGAGCCTCCTCAAACCCCTGACCACCACTCTCCGTCAACATTCTAAACCATAAAGATGGGCCTACCCACGAAGCCTGTTGATTCCACACAACGGGAAAACAATACGAGTTACAGACACCTCAGAGGTGGACGCTACACTGCTGACTCTGGGACTGCCGCTGAGAGCTGAACCAGAGGCTTCTCCACTGACAGTACCACACAATTGGGACATGTCTAGAGTTGTGGCCTTTAAGCCATCCAAGCCCCCTGCTGAAAACCCAGGTCCCCCCTCAACCCCATCAACCTCCTCTAGACCGCGGAGCATATGTGGTCTCCCAACCGGCACCTGAAGAGATGGGACACTGACTTGGGAACTACACTAAAAGGTTCCAGTTGTACCACAGTTTTACTTTTATGTTAGTTACTCATTTTTAAACTTCTAATCCCCTCGTTTTATTATCAATATTCCCAATGCTAATTGTATGCAGCGCAGCCTTACTCTCTTGCTTAATAACCTTGTGGGAAGTTGCTGACAGTGAGCTAAGTCACAGTGGTAGTCCCCATAGGCTTACCTACCCATTGTAACAATAGCACACTGCTCAAACACGGGGGCACAGATAGACCCACTCGCACAAGCCACGCACAGCCAACGTCCCCTCTTACAATGCGGGCCGTGCATGCAGCCACACCATGGGAAGGGTGAACTAGAAAAGGTCACTGCCCCTCCTCAGCCAGGAAACTTCACTTTTCCACAAATTAGCAACACATTCCCGAGCACAGCGCCAGGCACCTCTAAAACTTACCCTCACTGTAGGGCATGCTTTGCCCTTCCCAGCTGAGGGGCCGATAACAAGAGATCACAGAGCACAGCTGACACAACTCAGTAAAGAGCCAGGTCAGTGACATCTAACCCCCCCGAGCTCAGGGACACAAAGCACTAAACACAACATGCATTGACACATACCAATACTAACACTACAGAAGCAGGACATACTTTGCATAACTTAAACTGTTAGTTATTGCTATTAATCTAATCATTTACTTTAATCTGCATGATTCAAAGGGGGAATAAGTGGGCACAGTACATCTCTGATCTGCACTATCTCTGACTCCATGATCGTGAACTGTGGTCTCTCTAACTCATTTACGGTTTACTTCCATAAGCATTTGTGTGGGCAGCAGTACTCCTGACTTAAAAGCAGAGATTATGCACTCTTGTTTCTCATTTTTATTTTTTATTTCTTTCCTTTTTATTTTTCCTACAAAATCTACCATGAATGCCAGTTTGCACGATTTCTAACTACTAAACATATTTAAGCATCCTCAAAAAAAATAAAAATGTGTGCAGTTTAATCCTGTTATGCTACTGTTTGCATTATTATGCCTGTTACAGGTCTGTTTGTAAATCATTATGGCACAGTAAAAATAAAGAATTAAAAAAAAAAAAACTGGAAGCCATCTCAAAATGTAAATTGCTAAAACTGAACATCTATCCTCGGCTAATATCCAATTCTATTTTCTCTATTTCTAAGGAGTCGGATACGGAGATAAAATCATCGGCCTTTGTGGAACTCCTAATTATATGGCTCCTGAAATGGCCAAGCGCAGGGCATATACAAGATCTGTGGACTGGTGGAGCTTCGGAGTGGTTATTTATGTAATGCTAACAAGATACGTAAGAACAATCTTTTATTAACAATTTACAGACAGATTTCTGTTTAGAAAATATAAAGAGATTCTGCCAAGCATTTGCTTTTAACATAATACCTTTTATTACTTTTTTTTGGCCTCCCCAATAATTTCACTCTCCCCAACAGCCACACCCACATTTGTACGCAAATTATTCCCATCCCACCCCAAAAGAGACCCCCTCATAATTTCTCTGCCAATTAATTAACTCTTCCCTTTCAGACACAGACCCCACATTCCCTGAGAGTTATTTTTCCACTCGTTTATCTGGCATTTAACTATATGAGTCCATCCTCATCCAAATCACATCTCACATTCTCCTTCCCATAATAGATCCCCACATAGCTACATTCCCAACTGGTGTCAATACCATGTAAATTACCCCTAACTATTGATTCCCACGAAAAACATTTGGCTGCCAAACACCCCCCACTCTGTGATTTTTTTCACAGAGTGAAATAAATCTCTTACCGATGACTCATCCCCGTCTTCTGCTCTGACCCATGTCCAGTAGCTCAGTGCTCCGGTGGCTGGTGTTGTGTCCATACATAGTGTGTAACCCTCTGTATACTGCTTCTTTGCAAATACCGAAATACGGTGAGAATATGCTCAGTAGTTCTGACCCTAATAAACATCCCACATAGTTACTTGTTGAAGTCTTTCGTATTCCAATTTTTTTTCTCCTTACAAAAAGAAAAAAGCCATCATAACCCAATATAACTGTACAAAATAATACTAGATTACAATTAAAAAAGTAAATAAATAAAAACACCAGGAGAAAATTAATTGGAATATAGATCTTCCAGTCCTTTGTCTGACAGCTCAAAAATAGAGATTCCATGCCGACGTGAAAATTGTTCAGTGTTTTTGAAAATTCCAGCCAATCACAGAGCTTTGCCAGACGCATTTCACTCCCCTGCAGTACACCCGGTGATGTATATAATGACAGTTTATAGTTTTCTTGCACATATCATACTTTCATACACTGACACAACACATTGTGTCATCTGTACTACACATTCATTGCTCAACTGTCTACTTCTGAATTTTACAACTTATTAAAACTTAACCTGTGGTTTTTTAAAATGTATTTTTTCTCTAGCTACCCTTTGAAGGCCGTGATGTTGAGACGTTATATGCTAATATTGCCAAACAGAAACTGAAAATACCAGAGTCATTGTCTAGTGAAGCCACTTCAATACTAAGTAAGGTAAGTCACCACGCAAATGTAATATAGCATACGACCCGAGCTCAGAATGTCCATTCGCCATTGATGAGTGGAGATTCAACCCTAGAAACCTGAGTTGGGATGGGGGAATTCTATAAACCTCTGAAGAATGTGTAGAATAGAATGGAGGTTCGGGTGATCTGTGGTACGTGGAATGTATCAGTTTTTTTTTATTTTATGTTTTCCCAATAGCTCTTTTATTGGCCATGCAAATTTCTCAATACTATATACACCTTGAATTGGATGTATCTAGCTGTGTGTGTCTTAATGCAGGTAAAGAAACATTCATTATTACAGAGTTTTAAAACAAAACACGGCATATCTGCTCTCTCATTCTATGATACCCATAAATCCTACATTATTACCCAACTGACACTCATATCCTATAGTTATGTGACATACAGCACCCACTAGTGGCTTGTATGTAAGCATGCAGGTAGTTGCCGCGTGGCAGATGCAGAGCCCGGTCTCAGGTGGGCATAATGCCAGAGTTTTTGCAAAGAGGAGAGACATCATGGCTGAAGGAGCCAAGTCTGGAAACTAGAGTTAGATAAATTTTATATCTGATATTTTGACCTCAGATTTGCAGACTGACTTGTCTTCGCTCCCCCTCTTTAGTAAAAAAAAAAAAAAACCTATAACAAAACCTATTTTAAAAAATTCCTTTTACAGTTACTGACTAAAAAACATGTGAAGCGTCTGGGATCCAGCGAGAGAGATGCAGAGGACGTGAAAGACCATCCTTTTTTTCAAGTACGTTCCCATGTTTTCTTTGTTTTGTATTCTCACTTAAAGTGGTTTTGTCACAAAAAATTTGTGAGAATTTCGTCAAGATAAAATCTTTGTATGATATTCATATTAGCGGCTTTGAAATTTTACTGAAATTCAAACAAGGCAATACTGTGTCTTATGGTCAAGTCCAAGATTGGCAAATAAGTTTATCTTGTCAAGTTTTGTCAATTCCCAGATCCCAAGTAAGGTTGTTCCCATTGATGGTGTTTGTAAATTATGGCAGAGCAACTTTAAAGTAGAATTGTCATTTAGGAAGGAAGCTAAATAAACATTCTTTAATGTTAAGTTAACTTTGAACACAGATGTATTTCCCACATTTAAAGGGACACTGTAGTCACTATAACCATTTCATCTCTTTGAATTGGTTATAGTGCCTGGAGTTCCCTGGCACTGTCCCTCCACTCAGTGTTGCACCATGTTCATGCAGTATGCCACAACATAAGAGTCCCTGGCCACCTACAGTCCAGCCCCTTCTGTATGTGTAGCTAAGGCAGAGATTACACACTTCCTTGTTGTCATACCCATTCATACCGTCAGTTGGAGCTCTGACAGGCTGAAAGCAGTCACCTGACACTCTCAACCAATCACAGCTGTCCATTGCTGCTCAGGCTAATACTTCCTTATTATCCAAAGCTGCACAGAGGGGATGGATTGCCTGGGACTCTTGTTTAGCATTAAAACATAAAAACATTAAAAACTGTTTAATGCTGAAAGAAATTATGGTACCAGGGGACTCCAGACACTATAACCAGTTTAATGAGATGAAGCAGATACAGTGCCTACGGTGTCCCTTTAATATTAGTCTCACTAGTCTTTAAAAAAACACTTCAGCCATTTGTAAAAGCTTTGGCAGCTTACCTGGGGTCCTCTGGGCTCTGGTCGCAGGTTGACTCAGTGGCTGAGAGTGTTACCTGAGCACTCTCAGCCAATGAGTGCCTCCATGCACTGCAAGGCTAGCTCACCGCAGGGAGGTTACTGGCTGGAAAGGAGGAGGAAACCAGCGGACTCCAGGTAAGTTGTCACATCATTCACAAACAGTTTGACTACTTACACTAGTAGGCTGCCACAGAGTTTCTGTCACCATAACTACTACACCAAGATATAGTGGTTATGATGCTTGGACTATTCCTTTAAGTTAGTGTGAAGATCGGTTTTGAGAATCCAATTGGGATCTGTACAAAATGTAGCTTTTTGGGCATATTAGCTGTTATTTTGTATTTTATATAGTTATTTTACTGGCTTTTACATGACGCTCATTATCTTACACATTCCTTTCCAGCATATAGATTGGAACGCATTATTATTACAAAATGTGACACCTCCATTTGTGCCAACCATCAACGGAGCCAAAGACGTCAGCAACTTTGATGCAATATTCACCACGGAAGCGCCTATTATAACTCCACCAGTAAGACGAAGAGTTCCATCATTATTAGAGAAGAAGACATTTGAGGATTTTTGTTGGAGGGCAGATTGGAGTTAGTCTCGGTTGTGATCCACAATAAGAATTACTGGAGGGAGAATTAACATTAATATTTTTTATCCAACGAAAATATTTATTGAACACTAACGTAAGAATTCCAACTAAATTTAAAATTTAAGGTGAAAATAGCCAAAAAAGAAACATCCTTTAAGTCAGCTATACTTTCAGTTTGACTACTGTGGCCTTAAATTAGAAAAATCACTTTGATTATTTTTTGCAAGTAACCCTCCAAATTGTTGAATTGTGATTAAACATGTATTATTATTATTATTATTATTTATGTACAAATTAAATATTACATTAAAACAATATGTAAATTAACATATGTATCTTTGTGTAGTGGAAGCAGGAGGAATGGTGCCAGGCTTGGGATCCAGACGTATTCCATCCAGATTATTATTATTTTAACTATTTCGTTTAGCAGTTGGCAAGCAAGCACTGGCCACCTGCCACACGATTAATCCTTGGTATCTGTTCCACCAGATTTCAGTTTAATAACCAACATTTAGGCCTAACCAAGCCAGCCCACTGCAGAACGTTGAAGGCCCCAACTAAAATGTTACTCTGTGGGAACGGGCTGACTAATTCCAGGAGCCAGGACAAAATCTTTATTCATCATGGCGGCCTGCGATTTTTCGAATCCCTGCTCTATAACTGCAACAACTTAATCTGACCAAAAGGTCATGAAAGAGACATTCTACATACGGCGAATAAAAGCCCTTGTTGCTTGCAAATGTCAATGCATCAATAGCTGAAACAGAACAAAGATGGCTTTGTCGACCTAAGTATGGGACACCCGTGCTCTTGATAATTCTACATTCAGGGAAACATAAATAAAACTACTGCCTGACAGATAAATGTGCGTCTAGTCTAATAATTATGGAAGCACCTGTGAAGAAAGTGCAGAGCATAGATCTAATAGGGAATATTCACTATAAATAGTAAGAATGGACAAGGGCATTGCAATTTGTAGCCTGAAATATCCATCATGGCATTTGTAGATCTATAAAAGCTGGAGTCTGTCTTTCAGTCACCCTCGTCCTAAAGAGTGCGCCATCTTTGGAGAGGACTAGTGAAAATTATCAATCTAAGTCTCTCTAAATAAAAAGATATCCAGCTTAATGGGGCTCCCCTGACATCGACACGGCATGGGGTCCCCTTATACATGCTTACCAGGAGGGCTCCTGAAGGGTATGGTCCCTTCTCCTAGTGTACTAATACTGCGTGTCTTTCAGTACCTCGTGAAACAGTTTAACAGCTACTTATTGTTTGGGGTGCAAGGGCACTCCAGGCACCGTAATCACAAAAGTGTGCTCTAGTGGTTATGGTGTTAAGATTTCAAAAAAGCAAACTTTCAGAGTGAAAACACAGTGCCATGGTGATTTACTAGATGTGACAGCGACAGCAAACGTTAGCAGCTTTTGGCACATGGCAGGCACTTTCAGAGGGGTAGAAACAACCCACAACTTTAAAGTGAATTTTTTATTAGGGGAAAATTCAAAACAAGGAAACAAACAAAAATAGACATTGAATGTGAATGAGGTGAGGTTCAACCCCCCAGAGGGATTGTTAGTGTAGGACTCACCTTGCCATTAGGGGCATGGAGGAGGTATAGAATTGTTCTTTACTAATGTGAGGGCTTATTTTTTAACTTTCATTTGGCAGTTGGCTGGCAAGAACTGACCAACTGTCACGCAATTAATCCTGTCTGTTTCTTAGAAATTTCAGTTTCATAACCAAATTTAGGCCAAACCAAAGCAGCCCACAGTAAAACATTGGAGGTCCCGACCAATATTTTGCAATTCAGACCATTTTTTTTCAGAAGAACTTAAAAGTCTCACCGTACACAAGTCCAATCATAATTGTCCTAACACTCACTATTTTAGGTAGTTAAAAAAAATTTTTTTTTTTTTTTTTTTTGAAAATCTGAAGCACAGGCAGTGTAATCTTGTTTTGTCCTCATCCTGCTAGTCGACACGACTACTTACTGAAAAACATTCCAGTAAAATACCTTGGCCCAAGCTATTAAACTCCACTGGAATATTTTTATGTGGAAATAAAGTTGACAAGCTTGTGACATTATCTTCATGCTACATTAATTTTGTGGGAAATCCAAACCCCTACGTTGGCTGACGTTTAGTGAAGTTAGTAAAGCTGAACTGGATGCTTATTCAAAGTACTGAAATTAAATTAAACCCTGCTGATTTAAATTTGATCAGATGGGGGACATCAGCAGTCTGGGCATAACCTTACAATCGTGTATTAGGAAAACATTATCTAGAATTAATCAGTTTCTAGCAAATTAAATACATGAACATAGTGGGACTATGTTTACTCCTGGTATTATTATGTTACTTAAAAAGTTTTGGTAACTAAAGTATTTTCCATAGATTTACTTGGTGTATTGGACACATTGTAAACCATAAGATCACAACTGATAGCAATAAAGAATGATGTTGGTGTAACGTTCACTAGGGAACCCTAAAATACAGACAGGACAGAGTAGAAAGAATTGCAATACCGATCCTTAGAATGGTCGGGTTATGCAAAAAGGGATAGTCAAAACTTGAGCCGAGGTCAAGGGAAACAGAGAGACGGAATAACGAGAGACAAAGTCAAATATCAGTAACCAGGAAATCCAAATAACAAGTGCAACGCTCAATGGTAAACCAAAGACTACAACAGGGCACTGAGGCAAGGGTGAGGTTAGCTTATATACACACAGGGTGTGTCTGATTGGCTAATCTCCAATTAGTGTTAACCACAACACGTGGGAGGAGTTTCTTCCCTTCCTTCTGGTCTCTGAGGTCATCACTGTGTGCCGGGTCACATGACCGGGGGCAGCACACATATAAGGAAGTTGCTCTGGAGCATGCAGCGTCAGACACACTGCCACTCTGGAGCCAGGGACCAGGTGACGCCGCTCGCTGTGATGAGGTAAGCAAGGTCGCCGCGAGCAGCGCGGGGGCAGGGGACCTAACAGTTGGTAGTTCTTCTAGGGTGGCGAGTAAAGCCATTTTGTTCTTTGAGGTAAATTATTAAAAAAAATCTTCCTCTCCAGAAGAGCATACACTACAGATCTACAAGTTGAACTATGGTACAACTTGTTAAATATTTGATCTCGGAAATATCTGCATATGAGCTTTCAGCGATATTTATGTGGCCAAGCAACAACGTTGCTGAATAACTGAAAACTGTTTAAGAACAAAATTACGTCTTCTTTCTCTTAAAATTACATATTTTCTCATTCTCATCTTAATTTTTTTGGTCCGTCCCTTGGTTTTCCAGGAGTTGAGGCCTTTTCTTTTTTCCCAGGCTGGATTAAACTGTCGGAGGAACAAGGTAGCCCATGAGCAAGATTAGTCTTTAACCCCTTAAGGACACATGACATGTGTGACGTCATGATTCCCTTTTATTCCAGAAGTTTGGTCCTTAAGGGGTTAAAAAGAAAGGACTCCTCATATCTATGCTTAAAAAAACACAAAAACTCTCGGTGGGAGGCAAGTGTCAATGGGTTAAGGAATGAGCATGTATTGTTGTCGTTCGAATTGCATTAGGTTATTAAGTTGTTAATGTACACTTGCTAGGCCTATCAAAAAAAAAAAAAAAGGAATAAAAAAAATAAAAATTACGTATTTGCAGATAAGTCCAAAATATTTTTCTAAGGGTTCTCCGAGAGGATGTCACAGTCATTAGATGCACCAGCAGCCCTTTTGTGCTCTTTAGAACTCTTAATATCAGTCATAAAATAACTTGACTGAAAATTAAATAACTAAATAAATTAAAAATGAAATTATACTAAAAAGAAATGAAAATACCAGCAGTGTTAAAACAATGTTGCATGAGTCGGACAGAAAACCTCTGCTGAGGTGAAAATGGGCAATAACGTTAGCTGAGAACCAGCTAACTGCGAAATCTCGTGATACTAATGACGTAACAGCACCTACTGCAGCAAAATGGGTAAAACCCGTCGGCTACAGACCCCGGGACCATTCCACGCAACCTCCCCGAGACAGGTCGCGTATCCGATGAACGATTTACTCGCCACACCGCATGGCCTGCGTGGAACATGAGAGCCGGACAAAATGGTGCCATCTTCGCATGAGAGCAGCGACACCACGCCCGGCTCTGTAGGGAGGGAGAAGCTATCACTGACCTCCACTGAACTCGCAGCCATCTCAGCCAACATGCTGACTAAAGGAGACAAGGCAACGCTAGTGGCAAAGCTCCACTCAGCTATCTGCAAGGAGGTCCTCGAGGTCAGGAGGGACCTCTCCACTCTTGAAAACAGAGTGGAGGAACTGGAAGCAGAATTCACGATCGCACTCCAACACAGACAGGCCACGGACCTAGCTGGTTCCGGACAGGGCTCAATTCTACTAGAGCTGCGTTGCCAGGTGGAGGACCTGGATAACAGGGGCCGGCGGAACAACATCCGCATACAAGGCCTACCCAAAGCTGAAGGTGAGGCCCTCCCAGAAATCCTGTAGGGCCTGTTTGACCATTTGCTTGGAGAAGACGCCCCGGCAGAGTTTGGCATAGAGAGGGTGCACAGAGCTTTAAGACCCCCCAGAAGAGAAGGTATCCCCAGGGATGTAATTTGCTGCCTGCACTCCTTCTAGCTGAAAGAAGCAGTCATGAGAGCTGCTATTCCACAGCAATCTATCCTACATGGATGCCCAGGTGTCCCTCTTACACGACTTGTCCGCGATTACTCTCAAGGCATGGCGGCTGTTCACGAGGATGCTCCAAGACAAGCGGATGCCCTATAAATGGGGTTTCCTCTTCAGCCTACATGCCCGAGATGATAATACCTGGCACACCATAAGATGGCCCAACGATGTCCCACGTTTCCTCTGGGCCACGGAACTACCACTGGTGGCTTTTTTTTTTTTTTATACCCTATGTTATGATAGCCCTGATGCACAAACTGGATAGAGAGAGCCTTTTGAGCTGGCAGAAATTGTTAAATTAAGCTAGCATCATTGAATGCCCGTGGGATTAAATCACCATTTAAAAACATCTCTAATTCTGGATTTCCTGAAGAAAAAAGTATAAGTTTGTGCATTACAAGAAACACATTGGATGAAAACTGACAAAATGAATATAAGATCTATTAATTATCCACTTATAAACGCAGCTCTGGAAGAAACGAAAAAAAAAAAATGGGGGTGGGGGGGATTGCCTTTATGTTTTCTAAAAATATATCCATAAATATTAATTACCAAGATCTTGATAAAGAAGGAAGATATATTATCTTGGTGTGCGAAATAAATGCTTTCTATTAGCTAATATATATGCACCTAATAGGTCTAATATAAATTTATAACAGATTATGAAGTAAATTGATCAAATCAAACAGGGGGTGCTATTAATGATGGGTGATTTCAACTGTGTAATAGACCCTTTTAAAGATAGGAAGAACTATAATAGAAAAAAGATCAATAAAGGATCTTAAGATAGACTACAGGGGGGGCATGGCCAAGCGGTTGTACTGAATGGCTGCACTGTTTCAGAGCTCCGAGACACTACAAACGTTTCACCCATATTACCGACAGCGCTGCCTGATCGGCACGATCGCCAGGGCAGCAGTGAGACCAGAGACACAAAATGGGTTGAAAAACCAAAAAGATAAAGCCCGACAAACCTTGCATGGGCCTCGACATCGGAGACTTCCTGCGACAGGCACACTGTGCAAGCAGGCCCAAAACGGCTGACTATCCTGAGGCCTACTCAGACCTGTCAGATGAGTGGTCTCTGGGGGAAGAGGAGGATGACTTGCCGGCCAAAGTAACCTCAGCCACAAAAACTAGCAGCCCTGACAAAGCTCCAGTCACGACTGCGGTGCTTAAAGACCTGCTGGGAGACTTACAGAAAAATATCCTGGCCGACGTGGCAACCCTGCGAGCGGATCTCCAGGGCCTAACGGGCCGGATCGGTGCTGTGGAATTCCACAACCGGAGAACAAGCGCAACACATAGCCTCTATGCTGCAAACAATCTTGGGGCTCCAAAGGCAAAATTAACTGTATGACCACCGATTCGCTACAATTGACACGCGGCGCAAGAACAATCTAAAAATAAGGGGCATCCCGGAGACCATTACCACAGAGGAACTGCCGCATATGCTGAGGCGGCTCATGGTGGCGTTGCTATCCCCACTGCAGGCCAAGTCTATGTCTCTGGAGGACTGCTTCCGCATCCCTAAATCGCCAAAGGACCCTGATGTGGCTCCGCGAGACCTGATAATTCACCTCCACAACGGCAGGGAAAAGGCAGCGGTTCTCACGGCCCTCAAAGACCGGTATCCCTACAATTTCGAGGGAATGCAACTCAGGTCCCTCAGGCCATTCACCGCTTTCCTCCGGATGGCATCCAATACCGCTGGTGGCTGACACGCATCCTGCTGATACTCCATGGAGATGCCCGACATGAGGTCCACAATAGCAGAAGCTACGGCCCTACTGGCCACACTGGGACTCCCGATGGACTCATTGCCACCAGAGAACCCGAGTGGCCAAACCCGCAGCCCATCACTGGGAACCAGCGACAGTGACATTTGTCCCGAGGAGGCACCCTCAGGTTACGTCGGCAGCGGTCACCACTCGAAATCCCAACTGACTTGCCATACCTGCCTATCTTTGTTTGTTTTAAACATTGTTTTCATATGTTATGTATATATATTCTTTCCGTTTATTTCGCACAGCAAGGCTAGCTCACAACAACGCAGCAGCCTACTCATACTTTCCATATGAGCGGTCACCTGATCGCATACCGCCTGCAATTGTGCCATTAGCCGGTTGATGCAAGCACCCCCATCACCAGGCGTTGAATCCTTAGACCCAACAAAAAGTCCTAACTGCACCTTTCTACCCCCTTTAATATAGGATTAGCGGGTGGATAATGAGTCTCCCAAAATATAACTTACCATTAGCTACTTAAGCGGTCATGTAAAGCATGTTTATTTGCTCCACTACGTGGCTGGTAATCAAGTGGTTCCCATCTTTGTACTTTCTGTATGTCAGACAACTTCTTTAACCGTCTTTGACCAATGGTATATCACTTAAAAACTGTGCAGAATCTTCACTTGTATGTATAGAAATGTTCAGCCTGGAACTGCTGTTGTGGCAATACAGGCTCGTTTGTTTTGACTTGCACAACAAAAATAAAGAATATGCAAAAAATAAAACAGACTACAAAATTTGATAGATCAATATAATTTTAGGGATATATGGAGAATGACTCATCCATTGAGTCGGAATTAATTTTTGTTTTAATTTATGAATACACACACTATCAAAAAGTCACATGGCATGGATGATGTCATCATGCAATGTGACCACCAAAATTTATTTTTTTCAACTGTAATAATTAAGGCAATGTCTCATGGTGTCTAGCACTTTAAAAAGCCCCATGCTGTTATTTTTAATTGATTTATTCTTTATTGTACTTCAAAAAAAAAAAGTGAAATTTTTAACTACCATAGACTTTGGAACTCCACAAAATTCCTGGACTTCGTTCTCCTAAGTGGCCAGAACCTTATGGACTGAGCAAAACCTCACATTGCTCCTGAGCTAGTAAATTAATTAATTTATTTATTTCACCAACCTAATCACAGTGTGCACTGCATTGCTGTTTTTACATATACCACAGAGAAGACACCACATCACACACATCCTTAGAGCGAGGATCATACCATGCCACAGTGTCCAAAGGAGCTACATATTAAGCTCCAATAAATGTGAGTGCACTTCCTATTTTACCCATTTTATAATACCAATAGTATTATAAACAACAACACTACATAGTATCCATCTGTGTTCTGTTCTATATCCATGGACCATCTTCTGAGATCTAGAGACCTACCAAAAATGTCCTTAGGTGAGGATCATACCACTCAAGATCTATCCAGAGGAACTCTTTAGCTCCATTTACTGTAAGTGCATCTCTTTTTCTCCTCTACTTTCAATTGTATTGCAAACTACACTATATTACTCCCCCTTCTCTGTCTTCCTGTTTTTTGTTACATATACTATCAGACGCTATATATAGGATAACCAACAGCTTTTAGTATTGCTGTAAGTGTGCTTTATGGCCATGAAGTATAAGCTCATATGCGAACATCAACACAGTTATTTAGAGCTGTACATTGGGATTTGCGATTGTACACCAGTAACTTTTCCAAATGTTAAAATATTTGCGATGTTCGCTAACAGAACGAATGTAGTCACTAGTGCTTACTCATTCTTAAAGAGATGCACAAGCTGAAAAATAAAGTATCGTTGTGGAAATTGCAATCTAGCAACTGTGTAAATAACACATTTACAGACTTTTTCTTAAGATAGAATTTAATTGCAAATCATAAATGCAAATCTAATAAAATAATTTGTTCTACCTTTATTAGGAAATAAATACAAATGCAGGAAAATATAACATGGATGAAGCTATATGAGAAGTATTGAGAATGCATGTTGATAATTGATTGAAAATCAGTTTCTACAGGTATAGGGACTGAATGTCCAACAGAAATGAATGAAACCAGTTTCTAGAATGAAATAGTTCTGTATGCTGTATTAAAATTCCAGATTTATGCTATATATACAATAATTGAAAGGTTTGGATATACAATTGCAATTTTGAGTCCTGCAATCAAGAAAGAGTATAAGAATATGAAATTATGAGCAAGGTTCTGTGTTCCTGTATTACACAGCTTTATAATGGGAACAGAGAGACCGGCATACACAATTGTCAGTCTAATTCATTGTGTTAAAGGGAATGAAAAGGGCCATTAAAGCATATGGTATAAGATATGAGCATTATGTTGTTCAGGGATGGAACCCTGTTTGAATTGTCCATCTGTTTGTAAAGTCCAGTTTCCCTGAGTTAGGAACCACTGCAGTGTAAGTGGCGGTCTCAGCACTACAGGGAGTATCTGCTCATCTGGCCTTTTACGGATACCTTCATTTCTTGGCATTGAAAGAACGATACAGGTTTCAGAAAATGTTCTGCCACAAATTATTCTGTAAGTCACTTAAAGTTTTTAATGTTTCAAGGAAGGCTGTCTTTTCAGTAACGGATCATCATACACCCAGCATTCTCCGTCTTCATGGAACAACTAGGGAGGAAACAACAAAGTCAGATCCATGCAAAACGATCCCTAAAATGTCATGGGGGAAAATATTTGATAATGCAAAGAAACATGGTGGTGGTTGTTATGGTCAAGAGCAACATGTAAATGGTGGAGCACAGACGGATTATTTAAAAAAAAAAAATTTTTTTTTAAATATATATATATATATATATATATATATATATATATATATATATATATATATATATATATATATATATATATACACACACATACATATATACACATACATATATACACACACACACACACACAATACGTTGGGAGTTTTGCACTCCAGCTCTCCTTCCAGTGTCTGCCCGGTGCTCAGCTGCACATAAACATAGAATCCAGGTGAACGGCTAGCACTCGAGGACTTCAATATCAAAAGTAAAAACCTTTAATCCGGTTTGTCAAATAGTCGCCGTTTCAGTCCACCATGGTGAACTTTCTTCAGGACATCCTGAAGAAAGTTCACCATGGTGGACTGAAACGGCGACTATTTGACAAACCAGATTAAAAGTTTTTACTTTTGATATTGAAGTCCTCGAGTGCTAGCCTTTCATTTGGAATATATATATATATATATATATATATATATATATATATATATATATATATATATATATATATACATACACACACACACACACACACAGGAGTGCAGAATTATTAGGCAAATGATATTTTGACCACATCATCCTCTTTATGCATGTTGTCTTACTCCAAGCTGTATAGGCTCGAAAGCCTACTACCAATTAAGCATATTAGGTGATGTGCATCTCTGTAATGAGAAGGGGTGTGGTCTAATGACATCAACACCCTATATCAGGTGTGCATAATTATTAGGCAACTTCCTTTCCTTTGGCAAAATGGGTCAAAAGAAGGACTTGACAGGCTCAGAAAAGTCAAAAATAGTGAGATATCTTGCAGAGGGATGCAGCACTCTTAAAATTGCAAAGCTTCTGAAGCGTGATCATCGAACAATCAAGCGTTTCATTCAAAATAGTCAACAGGGTCGCAAGAAGCGTGTGGAAAAACCAAGGCGCAAAATAACTGCCCATGAACTGAGAAAAGTCAAGCGTGCAGCTGCCACAATGCCACTTGCCACCAGTTTGGCCATATTTCAGAGCTGCAACATCACTGGAGTGCCCAAAAGCACAAGGTGTGCAATACTCAGAGACATGGCCAAGGTAAGAAAGGCTGAAAGACGACCACCACTGAACAAGACACACAAGCTGAAACGTCAAGACTGGGCCAAGAAATATCTCAAGACTGATTTTTCTAAGGTTTTATGGACTGATGAAACGAGAGTGAGTCTTGATGGGCCAGATGGATGGGCCCGTGGCTGGATTGGTAAAGGGCAGAGAGCTCCAGTCCGACTCAGACGCCAGCAAGGTGGAGGTGGAGTACTGGTTTGGGCTGGTATCATCAAAGATGAGCTTGTGGGGCCTTTTCGGTTGAGGATGGAGTCAAGCTCAACTCCCAGTCCTACTGCCAGTTCCTGGAAGACACCTTCTTCAAGCAGTGGTACAGGAAGAAGTCTGCATCCTTCAAGAAAACATGATTTTCATGCAGGACAATGCTCCATCACACGCGTCCAAGTACTCCACAGCGTGGCTGGCAAGAAAGGGTATAAAAGAAGAAAATCTAATGACATGGCCTCCTTGTTCACCTGATCTGAACCCCATTGAGAACCTGTGGTCCATCATCAAATGTGAGATTTACAAGGAGGGAAAACAGTACACCTCTCTGAACAGTGTCTGGGAGGCTGTGGTTGCTGCTGCACGCAATGTTGATGGTGAACAGATCAAAACACTGACAGAATCCATGGATGGCAGGCTTTTGAGTGTCCTTGCAAAGAAAGGTGGCTATATTGGTCACTGATTTGTTTTTGTTTTGTTTTTGAATGTCAGAAATGTATATTTGTGAATGTTGAGATGTTATATTGGTTTCACTGGTAATAATAAATAATTGAAATGGGTATATATTTGTTTTTTGTTAAGTTGCCTAATAATTATGCACAGTAATAGTCACCTGCACACACAGATATCCCCTAACATAGCTATAACTAAAAACAAACTAAAAACTACTTCCAAAAATATTCAGCTTTGATATTAATGAGTTTTTTGGGTTCATTGAGAACATGGTTGTTGTTCAATAATAAAATTAATCCTCAAAAATACAACTTGCCTAATAATTCTGCACTCCCTGTATATATATATATATATATATATATATACACATATATATATACATATATATATACATATATATATATATACATACAGATATATATATATATATATATACACACTGCTAAGTAGGTATACCCCCAAGGAATACATGCATGTATTTTTCATAAATATTCATTGGAGGTATACATTAAAAGAACTTGCACAAACTGTGGTCAGGAATGCTTCTGATGTCTGGGGAAGCGCTAGAGTTCCTGAAGACACTGGCTTGAGGCCAGAAAGAGGCAAGCAATTCAAGTAGAGGGCACCTTCCACTTCAGTTAGCCCAGGAGAGCTAGTGAAGGGAGGAAGCAAACCTCTCTGGCTGTCTGACAGCCATGGGGTATTCCATAAGGTTATTATAAAAGTGACAATTTGTAATAGAAAATTGGCACTTTTATAAACTGGGGTTAAAATAAGAAATTCCTCACCCATAAAGAACTTCAGCATGCTGGAGTGTTTTATGGGTGTGGAGTGTTCCTTTAAGTAGGAACATTTAATAGCTTTCATTAGGTTATTAGCCAGCCAGGTTGGACGACTGCTACTAGATACAGTGTTGCAAAAATAGTTATAAGAACTGCACTCAATCCCGGCAATCACCGGTGCTCTGGAGCAGGACCATCAATCCCAACACGTACAATCAAAAAAGAGATATCCAGGCACTCAAGTGTTGAAGCCGCAGGCAGATTTTAATGGAACAAAAGGAGCAGCAATGTTTCGACCGTCACAAAAGGTCTTTTTCAAGCTAAAAAAAGCTTGAAAAAGACATTTGTGAAGGTCGAAACGTTGCTGCTCCTTTTGTTCCATTAAAATTTGTCTGCGGCTTCAACACTTGAGTGCCTGGATCTCTCTTTTTTTTTTGAAACTACTAGATACAGGCTTAACCCTGCAATATAAACATAGCAATTTCTCACACTGCAGGGTTAAGGGAACAGGGACAATCAATGAGATGAAGTGGTCTGGGTGTCTATAGTGTATTTAAAGGGTTTATGTTATTGCAGTTTATCACATGTGCTCTTTTTGAAGATCAATGCATTCTATGTATACATTTAATAATATATCCATATTATGATACCAGATTTCAAATACATAGACTGGAAGAAAAACCTATATAAAAAAAAAAAAAAGCATACATGAAAAAAAATGTTTAACATCTTATAATTTTGTTTCAATGTCTTATTGCGTAATTTCTAGAGATTTAACAGTTACCCTTTAAGTTGAAAATAAAGAACAAAAAGGATTTAAAATGCATATTTACAAGATATCAACCTACAATAAGCAGTAACAAGAGTTCCTTCATTTCTCTACTGTCATAGAATATAAATAGTAAAAACAAACAAAAAGTTAATAAACCTATTCTACACGTTCACGATTCCTGGAGAAACTTCCGCAAAATGTAAAAGGTTTTTTCACCAAAATGCGCAAAAAATAAAACCCAACAAAACAACCATGAAACAAAAGCAGTAACATGGCTTACCCGGGTCTCCCACTGAGATTCCTTCTCTTTGCGGTCTCTCGCCTCCGCTCGCTGTCTCTCTTCCAAACTGTGCTTTGCTTCTGTTGCTGAATCAATATCTCTGATTTTCAAGTTATACGTTACATCTCTCCACAGCCTTTTTCAAGAACAGATACAGGAAAACAAACACAAGAAGTCAACATTTGTAAAGCGAATACATTCCAAGAGCATCATGGCGACTTGCTACAAAACACCTGGAGTTCCAAAGATTGGCCAATACTGAATTCCAAAACATCACTCTAACAAAATCTTCCACGTGGCCTGGTCACAATTCTTTTAAAAAGGTCTTTAAAACAAAAATTACCTTCGAGATTCATAGTCAAGTTGATCTTCCAATTTCCGAACCTTTTTCTTCACTGGAGGCATCTTCTTGGTATCTATAAAAACTACATTTTCCTGTAAAATAGATAAGTCCGCATGAACAGAAAGTAATAATTGAATAAAAAAGCCATTACAAATATACCCAGTAAGTGCAGCATGATATGCCCATAACAAAAAACCAACAGAGATTCTTGGTATAGGTGTTCTGCATTACATGGTAATGTTCCAGAAACGTCTATAATGCTACAGTACGCACACATAATTCTGCACACACGGTGTTAAAGAACTTTGCTGCCAAAGGTGCAACGCCTCTTTAGCAGATTCATTAGCACACCTGGAACAAAAGTTCTTGGCTGGCGAATGTTAGTTCTTGCATATTTGCCGTCTGTTGGCATGCATAGTATACTGGCGACAGATGACTAATGGCGGTACGACCCCCCCCTTCATGCCACTCAAGTCCTCCCCTGACCTCGGACAGTTGGGGAGAGGTACCCTCAAAATCGGATTGGGTAAAGAAAGGCTTTGGGTCTAAGATAAGTTCATCCATTAAGAACTGTATAAATATTCATGATTTTCTCTCATTCTTTGTGTGACACTGTAGTAAATAAGAAAATGTTTGGCTTTTTTTATATTTCTTTAAAAAGGATTGTACATCCACTGCGCTTATATATTATAAACAGATGGTCCACTTAAAGAGACATAACTAACATTTGGTGCACCACAACATATATTTCTTCTTGTGGATATAGATTTAGAGATTCATTTTGCATTTTCAAACAGTGTGAAAATAGATTGACAAAATAAATAAAAATGAGGAACTACCCTTGTTGATTTCTTGCACCCATACCACTACAATAAGGGATTATAGCTTGAAGTGTCCGATTAAACCTCTCGTAACAAATTGTACTTATCTACTGCAGTCTGTCAAAATGTTAATTGCATCAAATGATAAATCATATGATCTTTATCAAACATCATATAATACACCATGACCCGTATTTAAGTTTCTCTGTCATCTAATAGACAGATGAGAATTTTAATGGATTTTGCCTTGAATTTAAGACTTTTTTTCCTACAATAGATGTCATTTTGGGATTGTATCATAATGTTCAACCTCTCAGGCAGGTTAAGAAATACACGTTCTGATTATGTCCAAGCAGCAAATCAGAGCTTGAATTTTCATCAAATGGGTCAAATATCTCCAAGTAGCAAATAAGAAAGTGAAATTTAGAAAGTTAGGCAGATTATCTTCTAGTAGTGATCTCTGCTGGGGTGTAATGTTTGATCTACCCGAGAAGGAATAATGCACATAGGAAGATCAGGTTGATTTGAAAACCAATAGATTTTCATAGGAAAACAAAGCTACACAAATGATCTGTGAAAGACACAGACAGTTTGTAAAGGTTTTAAGATGGTGTTATTAAAGTATATATACTCTGAAATCTTCGTTTTTGTTTCACAAACTGTCATTTGATCTACAAGACACGGCTTACAGCATTAGACGCCACCATTGCAGTGTTTGATAGCACAGAAAGGAATTATTCTCTAATTACCCCATTTGAATATTTTGCATACATGACCCCATTCCATTCTCCTTCGACAGAACAGAATGATTTCTTCTCATTTGGAGGACTGTGGGAAACAGAAATACATTATAACATTAATACAAAGATTCCAACCAATTGCTCCATTCATTACTTCTATTTGGCGAGTGCTTGGCAATTTACTTTCTACTCTAAGGGGCTGGCTATCAGAGACTATCTAATTCCTTCTCCCATCACACTGCTGCATGCACGCACGTAACCAAGAAGGATCAATATTCTCTAATCTATATCAATATCAATCCTAACTGCGGCTGACCCCATGTTCTATGCATATGTAGGTTAATACAATACTTACTAGATTTCCGCTGTGACTCTGTGTTTTTTCCCACCATAGAAAGGTTTGGTGTGGAAGGTGACTGTGGCACTGTAACCGGTTTTGGAACAATTAATACTGCACTCTCCTCCGAGTTCCACCCACGGCACAGTCAGGATGGATCTAAGAGAAAAAAAAAAAACATGTGGTTTATCAACTAATGGGAATGGTGATACACCACATCAGAATATAGAAGATTGTGATGGGACTTATTAAAATTTTTATATATATATATTTTTATTAGTGATGTTGGGCTGATGAAAAATACCTTGACTAATCCCTGCTACCCTTTGCCTCATTCCCTACTATCGCTCTATTCCAAAAGGGATCGATCTATAATTGCTCCTCTCACATCCCGCCACGGTCTATCCTTACACTGGCTTCCTGTATCCTATAGATGTCAATTCAAAATATTAACCCTTACCTATAAAGCTCTGGCCCCTGTTACATTTCTTCATTGATTCCTTCTCGGTCTCTCCGCTCTGCTGGTGACCTCCTGTTTGCTACTCGCACCCTTACAGCTAACTCACACTTGCAAGAATACTCGAGGGCAGCTCCATTCTTTTGGAACAGCCTACCTACCCCACCAAACTCTCCCCTCGTCCCTCAAAGCCCATCTATTCAGAAATTCTTATGGACTCCTAGAGTAACTTCTATGTCACAAATCGTTCTCTTGCTCTTTCCTAAAGAGTCACACTCCACGTTCAGCTCCAGTTCTGCTACTTTTCCACCTCATTTTTTTTGCTGTCCCCCTTTTTTTGCTGCCCTTCCTATTGTGTCTTTATACTCCACTCCTCTAGGCAGTTGGCTCGTTTGAGCAGGGTCCTAATCTACCTATTGCCCCTGTAACATTTTGTAATTGTATTATTTATTGCTAAATTCCCTCCTTTTATAATATTGTAAAGCGCTGCAGTATAAGTTGGCACTGTATAAATACCAATAATAATAATTAATACAACGTTAAACAAAGATCTGCACACCAGTCAAGCCATATGACTTGCTTTTCCCACAGAAATCACAAATTTGCAGTGATGTTACTACTGCAAAGGATTCTGGGTGGGCATACACAAATTAGTTGAACAAAAAAATCACATTTTTGCCTCATTCCATTTTAAGCATGGATTCCTTTGAGTCTGTTTGCTGTATACAACATCTTTGAAACACAACTTCAGAAAGGATGCAAAGCCATCCTAAGTTGTGTTTCAAAGCTGTTGTATGCAGCAAACAGACTCAAAGGAATCCATGTTTAAAATGGAATGAGGCAAAGATGAGATTCTTTGTTAAACTAATTTGCATATGCCCACCCAGAATCCTTTGCAGTAGTAACATCACTGCAGATTTGTGATTTCTTTGGGAAAAGCAATTCTTGACTGGTGTGCAGATTTTTGTTTAACATTGTATTAACTATCCACAGACTTCAGGTGGAAGGGGTTTTCAATCACAATTTTTTCCCACCATAAACTTGTGGGGTTTTTGCTTCCCAATAATAATGATGATGATATTAAGAAAATACTCCAACTCACCTCCCATATCCATTGGGGAATGTTAGGATGTAATGCTCATCATAGTCCAAACAAGTGACACAGCCTGTGAGAGACAATGTAGAAACATTTTAAATAGACTTAATAAAAAAAAAAAAAATTAGCTTTGTAACAAATCCCAAAGTGCAAGGTCTGCCCCCAGCACACAATTAACAATATCCCTGTATGTACAGGGTTTCAAGCTGGAGTGGTCATGGTGGCTGGAGTAACCCTTTCAATTTCTCAATTTGTAATGCATCCGTCTATACACAAGATTTCCAATAGGAGGTTGAAGTCGGAAATGTATTAAAATGAGCAGATTTTTTACAGCAGATATTCTATTCTAAACACTGTAAGCTTTACCTTCTAACTCACAAATAACAATTTCACTTAATACACCCCCCACTTTGTTCTATATCCACCCACAGCATGCCAACAGATTGTACCAATGAAACTAAATCCCTTACCTTGTCCAATATTGTGGACCCCAATGGACATTCCTAAAAATTTAGACTTGGTCCATATGTGAGCGTTAAACTGTATTCTCTTGTTATAACATTCGGCATAAAAGGCTGAAACTTGATGAAGAAAGAAAGGAGAGAGCAGACAAAATGCATTAATCTGTGAGAAAAGGCATTAAGAAAACAAACAATGCAATAAAGGTAAAGTGTAAACATTAGATGACTTTACAGGAAGTGTTTAGGAAGGCTGTGTAGGTCACATGCAGGTAGGTGGGACTAGGGCTGCATAAAAAATAAAAAAAAAGTGATTTAACTCCTAAATGGCAAAGAATGGAGTATTGCAACTGCAGGGACATGATCTATACACCAAAACTGCTTAATAAAGCTAAAGTTGTTTTGGTGTTTATAGTATCCCTTTAATTTTCTTATTTGTGAATTAACAAAAAATGAATACATACTCATTCGTCAAATTATCTTCATCTAATAGTCTGTGCAGTTCAAAGCATGATACATAAAGTAATAGTCAGTACAAATATTGATTAAAGGAACATTAAGCACCAAGACCACTACATCTCAATGTAATGGTTTTGGTGCAAAAAGTTGTAAAAAAGTTGGATAATGTAAAACATTGCAATTTCTAAGAAATAATGCCTCTAGAAGTGGTGGTCAGACTGAGCTACTTCCACCTTGCGGTCTTTCATTGATTGAATGTCTTCATGTGCGGTGGCATTTTGCACCAGGTGTCTGCAATGCTTCACTATAGGCATTTCAATTGGACCAGAGATCACCATGACTGACAGGTGACAGCTTTAGTCCTTTATTACATGTAAATTTTATGGCTTAAATTTTTTTTTAATATCTTACAGAAAGGAGGGGAGCAGAAATCTACATCTGCTAAAAAAATTTAAAAAAATAAAAAAAGTTGACCATGTTAAAAATAAAGAAATAATATTTTCTGGACAAAAAATTCTGAGGTATAAGTGGGAAAATGATGCATCCAGTCATCAAAATATGTTTTAAGCAGATGTACTCAGAGCTGCATCTGAAGAGCACGGCAATAATATTTCAAGCTGACGGAGACACATGAAGTCAGCAGAGAGTTAGCAAATTGCACAATAAATCAGTTAATGGATAAATCAGCAGAAACATGATGTTCTATACACATGGTGCAGCACCAGAGGTTAAAGGGACACTATAGTCACCAGAACCTCTACAGCTTAATGTCCGTCTACAACCTACCATTTCAGGCTTTTCAATGTAAACAAACACCTCTAGCTGCAGTCACTCAGACTGTCACTACAGGTGCTTCCTGAGTCAGTACTGCAGTGTGCAGCACCTACATTTTGCATTTCCACACTCTGCAGGGATATGCGAAAAGCTCCCCATAGAGATGCACTGATTCAATGCATATCTATGAGGGGATGCGGATTGGCTGATGACCTTGGCAATGAAGGTGAGGCATCCGGCAGCAAGACCAGAGCGGCGAGGGAGATAAAGTAAGTAAAATCACATTTTATCTCCACAGAGGTGAACAGTTAGTTTAACACGATAGTGTTAGGAATGCACATTTGTATTCCTGACACTATAGTGTTCTTTTAAAAAGAATATCTGCAAATCAATTTATTCATATAATGCTTTATGATGGGTGGAACAATACAACATTTTATTTACAGGAATGAGGCAGGGATAGCGCTGCTTCTTCCTTTAAATGAACACTATAGTAGTAGAAATGCATGTTTGTTTTCCTAACACTATAATGTTGGACTAGCTATTTAGGTCACCACCCTCTTACCTCCCTCCATAGTGGAGTTAAAACGTTTTAAAAACCTACCTTTTCTCCATCACTGCGCTGGTCTCGCCACTGCTGGCCCTGCCTTCACGTCTGAAATCACCGATCTTTATGATCTCAGCCAATCTAATGCTTTGCAATAGTAAAGTATTGGGAGGCTATTGCATCTGCATGGCAAAACACTGCACTGCGCAAATCAGCATCTCCTCACAGAGGTGCATTGAATCAATGCATTTCTATAGGGAGTGTTCATGGGTGGGATCAGCCGGATATGCAAAAGGTACAAGTTCTCTTTGTAATGACACAAGTAAGCAAAAACATTTGAGACCTGAGAGGAGACTGAACGAAAGGCAAGCTACGGAGTATCTTTAAGCTTTTGCCAGAGTTCTCATATTCTCTGTTTTAGATCCCATGTGTTGTGATGAATGCTACCACAAATGAAAAGCTGTAACTAGGTATGTTGGATCCAAAGTGCTGAATTCGGAATGGGGTGGGTCGAAACACGTAGTATACTTTTCTTAAGAATTTATTATGGTCAATTGCTTTTTTTTTTTTAAATTTAATTTTAAACCTTTTTACACAGGTAAATAGTTTTATTTATTTTTAGTTATTTCTTTAGGTTTGATAAACAAAAATGGAAATTAAATTCACACAAAAATGAAACAGAACCCCACACACACACACAATTATCATATTTTCAAACCAATTACAAAAAAAAATAAAAAAATTTACTTGGTGGGTGGTGCGAGACCTGCTCGGACACAAACGTTACATTGTTTTTGGAAGCCCACGGTACTGGCCCTTCAGAAACTGTCTCCTGGAAAGAGATATTGAACGATAAAGCTTTGATAAAACACAAAAAAGAGGGTTTAAAGAATTAAAGTGGATGAGATAGAGATCAACATCTAACAGATTTTATTTGTTGATTTATAAATTAGGATATACTAGTGTTGTAGTATATTTTAGGATAAAATCTTATGTTGGAGAGTACATAGAAATCTGCTTTCTTTGGGTAATAAACGCATAATGGAAGCACAATTTCATTTTGATATCACTTTTTAAGAAAGTATACTCGTCCATGATCACGGGATCTGATTAACAGTTGCTCAGGAAGTACACAAAGTACATTCTCAGTCTCTCGTTCTTCAAGTACGTGGTTTTTGCACACATTTAAATTTGGCTTTTCCTCACAACTGGTTGACACAAATACATACTGTTAAAGTAATTACGTAAGATGGAGTTTTACACGGGTCCTGTTACTCCTCCAGTGATTTCCATTGTAAAGCGGTGACTTGCTGATATTTCACAACCAATCCCGAATCTTTCATTAGTTTTACAGGGGTGAATTAATGAGGATGATTTTTAAATGAGCATGCCCTGTATTATCAAAGGTTTGAAAATAAATGAAGCAGATGGTAGCTTTCATTCACATGTAACCATATTTTTAGCGGGTGGAGGGGTGAGGGGGTGTTTTTTCTATTAAAAAAAAACACTTTCTGTTCATTAATAACAATTTTGTTTAACACCATAAAAAATTTTTGTCTGCCAAACACAAAATCACAGCAAAATGAACCTACAAAACAATCATGGACTGCATGAGTTTAGAAGAAGCCAAAAAGCAAGTGCATGCCAGTTACCATTTCTTACGGTCTGTAAACCAAGGCTCAAAATTAGCATTTTCCTCAGCCACTGGCAAGTAGCATAGTAATTTAGTATTTAAGCAACATCATAGATTATTATTATAAAGGGCTGTGAACCTTTATATACAATGGCTAAGGAAATACATTTAATACTATCTGTGGCGGACCTGGCATCAGTCCCTTGGGTTGCCTGAACCCATGTTGAGTTCTTGCAAACAGATCTGTAACCCCCTTGTGTGTGTGTCCCGTTATTGACTTGGAACACCGACCACCCCTGGCTGTTAAACGCAATTAAGGAGTACTTGAGTGCTTCCCCTAGGTGGCCGCCATTCCATTTCGTCTCCTGAACGCAGGCAGCGTTACTTGGTCGTCAAGTGTGTGGAACTAGTTTTGGCTACACGTTCTTGTGAACCCTGATCAAGATGGTACTGCTGCCTGTATACTTTCCTGAACAACTACACTAACCACGTTCAGGAGATATGATCTACCGACTGGGGGGAGCATTGGTCGGTGTTTGTGAAGGAACTCCCGAACCAAGATCGGCTACAGCCCTGGATTCTCTGGAACTCTTTTGGGGCATCACCTAGTGGTCGGCCGGTGAAATCTTCTCCCGAATAGCGATCTGAGCACTTTTCGGATATATGTTGTGTGCTCAGATTCAGGCTATTCGGGTATATAAAAATTGTGGGGTTCTGTACAGTTTTATTATATTTTGGGGATTTTTTAATAAAATGTTATGTATTTCATGTAACAGAGATAATTGAGCTGGGAATTTTAGATAACTCCATTATCTCTCAGACCCAGTACATCTTGGGAAAATTCCCTGTAAACTTGTCCCGAAGACTCCATGCTATGGGGCTGTGCATAAAAAGCCATGTGTAGGCTAATAAAAATCAGTTGACTCCCAGAACTGTGTCATCCAGATACTGAAGGAATGGGCTATATTCGCTGACCAGCACTTCTCTTCTAGCTCCAGAGGATTACAGCGGAGATTTTCAGTCTCAGCATTGCTTCTACGCTACGCTATCCAAAACAAAATCAAGTGCAGTTCTCTAAATTGCGCAGTTTCCTAAACTTTCTTCTTGATGGATTTTTTTTATGGATCTTAAGAATACTACAGTAAAGCAGGTGTTGATATAGTTCAAGCTTTAGAACTGACCAATTTACTCTGATGTACAAACCGTAATCGACGATTTAAGTTTGACACTCCTGCAATCAAAACACAAGTTTTTTTCTGTCCCCAGAGTAAAGTGTTAACACTCACAGCGTTTTCTTCATTTTCAAGACCTGGCAAATCCCAATGACACTGGAAAACCTCTCCCAGGATGGGGTTATAAGGCTTCTTTGCCACTGATCCTTTCCTGCCAGCGTGGAATGCCGATAGGTACCATCTAACCACCTGTACCATCCTGTCTTTGGGATCCTTGTGGTCACCAATGCTGGGAAAGGACAAAACAAATTCCCCATCACGATCTAAAACGTTACCAGGTTTAGGCAAGCAACAGAATTTTAACAGCATCTGTAGAAAAATAGCCATATTACACTCAATATCATCTCTAAAACCTGCCTGGATACACTGTATCTTGTGTAAATTATGCTAAACAAGTCTGTCAAATGGGAGAACTATTGTGTTCTGTTGGCAGAGTTATTCATATACTTTTATGGATCCCAATGAAGCGGGTCAGATCTTGCCCATCACACACTGGCAGAGGCCATCAACCACAAATCTACAGAATGGATTTAGGGAGTTTCTCTTAGCAAACACAATGTGGTAGAGTAGAGATGTAGACAAATAATAGTGTTAATACATTGATTGACAAAAATCTAAATGTTTTTGCATATCTGTTCCATTAGCAGAGCACTGCAAATTTTAATGAATATAAGCAAACGGTTTATTGTAATAACACAAAGGGCTGTGCGAGAATTTAATGCCTTACATGTTGGTTTATGAAACTGCAAATTTTAACGAACCAAATCTAATTTCAAATTAAACAGCGTATTTTAGCCTTAGTTTTGCTATTTGGGTTTAATTTGCTTAGTTGTAGATTATTTCAGAGAAAATATTTTAGCCACAACTTTAAAATTCAGATTTAAATTTGCTACAATTCTGAGTTCAGTGAATAAGCCTAATTTGTAGCTCTGCCATACCTTACAAACAGGTCTGGATGTGCAAAGAAATCCGCATACATTTCAAGAAGCGATCTTCTTTCAAGAATAAAAGTGGGAAGCACAACCTGAATGTAGATTTAAAAACAAACAAACCACAAATGAAAATCCACGATCTAACAAATTCTGTAAAGATTAAACCTTCACTAACATCACAGCTGCTGTGTGTCTTCCACTAAACCATTACTAATGTGCTTCTATAGGAGATGCTTTACTTGATATTCAATAATACAGAGCAATATTCCCTGCACTGTCCTGCTTTTACCTTAGTGAGGTCCATTCCCAGCCGGACCTGAGACAGGAGGTGCATTATAACACTTTTATGTTCCTCTACTGACTCTCCTTCTCCATCATCATGGTCATCATGGGTGTCAAACTGATCTAAAACAGAACAGAAACATTTCAAGACATAATCAAGTCACAGGCTGAATCTGGGCTTAGGGGGAAGAAATTATCCCCTCCAGAAATAAACCTCTCACCAATTTTGCCTTCTTAATTTATATGTCCTGGCACATATATGGTTCATGACATGGAAATAGTTTAACCCCTGCAGTGATATATGTATGCTATGATACTTTCCTCTGCTGCTTTGTTCAATCCATTAATTGCTGTAACATTCACTGGGTGATGGAAAAAGAAAGGGTTTAAGTGTTTGACTGGCTCTGTTTGTTGTATTCTGGGATGCCGTAGTTAAACTATGCTGGGAAGACCATTGTCTTTTTAGAGGCCAAAGTGAAGAAGACATACACCAAGTTCTTTAGAAATGCCACTGCCAGGCCAGCCAACACAATGCTCAAAGAACAATAAAAAAATAAAAAATAGATGTTTTGGATGCTTTCATGAATAACCTAGAATAATGAATGTAAAGCACATTTCATGCTTTATTGATCTATGCAATATCTTGGTAAATTTCCAAAATCTTTAAATATTGCCTTCGCTGCTACAGGTAATGGAGAGAACTACCTGCATCATTTGTCCCATTGGACATTGAGGAGTTCAGGGATTCTGCAGTATCTGGTCTCTTCAAACTGGTTCCCGTGCTACTGTGCGTCAAGGCTGCCGCAGACTCTGATGAACTAAAACACAAAATCAGATGCATTCATGAATAGTGGCGACCACCAGAACCCTTTTTAAGGATTTACATTTCTCCAGTTTTAAAATATACCCAAGGGAAACACAAGTGAACTCAACTTTTGTCAACCTCAAAACAGTGTATGGCTGAGTCCAGGGGTAGGTATCCTGGAGGCACTCCAGATGTTGTGGACTAGATCTCCTCAATACTTTGCCAGCATTATGGCTATAAGAGCATCATGGGAGATGAAGTCCACAACATTGGGCGGATCGAAGGTTGCCTACCCCTGACTTAGTCAATCACGCCAGGATTGTACCTGAAATCAAGAAGAAAAAAAACCCACGCACTCCAGCTGATGCAAAACTGTTCTCTTACAAGCCATGAACAGGGTCATTCACACAATATCCCAAAAAAAATGCTGCACTGCATAGAAGAAGGCACAAGCAGTGTACATAATAAATAGATGGGCTGTGAAAATTTAGCAATAAAAATAAAGACGTCAAGTTTAAACCATAGGAAGCTGACTATGCAGACTGAATAAGATCACCGCCAGTTAAGTACAAGTGGTTCCTGGCATGTACAGGAAAAGGAAATTTATGCAGGCCTGTCTGCATTACTGATAACACTACAATTACCATCAAAAAGGGACATTCCCATTTATAGACAAAATAAATAAATCCAGCAACAAGCTCCTAGTTTATTCTGAAACATTAAATAAACTTAAAGTAACTCAACACAGTTTTAGATGCACCATCACCCACCATTAAAAAAATAAAAATAAAAATAAACTTTTTTTTTTTTTTTAAAACCACAGGACCCTTTTAATCTGTAAAAAAAGGTAATACATCTTTTGTTCATCTTGTACGGTCACTGTATTGTATTATGTAGAAGCCTAGTCATGTGACTGCTCTGTTTACTACCACGGTCTCATTGGACACAATGTATTAGTCCTCCTGCTCAGTTGTGGACCAGGCCCCTCCACTCCTATCTATTCTGGTTAGTGTTCGTAGTAGTATTGTTTGATATTTTTAGTTTCTTTGCAATTTCTCGCATGGAATAGCCTTCATCTCTCAGAATAAGAGTAGACTGACAAGTTTCAGAACAAAGATGTTTGTTTCTGGTTATCTCAAGCCTGTAATCAAACCCACAATTGCTGATGCTTCAGATACTCAACAAGTTTAATAAAGCTCAGTTTTCTACTTCTTTAAAGGACCACTATATGCACCCAGACCACTTCAGCTTAATGAAGTGGTCTGGGTGCCAGGTCCAGCTAGGTTTAACCCTTTTTGCTGTAAACATAGCAGTTTCAGAGAAACTACTATGTTTACCTATGGGTTAATCCAGCCTCTAGAGGCACTTCCGTGCTTCTCACTGATTTTCACAGTGAGAAGACGCCAGCGTCCATACGAAAGCATAGAGAATTCTTTCCTATGGACTGGCTGAATGCGCGTGCGGCTCTTGCCGTGCATGCGCATTAAGCCAGGGACGTCAGAAGAGGGAGGAGAGTCCCAGCGCCAAGGGCACTGGAAAAAAGGCAAGGGATTAACCCCTTCCTCCCTGAGGGCACTATAGTGCCATGAAAACGAGTATGTTTTCCTGGCACTATAGTGGTCCTTTAATCAGCACTACAGTTTTCAGTTGTGCCAACATAATTGCAAAAAGGTTTTCTAATGATAAGTCAGCCCTTTTAAATTATAAACGTGGATCAGCAAACACAATGTGCCACAGGTCAGCTGGTTGGGGATAATGGGCCTCTGCATGAATTATGTAGATATTCCATTAAAACCAGCTGTTTCCAGCTACAGTAGTCATTTAAACAATAATGTCTACACTGTACTTCTGATTGATTTGAATTTTATTTTAATGGACAAAAGAAAAAGAAAAGAAAAAAATAAATAAAATCAGCCTTTCTTTCGAAAACAAGGAAGCTTCTAAATGGCCCCAAATGAACTAGTGCAAAGTTAATGCGGTCTGAGCCAGCGAAGGTAAGGGGGAGTGGGATAGGAGGGCTGCCTTCAGTGTGGGTGAGAGGAAGAAAATGTTACATCTTTTACCAGCGTGCAGTGTGCGTTGACGGACTTATTTTGTGCACAGAATTGACATTAGGCAGCCTGGAACAGAGTTGTTTGGGGTGCACATAGGTGCAAATTTCAGGCTGAACCACTGCACATCCAGACTCCAACCACCATGGCCACTTCAAAAAGCAAAAGTGGTCATGGTGGTTGGAGTAACCATTTAAAACAAGAATGGCAAAATAGCGGATGTGAAGACAATCTAACTTTACTACAGTCACAGTTTGGCAAATGTAGCCTTTGGTCCCCCCCTACCCGCCTCAAGAATTTGTTAGAATTCGATGTTTTGTGGCTAACCTTGTAAATAAAACACATTAGTGAAAACATAAAAATGCTTGATTTATTCTTAAATCTTTAGAAAGAAAAGGGTAGATTATTATTTTGGAGAGAAGATTTTAGATGTTAGTCTATCCAGTCAAACTCTATTCATGATCTAACATGCAATGGCTCGGACCTGCCTTCTTCCAATGATACAGCCTTTTATAGGACTCACTACTGTAAGACTCACTACACTAGACTGTAAGCTCGTTTGAGCAGGTTCCTCATCTACCTATTGTTCCTGTGTCACTGTGTAATTGTCTAATTTTGTTGTAAATTCCCAACCCCCCTTCATAATGTTGTAAAGCTCTGCGTAATTAGTTGGCGCTATATAAATACCAATAATAATAATACTGTGGTTATTTTATAAAATGCTTTACGAGTTGCTTTTGCACTGTTTCACGTTATGCTCCCTGGAAGAAGTTATGTATTTGTTTATACTGCTATAGCCGCTTCACTCCATATTATGATAAAGGTAAATTGCTACATTTTATGGTTTGACTTTGTTTCAATAAAGTATGTACTTTGATCTAGCAAAATTATATATATTTTGCAATTCCTTATAAGAAGTTCAGAAAGAAGTGGAATCATTAGGAATACTAACATATATAAATGCTAAAATATAGAAGCTATTTTAAAGACTACTGAAATACATTTATGAGCTAATTGCAATTTGAGTATGCAGCACCATGCAAGGACATAGGAAATCTATTGGAACTCATTCTCTCCCTGGGTGGTATGTAGGGCATTTCAATGGCACAGTTATAACTGGAATCATTAATGCATTGCCTCACCTATTACATCAGGTCCCTTGTGAAATAGGATTAAGAGGTTACTTACTCCATGCCGCGTTTTGGGGAGGAACCGGTCTGATAATATTCGTCGGCATCATAGAACTCGTCCTCACTGCTGGAGTAGGAGAAGTCTGGGACGGTGTTCGGAGACAGATTAACATGGCTGGGGGAGGTCAGGCTGCTGCTGGGGACAGATTGACCGCTTCCTAGAATGAGAAACGGATGTATTGATCAGACACTGACAAAGCATTCACACTACAAATCACAATCTCAGTAAATGTAGTTTTAAAATTTTAAGAATGTAGTGGGAGCCAATACCTTCATGGAGATTAGTAGTTCATTACATTTTTTATTCTTTAAAGCAGATCTGGCACTTTGGCATATTTTATTTTTGCATATCGCATATTTTTCAACGGTGATGTTCTGGTGGACACTGGTTGCAGGAGAAGGTGGTAGTTCTTAGCTAAAGCGGTCCCTCGCGGCCACCACCATCTTCACTCAGCGCATCCTATTCAGCTCCTGTCTTCATCTGCCAAGACCAGTTTCAGAGCAGAACTCGCACATGCGGTCTTTGGAGGATCCCTTTAGGTAAGACCATCCCATAGATCTAGGTATAAATTCCAAAGCCATCAACTGGAACAGCAGCTGGGATTGGACAAAAGTTGACCTCAGATTTACCATAAGACAAAGTTGTCCCTACTTAGTCTTGTGGTAGATTTGAATCTTGTTGGAATTTCAGTGAAATTCCAACGCCATCAGGATCAGTATTTAAAAAAATTGTATCTTCATAAAACACTTAAAAGTTACACCATCGCCAGTTAAAATGAGTGAAGTGATCATGGTGCTTGGAGTAACCCCAGAAATCGACTTGAGAAAAATCCCCAGCTTGGTGATTTGCACTTTAGCCAATCCTAAAGGGTTATTAGCTAAAACAGTATTTTGGTCTAAAATTTGTAACTCACTTGTGAATTTTTGAAAATTAATAATGTGAATAATCTTTATGCAAAAATGTGAAATTTCAAAGAAATACAGTGCCTTGCAAAAGTATTCACTCCCCTTGGCATTTTTCGTGTTTTGTTGCGCCTCACAACCTGGAATTAACATAGATTGTTTGAGGATTTGCATCATTTAATTTACAGGACATGCCCACAACTTTGAAGATTTTTTTTATTGTGAAGCAAACAACAAATAGGACAAAATAACAGAAAAGGTCCATGTGCATAACTATTCAAGCCCCTAAAGTCAATACTTTGTAGAGCCACCTTTTACAGCAATCACAGCTCCAAGTTGCTTTGGATAAGTCTCTATTAGCTTGCCACATCTTACCACTGGGATTTGTGCCCATTCCTCCTTGCAAAACTGCTCCAGCTCCTTAAGTTGGATGGTTTGAGCTTGTGAACAGCAATCTAAGTCTGACCACAGAATTTCTATTGGATTGAGGTCTGGGCTTTGACTAGGCCATTCCAACACATTAACATGTTTCCCCTTAAACCACTTAAGTGTTGTTTTAGCAGTGTGTTTGGGGTCATTGTCCTGCTGGAAGGTGAACCTCCATCCTAGCCTCAAATCACGCACAGATTGGTACAGGTCTTGCTCAAGAATATCCCTGTATTTAGCACCATCCATCTTTCCTTCAACCATGACCAGTTTCCCAGTCCCGGCTGCTGAAAAACATCCCCACAGCATGATGCTGCCACCATGTTTCACTGTGGGGATGGTGTTCTTTGGGTGATGTGATGTGTTTGGTCTGCACCAGACATAGCGTTTTCATTTAGTAGCCGAAAAGTTCAATTTTAGTCTCATCAGACCAGAGCACCTTCCTCCATACAATATGGGAGTCTCCAACATGCCTTTTTGCAAACTCAAAACGTGCCATTTTATTTTTGCTGAAAGTAATGGCTTTCTTCTGGCCACTCTGCCATAAAGCCCAACGCTATGGAGCGTACGGCTTATTGTCATTCTATGTACAGATACTCCAGTCTCTGCTGTGGAACTCTGTAGCTCCTCCAGGGTTACCTAAGGTCTCAGTGCTGCCTCTCTGCTTAATGCACTCCTAGCCCAGTCCGTGAGTTTTGGTGGGCGTCCGTCTCTTGGCAGGTTTGCTGTTGTGCCATGTTCTTTCCATATGGTTATGATAGATTTGATGGTGCTCCTGGGGATCATCAAAGATCTGGATATTTTTTTTATAACCTAACCCTGACTTGTACTTCTCTCCCTTACTTGTTTGGAGAGTTCCTTGGTCTTCATTGCAGTGTTTGGTTAGCAGTGCCTCTTGCTTAGCTGTTGCAGCCTCTGGGGCCTTTCAAAAAAGGTGTGTATATGTAATGACAGACCATGTGACACTAACAGTTGCAAGAAAAAAGTATGTGAACCCTTTGGAATGATATGGATTTCTGCACAAATTGGTCATAAAATGTGATCTGATCATCATCTAAGTCACAACAATAGACAATCACAGTCTGCTTAAACTAATAACACACAAAGAATGAAATGTTGCCATGTTTTTATTGAACACACCATGTAAACATTCACAGTGCAGGTGGAAAAAGTATGTGAACCCTTGGATTTAATAACTGGTTGAACCTCCTTTGGCAGCAATAACTTCAACCAAACGTTTCCTGTAGTTGCAGATCAGACGTGCACAACGGTCAGGAGTAATTCTTGACCATTCCTCTTTACAGAACTGTTTCAGTTCAGCAATATTCTTGGGATGTCTGGTGTGAATCGCTTTCTTGAGGTCATGCCACAGCATCTCAATCGGGTTGAGGTCAGGACTCTGACTGGGCCACTTCAGAAGGCGTATTTTCTTCTGTTTAAGCCATTCTGTTGTTGATTTACTTCTATGCTTTGGGTCATTGTCCTGTTGCAACACCCATATTCTGTTGAGCTTCAGCTGGTAGACAGATGGCCTTAAGTTCTCCTGCAAAATGTCTTGATAAATTTGGGAATTCATTTTTCCTTTGATGATAGCAATCCGTCCAGGCCCTGACGCAGCAAAGCAGCCCCAAACCATGATGCCCCCACCACCATACTTCAGAGTTGGGGTGAGGTTTTGATGTTGGTGTGCTGTGCCTTTTTTGTGCCACACATAGTGTTGTGTGTTTCTTCCAAACAACTCAACTTTGGTTTCATATGTCCACAGAATATTTTGCTCAAGTGCAAACTGTAAACGTGCAGCAATGTTTTGTTTGGACAGCAGTGGCTTCCTCTGTGGTATCCTCCCATGAAATCCATTCTTGTTTAGTGTTTTACGTATTGTAAATTCGCTAACAGGGATGTTAGCATTTGCCAGTGACTTTTTTAAGTCTTTAGCTGACACTCTAGGATTTTTCTTCACCTCGTTGAGCAGTCTGCGCTGTGCTCTTGCAGTCATCTTTACAGGACGGCCACTCCTAGGGAGAGTAGCAGCAGTGCTGAACTTTCTCCATTTATAGACAATTTGTCTAACCGTGGACTAATGAACAGCAAGGCTTTTGCAGATACTTTTATAACCCTTTCCAGCTTTATGCAAGTCAACAATTCTTAATCGTAGGTCTTCTGAGAGCTCTTTTGTGCGAGGCATCATTCACATCAGGCAATGCTTCTTGTGAAAAGCAAGCCCAGAACTGGTGTGTTTTTTTATAGGGCAGGGCAGCTGTAATCAACAGCTCCAATCTCATCTCATTGATTGTACTCCAGTTGGCTGACATCTCATTCCAATTAGCTATTGGAGATGTCATTAGTCTAGGGGTTCACATACTTTTTCCACCTGCACTATGAATGTCTACATGGTGTGTTCAATAAAAACATGGCAACATTTCATTCTTTGTGTGTTATTAGTTTAAGCAGACTGTGATTGTCTATTGCTGTGACTCAGATGATGATCAGATCACATTTTATGACCAATTTGTGCAGAAATCCATATCATTCCAAAGGGTTCACATACTTTTTCTTGCAACTGTAGATTGCCCACAAGTGGACATCATTTCACTAATTATGTGACTTCACATAAAATGTAGATTAATAAAACATTGAACTTAAGGCTGTAATGTAACAAAAGGCAACTGTATGTTGTTTAACCCCTTAACGACAGCATTATGGTCTATGTCGTCATGTAGAGCAGGGCTTTAATGCCTGTTGACGGCGTATGACGTCATGATTTAAAGTACCAAAAAGGTAGAGAGGATATGCACACACTATCCGGGAAGTACTCCCATGAGGGTGCTCCAGACAAGAAGGGCAACAAACGCAGGAAAGATTCAATAGAACAAGGCACATCCAGAGGTTTCTTCAGTAGGCAGCTTTAATATAAAGCACAGAACAAAAACAAAGTTTTTGCTCCTTGGTTAGACTTGAAAAAGCTCCAGGGAACCAAAACATTGTTTTTGTTCTGCATTTACAATAAATTTGCCTACTGTAGAAATCACCAGGTGTGCCCTGATCTAGATGGTTCTATTGAATGTTTTTTTTTTGGACAAATTTTTATTGTGACATTTCCATTACAAGAATTACATAGTAAAATGCAGAGCAGCCAAACTCCTCGACGAATATTGCAACCAAGAATTAACAGTATGGAATTAGACCAAACCGACGGCACCCCTGCCCTCTCCATTGCCAGCACCGTCAGCTGGTACCCTCATGTACACCTTATGCCGGTGTGTTTGTTAGGGTTATGTTCGTGGCCTCATTGCTAAAGCTGTCTGGAATACGAACACGTTTCGAGTGAGAATTGCAAGGAAACATATAAACCTATATACATAGAAACACATTTACAAGTGGGAGATGGGTGAGGTATCGTGTTGTGCTGTTAAGTCTGTCCACTGTTTCCAACCTGAGAATAAAAGTACGTAAATTTCTACTGTCGGCAGCCAAGGTGGCATGGAAAGGCTTCACCTTCGCTACTAAACACCTCTTGGGCCTGTTCCGATTTCTCCACTCTAACTTGACTTCTAACCCCCCATCCCAGGTGGTTCTCTCATATATGGCACATCGTCCCCTCCTCAGCTCCACATCTCCAGTAGGTTTTGGATGTATTCAGGAATAGGCACGCCAGGCGTGTGGGAACCATGTACCACCTATATTGTAATTTGTGCAGCAATTCGAAATGGGAGGCACAGGATCTACCCTTGTGAGCCATATATGCTTTTTTCCCCATTGGTGTGGTGTGAAGATTACGCTGAGATCAGTTTGCCATGCTTGTTAATGTGGGGCATGAATGTTATTGGGTGTGGTGTTCAGGAGGGCATAGCTAATAGACCATGTTTTCTTGGGTGTGATGGAAACCAGACAGGCACCTTCAAATTTAATGAGGGTACCTATTCAATTCAGTCCAGTGACCGCTGGTGACTCTGTAGGACAGATTTTACCTGTAGGTAGGAGAACACCGTGTTGGACAGCAAGCTGTATCTAGTTTGCAGCTCTGGGTGTTGTATGAACATGCCAGCCTCTTAAAGCTGGTAGAGATTGGCACAGGCCCCCGTCACCCAGGGTCTATGGTCAAAGGATGTGTTTGTTATGTGCAGGCTTGGTATCAGGGAGGCAAATGACCAGGTCCCCGTTAAACATAACCTGATCCTCTCTAAATCCCATATTTGTAGCAGCAACTTTGTAGTCTGCAACATGTTTGGACATGTGGGGTGCAGTGTTTTGGGTATCCAGAAAAGGTGACATTGCTTTTTGGTTCACCCACTGGGATTCTATTACAACCCACTGTGGGGGGGGAGGTAGAGGGGGGGTATCTTTGTGGGTGTCATCACTATGGTTGCCAATAATAGCAGCCTGTCCAAGCCACCCTCTATCTGCGGTCTGGAAAGAAGCTTTGCATTAACTCTGCTCCTACGTCCGTTCCAGACAAAGTTGAGGAATACCTTTTTTATTGCTTTTAAGTATGCTGCTGGAAGGGGTATTTGCAAAGTTCAGAATAGATTTTGCCTCCCACTAGGCTCCTTCACTGGTTACAGTGCATGACCGTACAACCAGGCGGTCGAAAAAACTACAGTAAAAAAACAAATGAACATATATACAACATAATGAACCATGGAAAAAATTAAAAATAACAATGCTGAGGTTTCAGCTAGGCACAGAGGTTTGGTGCCTCGGAGGTTGAAGGTTCTATTGAATCTTTAATTAATTTAAAGTACCAGCAGTACGAATGAGTCCCCGGTATCTTAGTAGCCCCAGACTGATAGATGAGCTACACACTGAAAATGAGCAAGGCGCGTGAACTAAATCCCAGCGGCAAAGCGATCATGCTCAGCTGCAGTGATTTTGAGTCTACTGAAAAGACCTTGGTGAGGTCTCCTTGCATGCCCCTTTACCCAAGGATCAGTGCTAGGCTTTGCCAGCTGCCCAGCACTGATAACAGTTTCATGAAGAATGAGTCTGTGAATTTCCTCAAAACAAAATGTGTGAAAAATCACACACAAAAAATTAATATTTTGACCAAGGTTCGTGTTAAATGGTAAATCAAAAGTGTCAAAATGCTTTTTGTTAAATAGCCCGGGGGGTATACTTTCTACAAACGTGTACTTTGTGTAACGGTTTTGGATTCTGTGACTACTATAAAAGCAATCTTAGCATACCAAATTTTGCAAAGTTTTCGCTTTTAAAACTGCAGTTTACTCCCTGCAATATTTGTTTTAGAACGTCTGAGTATTAAGCAATATAGATTTAACAATCCGGACTAATCAGTGGTTCTATTTTAAATTTGTTTTCTTTAGTTGTGTTTAATTTAATATTGCGTTAAAAAATTTATGGTATGCGGTCATGATAAAAGTTCCTGTTAGGAACTGAAACGTCTACCTATTTGAATATGATTGAACAATAAAAGGGAAAAATTCTGGAAGCAATGGAGTGCTGGTATTTGTATTTGAAATATATATAAAACATGAATTTTTCACAAGGAGGAGTCAGTGACCGCACCTGTACTGTTGGGAGTTGGAGTCTGGTGGCTTCCAATGGTCGTCACTGCTGGTCCAACTGCTAAGGAGGATGGCCGTGGCTCCCCTTTACCTGCCAGTTCTGATTCTAAACACAATCAAAGGCTGTTAGCAAAACAAAACAATGCACAAATATAACATCTTTATAAAAAGGAAGACAAAACAACAATACAAGATCTTACCCAAGCACACAACTGCTTGCAGTGGGAATAGAAGTCAAAAACTAAAATATCTAGGTGTTAGACGGCAACTCCCAAAATCTTCTGCCAGCTACTTGTTAGATTTAAGGGCGTCAAGAGTTGCAACAGGACCAGTATTTGTCATCCCTTGCACTAGGGCAATACGCTACTCCAGGGATAGGCAACCTTCAACACGCCAGATGTTGTAGACTTAATACTCTTGCAGCCCTCATGCTGTCAAAGAATCAAGGTAGATGTAGTTCACAACATCTGGAGTCATGATGTTTGCTTGCCACTGCTCTAGTCAAAAGGGAATGATTTAGATGTGATATAGGGACGATATCCCGATATTTGAAACGTTTTGTAATTAAGTGTTCTTGCATAGCAAGACCACTTAATGTTATCTCACATATATATTATTATTATTATTATTATAGCAAAATTTGCCACCCTAACTCCTCCCACAGTTTTTACACTACATAGACCAAAATTTACCAAAACGTGCAGATTGTTCCCGATCGGATTGCTATTACTTTGTGGAACGTTTCGCCGAATGGTTCACGGAATATCGTCGTTCTTGTGGCGAAATTTGTCCCATAGGAATGAATGGCAAAGCTAGAGTGGGAGCTGGCAAAAGCTGAAAAATCAGGACATGATTTCTAAACTGCCACCACTCCCTTATTTTCAGGCCCACCTACACAAATCTTATATCAAAACGTTCAGCTATCCCTGCTGCCACTAAACATGTCAACGGCTAAGCCGTAGTCCTGATAGTTTTCACAATATAATCATTTGTTTGCAACTAACGCCGTCCATTGACATTCATTGAAACTTCACTCTGCAAAGCTCAAATTTGAAGTGCAATTTCTAAACTGCGACTGTGCCTTCATTTTTAATACTTCAGAGACATACTATATATCAAAATGTAGGTCTGGGTCTTGTGATTCTCACAATATAAAGCTCTTCACTGTAGGAGTTATAGTTTTTAAGATACGACCGTTTGAAGATGGCAACCGCCAAAATACTCTGACCTGTGTCAAGCTGCAGCAGCAAGTGATGTCATAGACAGGGCCTTTTGAACACCTGCTAATGTTTTTATAAATGTATGGTTTAATGTAACTGTGCAACAACGTTGCAATTAAATGTGCTATGTAAATGATAACAGTTACTCCGCCCACTCCAGTTGTAGACTACAGGTGGAGGCAAGAACACTTCACACAATTTCCCCAGAAATTGTAACTTTTCTAGTTATTAAGTGTTCTTGCATAGCAAGACCACTTAATGTTATCTCACATATATATTATTATTATTATTATTATAGCAAAATTTGCCACCCTAACTCCTCCCACAGTTTTTACACTACATAGACAAAAATTTACCAAAACGTGCAGATTGTTCCCGATCGGATTGCTATTACTTTGTGGAACGTTTCGCCGAATGGTTCACGGAATATCGTCGTTCTTGTGGCGAAATTTGTCCCATAGGAATGAATGGCAAAGCTAGAGTGGGAGCTGGCAAAAGCTGAAAAATCAGGACATGATTTCTAAACTGCCACCACTCCCTTATTTTCAGGCCCACCTACACAAATCTTATATCAAAACGTTCAGCTATCCCTGCTGCCACTAAACATGTCAACGGCTAAGCCGTAGTCCTGATAGTTTTCACAATATGACCATTTGTTTGCAACCAATGCCGACCATTGACATTCATTGAAACTTCACTCTGCAAAGCTCAAATTTGAAGTGCAATTTCTAAACTGCGACTGTGCCTTCAATTTTAATACTTCAGAGACATACTATGCATCAAAATGTAGGTCTGGGTCTTGTGATTCTCACAATATAAAGCTCTTCACTGTAGGAGTTATAGTTTTTAAGATACGACCGTTTGAAGATGGCAACCACCAAAATACTCTGACCTGTGTCAAGCTGCAGCAGCAAGTGATGTCATAGACAGGGCCTTTTGAACACCTGCTAATGTTTTTATAAATGTATGGTTTAATGTAACTGTGCAACAACGTTGCAATTAAATGTGCTATATAAATGATAACAGTTACTCCGCCCACTCCAGTTGTAGACTACTGGTGGAGGCAAGAACACTTCACACAATTTCCCCAGAAATTGTAGCTTTTCTAGTTTTAAAAATGTTATTCATAATAACAAAATGTAAAATAAATACTGCCATTATCCATCATTTAAATCTGCACCACATGACTAATAAGAAGAAAAAGGATATGTAAATTATTATTCCTGGAGGGCATCAGCTGTAATTGACCTAATTGCATTGAACATTCTTACTGCAGAGTAAAAGCCAGACACATCTACGAAAATGTTATAGCCAATCTCCCATGTTTCTGTAACCCATGGCACGTTGTAATGGAAGTACTGGAAAAATGTTTAATATTTACCTGGCATTGGGACAGTTTGTGATGGCATCGTGCAGCTCACTGGTGGATCCAAGGGTGTAGGCTGGTAAATGGAGTCCACTGGATTTATGGTGCTCTGAGAGAGACAATAAAAGATATGTACATGATCAGACAGAGCAGCTGTACGTCACAACTAAAGGGATTTTTCGACTGTACTGCAAGGAGAAAAGAGAGGAACACTGCACACCCACAACTAGAGGCACCACTTGATCTTACTGGGAGGAGATCAAGAGGACAAGTAAAGGCACTGCTGGATCCACCTACACATTCAAAAGACTTGAACTACTAAACAAATTCAGGAACAGTCAGAGGTAGGATGACACAGCCTCAGTAGCAGTTTTCACAACACAAGAGAAAGTAACATTATAAAAATGCATAAGAAGGCAAACATGTTTTAAGATGAAGATAAAAAATTGTGTTCCTGCTTGTTGTAGACTGGTTGTGTCAGAGAAAGCAAGTGATATATAATTAGATTATATTTTTTAAATAAAGTACAGCAATTTAACTGAAGCTGCAGAAAGTAACCTACTTATTACAATGAAGATTAATTTACGTTACATTAAACCTACTAAGGGTCTCTTGTCTTGGTAGTACAATCACTTCAAGAGACCAAAATCTTACTTTTTTCCTTAGAACAGTTTGGCAGGTGTGTGCATTACAGTGCTCCACAGGGCTGCTATAAACGGATATATTAATTTGTGTAACTAAAAAACACTTTGCAATGAAGTTAAATAACTGGTAACATTTATGGACTAATTTAGGGTTTTTTTTGCTTCCTTTGCCAGTAATAGGGAGTAATGACATGTTTCTATGTGGAAGCAGAACACGCATTCTGCACTGTACGGCCCGGATCAGCAATGTGTGCGCAGTCTATTAATGTGCAAGAGATGCGGCTTACATTTCCCATTTGTGGCCTACCAATATCTCATGTACATATCAGAAAGGGTAATAAAAGGCAACTTACACAGATAGGCAGCCACACACAATCCAAATATACACACATTTTATATATATATCTATATATCTAACACAAAATAGAAAAAAAAAATAAACATATTCAAATATAAAAGGTTTCTGTTAACGCAGAGATACTGTGTAATGGAACTGCTCTATTACATGCAATCCCGTTACATTCCCACCATCATCTCATTATTCATTCATGAAAATATGAATGAAGCTACTCTATGAGCAAATAGCTGTCACAGCTGTCCATACTTGACATGCCGCTTTATTGTAAATAAGCGGACTGTATATAGACTGGAATCATTCTGTCATGGACATTAAAGGGTTAACATTTAAAGTGGAACTTCTAAGCCATCGGGAAAACAATGATTCACAGAAAGGGCTCTAGTGCACATTATAACAGGATTTAACAAATCCACTGATCTAAAAAGAGTTAAACAACCCTCACTCCCCCAGAATAAATACAGTGTTGGTCCAGCAGGATTGCTGGATGGAGAATTGAAAGGGAACTAAACATAAGTGAGATTCACATCAAAAATTGTTGATTAACATTTAGCAAATAAACCTTGTGGTGGAAATTAGAGCAAATTGGGATAAATAAGAGCATCAGGTGAATGGTTTGGGAAGTCTGAGATCACAGAAACGTATTATAGAAAAAGAAAAACCATAAACATTGGTTCTAAACCTGGAGCAATCACCAAGGAAACCAATAGATTCTGCGTGATTTTTCCCACATGTAGAACTTTGCTAAAGGGACAATGTAGGCACCCAGAGCACTTCAGCTCATTGAAGTGGTCTGGTGCAATGTCCCATGTCCCTTAACCCTATAGTGGTAATTATTGCAGTTGATCTACCAGACAGCCAATAGAGGGACTTTCGGAATCCAAATGGACCTTTGGTTCGTTATCGGACGCTGGACGTCCTCACGCCCTGCATGAGTACTTCCAGCGTCAGTTTTTTCCCCACAGGAAAGCATTTAATAATGCTTTCCTATGAGGAGATACGAATGTGAGTGCGGCCATTGCCGCGCATGCTCATTAGGTCTCAACCACAGACTGACATTGGCAGGGAGAAGTGTGGTAAGTGACTGATGGGGTTTTCCTGGCACTAAAGAATGGAGTTATGTGTTCACAACTATTCCCCAAGAACCACTCACACGGTTATTACTAACTGAACTCAAACGTAAGGCCAGATTAGCTGAACTGAAAGCGTAGCTGATTTAGAGAATGTTTCCAGTTTGGCTATTTTGACCTTAAATTTGAAGTTCACTGAGTTCTCACTGTAGTGAATGGCTGTCAGACAGAGATGCATCGTATGAAACCATGTGACTTGGTCTTGTAGTGCTTGGTCAGCATCACGGTCTGCTCCTATTGATGTTTTGGGTCTATAAATGATAACCCTATATTCAGTATACAGTTAGTTATCCAATTTGAATCTGTTCATACAGGTCACATAAACCAATTTATTTTAACAAACCCTGATTGTGTGGCAAATCCACAAGCAGATTCCTAGGTGTGTTATATACATTACATATAAGGCGACACAGAGGAATCTAAACGGTTATTGCGTTTCCATAGAATAACAATCATTATGCAACATGTGTTCCCCTTTAACAATACACAAACTGGGTAATTCCAAAATATTAGGGGTGCTGCAGGATGGATTTCCTGCTTACCTAGAAGACTCTCGTTCTATTCAATTATTTTTTTTTTTATAAAAGAATGAAATGTGTAAATTAAACACAAAATCAGTCCTATTTTAGCATAATTTGTGAAAATGCATCAATCATTCCCTTTACCACTAAATCAACTCATACAAGAATTTGATCGGAAGTATAATTTACATTGCCCTTGGGGAAGACAGAGAGAATGTCACCCATAGCCAAAACCAATTACACAAGGGTACATTTCCAATACTGACCAAATAGAGTGAAAGCAAAATACTAAACTAGGACAGTAAAGAGAATATAGTAACTTTGTATATTGTAGCTGGATAAAAGCTAAAATGTACACCTTAACCCGTTAAGGACCAAACTTCTGGAATAAAAGGGAATCATGACATGTCACACATCATGTGTCCTTAAGGGGTTAAAAGTGATCACTACAATTACCATATCGCCATACAGTATGCTTGGCAACCCCCCTTTTGTAAGTAGTCAAACCGTTTTAGAATGGTTCGACTTCTTACCTGGAGTCTGACGGGTGCCTCCCCAGCAGTACAGGGCTCAGATCATTAAACTGCAAAAGTTTACAGCTGTGCCTCCATTTTCTGTCCTGCACATTTGAAGTTTGAGTTAAGCTTGCTCTTCTTTCCACAAACTCCAATTTCAATACATTTTTTAAGATGAACTGCCAGTTTAGGTGCAGCAGCACATGTCTCACAGAACATAAGCCATTAGTAGTTTTTTGTTTGTTACTTAAGTTGTTGGAAAGAACATGCCTTTTTTTCTCTGATTTGAAGGCACAGTCTGGCATTCTATGTAAATCAGCTCCTTCCCACGATTCCATGTGCATAGATTGGTGAAAGGGTGTTACTTACTCCAGAGAATACCTTTCACTATAAACACTTCAAACTGCTTTTTAGGTGGTATGATTCAAAGGTGACATTTACTTTTGTGATTACTTTGGAAGTCATTTAACACGGTCAGTAAATGGTAATCTAATTTATCCGTTCCAAAGAAGCTTAGCCAGCATCTTAAGTGAGTTATATGACATATGATATAGGCAAGCTGAGTTTGAGTTATATTTTCCAAACATCTTTTACTCAATTTCAACAGTTAGATTAAATTATATTTCTTTCCAAGTGGAATCTTGTCATACACATACATTTGCAAATGCCACCTTAAAATAATAGGTTAGGGGTCACTTTGGAGGTCCATTAATGCAACTGACACTGATATAAGCTTGGCCCCAGGTCCCATGGGATCCTGTAGTTGTTTACATGTTATGGTCACTTGATCCATTTTATTGCTATATGTGTGGATTAAATCTGCAAGAACTTTGATTTGCTTTGTTCCAAATTCAAACACTAGGAACTTGGATTCATCGCATCCCCAAAATTAAACTGGAGACCACCATCCCTGCTTTACTGCGAGTGCTGATTTTGCAGGGGAGGTGAAGAATGCTAAATTAAAGGAGGGGGAGGAAGATCATTTCGTTGGGTTCAGGTGAGTTCTGTAGATAGAAAGGGAAGTAAAACATTAGGTGTAAACTTACTATAAGTCCATCTGCGTGCTTGTCCTCATTAGTTTGATCCTTAAGAAAAGAAATGTTAAGAAGGTGAACATGCAGTAAAGGTTAGGGCAGGTACAACAGCTTCTGAACCAGGAAGTGAACAAAGACTGCATCATCTTCTACAGATAAAATTTTATGGTCAACGTAAGCAGCAATAGTGTAACACGGAAAGACATTAACACAGCAATCCCTTCCAAGAGAAGCACTTTACCCAAGTCTAGATCCATTAGAAGAAAGGTGTTTTATGGAGAATTCCTAAAGTACGCATCCACTTATGGATGAACGCACTAAAATGTAATGGCCAATAATAGTTTGTGTATATATGTAGCAGGTGCATTCATTAAATGAAGTAACATCACAGAGAAACTCAATCAGACCATGTATTCTATGAGACGCACTCAGAGACTAAATAAGTGATGAGACAAACACAAGAAGAGCCAGGAACAGGCATCGTTAAAAGGGATAAATAACTTCAATATGGTTGTTAGATTCTGGTCTTTGGAATCTTTACCTGCTTGACCGGTGAAATGTATGAATCCCACCCCTAGCAGTTACAGCCTATCACTACCAACTAAGTTCTACAAAACAGATACTGTAAAGAGTACATTCCGTGTTATCAAAGGGGCAGTGGGGAAGTTTTCTCTTGACAAAACCTGGGGCTTTTTCCTGGGATTCAACCACTCTCAAACAATATGACAGAACAAAAAAAATGTAAAATAAAATAAAGAAGCGGCATTGAGCCAAGAGACTTCTGGCATAGTGTAGTGTAGTGGTTGTGCTGCTTAGATTGGTCCCTTTAAATGGATTCTCTAAGCACCACAACTGTACATCTCTCTAGAGACGTTTCTCTGATTTCTGCATCCTCCTCTTCTTTTATGGATACCTACCCAAATGTTTGCTTTTGCTTGACTATCACCTTATTTGTGCATCTCCCCATTCCATAAATGTATTGCAGGTATATTTGACCCTATTATATCGCTCTCTCCCACAGTTTTAGTTAAAACGTACCATGCTTCAGATCAGAAGAAAACTCAACAACTTCTCATCCTCAGTAATCTGTCTATGAGACTCTACACTTTCCTGGTTACATAGAAACATAGAATGTGACGGCAAATAAGAACCATTCGGCCCATCTAGTCTGCCCAATTTTCTAAATACTTTCATTAGTCCCTAGCCTTATCTTATAGTAGGATAGCCTTATGCCTATCCCATGGTTCTCCTCCTACCTCTCCCACCACACATTCAGAGTTTCTTTTTCTGGCTCTTCCTCTCCTCTGAAACCCCTCCCTGTGAGAGTTCTCAAAGGATCTGTCCTTGCTCCCCTACTGTTCTCAATCTATACTACCTCCCTCGATAAACCCATCAGCAGTTTTGGCTTCATTATCAATTCTATGTGGATGACACACCAATGTATCTGTCCTCTCCTGCTCTCTCGCTGTCTTTCTTGACTCGTTTCTCTGATTGCCTTTCTGCTATTTCCAACTGAATGACAGCTCATTTCCTTAAACTTGTCCAAAACATCGCTTCTTGTCTTTCGTCCCTCAAGACACTCCAGTGTCTGTCTCCCTCCAGGTCAACTGCGCTACCATCACTTCTACCTCGCAGGCTTGCTAACTAGGTGTTCTCTGACCTCTCCATCGCTCAAGTACAGTCCCTTGCCAAATGCTGCTGCTTCCATTTCAAAAACATAGCTAGAATGCGTCCTTATCCAACGCTAGATGCGGTCAGGGTGCTGTTCCATGCTGCTATCATCGCTCGCCTTGACTACTGCAATCCGTTTCTCAATGGTCTTAAGTGTTCCCAACTTGCCCCGTTACAATCAATAATGAATGCGACTGCGAGGCTAATCTTCCTATCCGCCAGAACCTCCCCCACCTCCCTCCTATGTCAGTCCTTACATTGGCTTCATGTAAGATATAGGGCTCCCACCCTGCTTCTTATTCTGCAATCGTGTCATCCAAAACTAGCCCGTCACTGTTCTAGCAACTTACTTTTCCCCCATACATGAAATACATCCTTCCCTTACCTCTTGTGCCAATTACCCCACTCACTATAGAACGTAAGCTCAGAGTAGGGCCCTCAACACCCTCTGTTCCTGTGCGTCCAGCTCGTCTTGTTGCAATTACAGGTCTGTTAGTCCGCCTATTGTTTAGCGCTATTTGATTGCACTTTATAAATCGTAATATTACAGAAAGTTACCCCAGTCACTGTACCTTATGACAGCGGCAGACATAAGCCAAAGAAAAAATTAAATTAAAAATTCACTACAAGATCCAGAAGGGGGGTGGTAACCCAGAACGGACCAATAAGCGATACATACCAGAGCTAGGTTACATAGCTCTGGAAATTGTGAGTGTGCAATTGGCTTTTTCATATATCATGCAGTTGTTTTTACTATTTTTAAAATATTGCAGTGTATTTCTCAATTTAAAGGAACACACAGAATTATAGTTCCTCAATAACGAATTAAGCTAAGTGTCTTTTAGTACATATGTGTTACACCAAGATAGCGTGCCATTATTTTCTGTATATGCAATAAGTGTGTGTGGTTTGGGGAGAATTACACATTTAGTGTTGTAGCAGCTTTGTTTTATTGAAAAAAAAAAAAAATCAAATTGGTATACTGATAGAATTGATAAGCATATTCCTCTTGATTAAAGCACACACAAATCTAAGTTTGTTTTATAAAATTAAAAATTTGCCCGGATCAATCACCTACTGAAAATTAATAACCCACCAACTATGGCCCCCTCCTTAAAAAAGCAGTTCATATGTGATTTACTGCAACGTTCCTAACCTTTTCTGGAAGGGATCCATATTCAGTACATTGAATTGGCTTGGCAACACATTCATCAATTGTACGACTAAATAACTCAGGCACCAATTCTTCAATTGTAATATAATATATACTGAAATCAATTGTGAGAAACAGATTTATTAGACTACTCTCAGTGTTAAATGGGTCTGCTTTGCTCTGGGGAAGGTAGTGTACTACATTAAACAATTTATTGTGGGAAGTTGCCTGGAATGAGATGGATGCTATGTGACTGTTCCAACCAATTGGGTCCCACAGAAGTTTTATAATGACATACCGCAAACAAGAAAAATTTACTTATGTATGGACACAAAAAAAAAGACAGACAGATTAATGTCAAACACTCTACATATGCCACTCAAAGGCTGAATGAAAATTTTTAATAAATAAATAAATTACTTTCCAACTAATAGGATTACTTGCCAAAATCTGATCTGTCAGGAAATCAACTTTAACATCAGATTTTAGGCCAAAATATGAAAACTGGACAAAGTGTGGCTATTTACTCTGAATCACTGACCGTTAACACTTTAGTGAACATGTCCGTGAATGTGATATTTGTAGTGTGAAAACATTGAATTATCTTCCTCAAGGTGCCATGGTTAAAAGGAAGTCACATGTCTTCCACAACATTTATAACAGAATAAAAAAACAAGTTTAGCAATATCTACTTTCCTTGCTGGTTGTAATGTGGCCATGTGGCATGCACTAAACACCCCTTAAAATGTGTCCATGTTGCTTTATAAAGTATGTGAGAGAATTACAGAATCCAGTAAAGATTTACGTCAAGGGTTAGGAGATATGAATCTCATACCTAACCTATGGTTAAGTCTACAGAAAGAATATCAAGGCAAGCTTTGCAGCACAGTCAGCGGTGAGTGGCAAGATAGATTATTGATTGAGGTTTTGCAATAAAGTGAATTTCAGGAAGTAAATAAATACAGTATTGACGGTTCTCTATGTACACGACTGCATTTCCCAGCCGTGCGGAGGATTAGAATATGGCTTATAGAATTGCCTTGATTTAATGGAACATTTTACAAAGACTAGTTTACCATAAATGCAATAGCTGGATTACGTTTAAAAGGGAGATGTAATTAGCAAGCCATCGCCTAATTAATATGCAGGTGTTCTCTTAAAATATTTATCCTTTTGTTGGCTGATTTGCACATCTTATAAATGAGGTATTTTTTAATTACTCACAAACCGCCACTGCTTAGAATAGTACTGAACAATGACATCAAAATAAGAGCCAATAACTAAAATGATAAGAAATAACTTTCACCATAAATCTGTTACTTACGGACTGCAGAAAATGTATTGAATCTGCCAGAAACAAACCAATTTCACCACTAGCACGTAACATGTTACATGGTTTACCCTGCACTTCTGCTTGGTGAATAGTCTTTGATAACGGATTGTCTTTAATAACCGATTAACTGAATTCTTTGTGGCTCTCGAGGTTCACTGGCCCTTGTAGATAAGGTTGGTTCTCTTTACCCCACTGTGTAAAGCTAGACCATGCCTGTGTCTTTTCTAAGCCAAAAACTCAGATACAATATTTCAGGTGCATGGACACTAGAGCACTGCAAGAAAAAATGGCTCAGCCGAACACCCCCCAAAATATAAAGTTTTTCAGGACAAAAGAATGTTTGCCTCAGCAGAATTTATTACCCAAGATTTGGATTAGTGTGCCAAATAAGAACAGAACAAAATAAAGGATGCGAAAATGGGCCAGTCTTCTGCAAAATATATACATAATATATTATGTAGTGCACTGATAAGAGCATTACATGCGATCTGGTTCACAAATCAAGCGATAAAAAGAAAGTAACAGGATTAGCAGTAAAAATTTAATTATAATAAAGTAAAAAAAAAAAAAATAAAAAAAAAAAATATATATATATATACACACACATACAATACATATTTAGAAATAACCCCCCTCCCCTCATTGCTCACTTCTCACTTGATGTATGAATAAAAACAACATTTAGTGACTTACCTAGCCACTAATTTAAAAGGAAAAAAAACTGTATTCCTAGTACTATAGCTCCCTCGCCGCTGTGCTTATTGTACTTACCCGATACCAGCGCCAATGTCCCTCGGTACTGGGTCAGCACTCTAAACGCCGCAAGTGCATTAGGCCCTCCCATAGGAAAGCACTGCAGCAATGCTTTCCTATGGAGATTTTACAAATGCTGGATGTCCTCATACAGAGAGACCAAAGTCGCCTAACCACCAGGAGGTGCTTAGAAGCGGTCTGATTTACAACCACAAGAGGCAGTCTTAAGCGTGAAACTGCAATAATTAACATTGCAGAGTTAAGGGGACAGGGGTCAGTGCACCCAGATCACTTCAATGTCCCTTTAATGTAATCCTATTAAGAAATACTGAGATCAGGAAGCACAGGGCAAACAAATCATTCACAAGAACAACTCAACTCACAGAGGTATTAAATTTAAATAGAAGACAAATCAAAGCAGTAACTAAATACTGGGCTCCGATTCACAAGGCCGCAGCCCAATACTTTCTGTTAATGTACATAACAGTACCAGCAGCACATAAAGCAATATACCAGATTGAATTTGTACTATGAGTAAGGATAGAAAGTGATCGCTAATAAGGTGTGCTAATTGTGGCTGCTAGCAAGGTTCTCTCATAACCGTACTAAGTCACTAATACTGGGAAGTCCTCAGCCCTGTCTACAGACTAAGAAAATATTTACTAGCACTGAAATGGGTGACTGTGTCTAATTTGCATATTAATAGTTGGCGACACCCAAACTCTAAAAGTCAAGAGTTTATCCAACACTAGATTGTAGGTTTCTACAGTTTTGACTTTGTTCATTTTGTGATGTCAATCAAACTGCAAATTGGCCTTCAGACTGTGATAGTTCAACTAAAAAGTCAGGAAGGATTAGGGTTCTCTTATTTAAAATTTACATAATGCCTTAAAAATCATATACCGTATTTTTCGCTCCATAAGACGCACTTTTTTCCCCCTCAAAAGTGAGGGGAAATGTCTGTGCGTCTTATGGAGCGAATGTGAAGATTTACTTACCTGTCTTGGAGCGTGGGCCGGCTTCACAGCGCGCTCCGCGGTCCAGGAACTTCTATTTCAGGTTCCGGTTTCCGGCGGGACTAAAAGTACACACTCAGTACTTCCAGTGATATCTACAAGATGCCGAACGCCGGGCTGAAATACCAGGGAAGAGGGGAACACTGCGGGAGAAAGGGGAGAGACACTATAGGAGAGGAGAGACACTATAGGAGAAAGGAGCAGGGAACACTATGGGATAGGAGGAGGGAGAAAGGGAGAGGAGACACTATAGGGAAGGGGGAGGGAGACACATATGGAGAAGGGGAGAGGAGGAACACTATAGGGGAGGGAGGAGAGGAGACACTATGGGAGAAAGGAGGGGACACTATGGAGAAAAGGGGGGGACACTATGGGGGAGAAGGGAGAGGGAGAGGGAAGGAGAGACACTGGGAGGGAGACACTGGGAAAAGAGAGGAGGGAACACTATAGGGAGAAAGGGAGAGAGGACACTATGGGAGAAGGGGAGACACTGGGGAGGAGGGAGAGACACTATGGGAGAAGGGGAGGGAGAGACACTATGGGAGAAGGGGAGGGAGAGACACTATGGGAAAAGGGGAGGGGGACACTATGGGAGAAGGGGAGGGGGGGACACTATGGGAGGGAAAGTGCACTATGGGACAATGGGAGGGGGGAACACTATGGGATCAGAACACTAATGGACAAGGGGAGGAGGGGTTAAAGAACACTATGGGACAGGGTAGGAGGGGTTAAAGAACACTATGGGACAGGGGAGGAGGGGTTAACAATCACTATGGGACAGAGGAAAGGGGGGTTAAAGATCATTATGGGACAGGGGAGAAAAAAAAATATTCTGAACAAACTGTCCCATAGTAAGAAACACTATGGAACAGTTTGTTCAGAATATTTTTTTTTCCTGGGTTTCCTCCTCTAAAAACTAGGTGCGTCTTATGGTGAGGTGCGTCTTATGGAGCGAAAAATACGGTATATAGTTAAAGAAAGATATCCTTGCCATGACGGACAAGTTGATTCTATTTATTTAAACAAGCTAAATATGGATAATAAATGGATTAACAAAGTAATGCAACAAGAGGGAAAATGTAATCCAACCTGGAAATTTAAATATCACCGACCAGGGATATTTAACCATGCTACATTTTCCCACAATTTAGAGGGGGGAAAAAAGAAAAAGGTGTACTCACACACACATATACTTTTCAATTTCATAAAAAAGGAGAATGTTTGTGGCCACGTTGTAATTGACCAACAGGGCTGAAAAATGATAAAGACATTGTTTTAGAAACATAGAAACATAGAATGTGACGGCAGATAAGAACCATTCGGCCCATCTAGTCTGCCCAATTTTCTAAATACTTTCATTAGTCCCTAGTCTTATCTTATAGTTAGGATAGCCTTATGCCTATCCAGGTTAACTTTCCCTGACCGGGAAGGAGGGTTTACATTTCTTACACGGAAAAAGAAAAGAAAAATTTTCTAAAAGAAATCCCCAAAAGACAAAGACGTAGGAAATGCGTGCTTGGAGGGACTGCTGTGTGTAGTACCAATACATACATTATATGGTAAGGTGACTTACCTTTGCAATCTGCAGCAAAACTATGCAGTGTTTGATTGATTCTACCATGCTCTACAAAACAGACATATTAATATTATAATCACTATGTAACCTTACCACAACAAAGCATGTAACGCGAAGTACATTAACAATGCAGTATCCATGGATTTATTGCAGTGTTTAACTTCATTAACAGATCATGGACATCACCTCTCTATATCCCTATGTTAACACTTAATAAAGATTAATCTCCTGAAATGTAAAGCCGCCAGTTTAACGATGAATTCTAAATCTTTTGGGACAATATTATGGGGACATTCAAAAGCAAAATGGAAAAACAAAATATGTATGGTTTACAGAGTGCTCTCACACTGGAAGACCTTGATTAAAAATGTTGTCTACCTCCCCCTAACCACCCATAAATTCAAATAAGATACCCATAAATATAATTTACAGGGGGGAAGTTGTTTGTTAAAAATAGGCAACAATGTTACTTACACTTGTGGTGTCCTTAAGATTTTCAATTCTCTGTAAATGCAAAACAGATTGTCAACAACAAATTGCAGTTTATGATTAGTCCAGAGCAAAAGGAGACTAAAATTATTACGGAGACTCGGGTATAAATCTGTGTTGCTCTGGAAGCTTAAAACATTGCTGCTGGACATTTTAGTCCAATACATTTGCCTATTTGTCTGCATTAGCAATACAGCGAGTGACTGTAACAGCACAACTTCACATCAAAACACCTGAAAAGGTTTACACATAACACTTATGTTTTATTTATTTCTTTTAAAAAAAAAACATCACAGGCAAATTGATCGACTAATAAAATTTAAAAAAACAAAAACATGAAAACCATAAAAACCACCCAAACCCTTATGCTAGCATACATACACTGCCAGCAGCTGCACCCTCTCCCTAGACATTGGGTTTATATATACAATGGGGCGCACTGTGAAAGCTCTGCTGATGTTAGTTTCAGAACGGACACGTGACTAATCCTATAGGGAACACCATGTTTATAACGTACATCTGCTGATCCATCACAAGGGAATCCCATATCGTGCAGGGTATCATTTGACTTCATCATAACAGCAGATGTATTTAAAAAAACTCACCTTTCCACACCCTTTATGGCATGCCCACAAGCCTCCCGGTTTTTATTTCATTTATGCTTATATTTAAAGCTATACATAAGAAAAACTAGGGACTACTGCCAACCTGTGGTTTATAAGAGTTGACAGTTGGTGTAGCTTTAGTCAAGCTCCATGTCCATTGTCAACCTTGTCATTAGCTGTCAAGCGCTCTACTCCCCTCCCTCCAGTGTCACATCATGGATCCTCTTGTTGACTCTTGCATGATCCCTAGAGTCAACACAGGGAAGCTAACGGAGGTCCTCCACAGGCATGGTGAACCCTGCAATTTGTGCATGCCCATTAGGCTGGGTGACTGCTAAAAAAGCAGCAGAGCAAGAGACGAGCCAGTGGGACGAGCAGGAAAAAAAACAAAAAAGACTAAGTAGTTTGAGGGAGCTAGAGCGAGATGCATGGGCTGGGTGACGATTTGAGGACATAGCACTTTAAACCCAATATGAAGGGCTATACGTAATTCTACTACTGGCAAATGCAATGAAAAGCCCACAATTCTAATGCTTCTATATAAATTCCCACTTGGAGTGGTACTTGCCTTCCTCTGTTCATCATCCTTGCAGTTTTGAATTTTGTCATCAAACAACTAAAGAAGGAAAAAAGAAGATGCTTTGTGAACTAGTTTCATAAATAATTTATTGCAATTTGTATTTTAGGCATCGCACAGTACTAAGACTTACACTAATCTAATGCAATGGAAACAACTAAAGCGGAAGGAAATATTTGCTTTAAAGAGCCTTAAAACAAAACCCCCTCATTAACATTGGCCGTGTTCCTGTTTTGCAGGATCATGCAGGGCTATTCACTATTCTCTGAATGTTTCTAAATCAGAATGGAGAACCAGAGGCAACAAAGGTTTCTTGATCAGCAATATGTGCCTCTGTTTTTCAATACAGATTTCATCTCCAGATATTCTCAGTTAAGTGAATAACCCAGACTGAGGCCAATTCAATGGGGATATACAGTCATGGGAAATAGATATGTCCTGTAATGTAAAACCATGGAATTCAAAGAGGAAGTACTAACAATCATCTGTTCCTTAGCAGGTCTTAAAATGTGGTAAATAAAGACGCGTTTCGTCCCTCTGCTCACTGAAGTAGATCCTAGCATTGTGGACATATGATCTGGGCTTGAGGGGCTCACAGTCTCACTGCCGAATGGAGGTCATGCTGGGGAATCTAGGCCTGACTACAGGAATACGAGAGCAGGGTGTGTGTGGGGCGTGAGGGGGTGATAATTTTATCCCTGTTGTATTCAAGTTTTAAGAAATGCATTGCTATGGAACCTGTGCATCCCTTGACAAATTCTGATACATTATCTCAAATTAGAGTTATGGTTACTGAGACTTGCTAGTCTCACTCTCTTTTTCCATTTTTTTTTATATGAGGATATAAATATATTCTCTTATTGCTGCTAAAGGTGGTTCTACAAGCTTTTGAATCATAAGGTGTACTTCTCCATTTTGGCTTTATTCTCGATAAATAAATCATGGCACGGTGTAATAAGTCATGTGTTGTTCATATGAGGTTGTATTTACCTAATTTTAAGACCTGCTAAGGAACAGATTATAATGTCCTGATACGTAAAACCCAATAATTCATAGAGGGTGTACGCTCTTCTTTACATGTCCGCATGCTAGTTTACCCAGAAAGTCTGACCAACATGTTAGAATCGATGACGATAGAGAGAAAAAACAAACATTCAGTGACTGGTTGTTTGGTTCATTAGATTGTGACGTCAACTTACTCTAGAATATGACTAATGGAAGTTTGTTTTGTTGCTCTACAATACATTACGGATTTAATTTAATGACAGTTCAGCCAAGAAAAAGTGCACTTTCACATATCCATCCAACATTCAAAGGATTGTAGCGTCGGCTGCAGTTTAAGTCTGTGTGCGACCAAGCCTGTAAAGCACTGAGAGCTATTATACTGCAGATGCGGATTCAAGCACTAAGAGTGGGGAAATAGCCGTAACTATTCGAGTTTGTACATCAATCAGATAACAGAACGCATGCTCAGTGAAAACATGTAGCTATTTTTAAAACGATCATTGAATCAATTACAAGCAGCGAACATAGCTTGACAGAGAGAACAACACAAGTGGCAGTTAAAGTCAGTCACAGTCCTGACAAACTACGCTCAGCTAGAAATAAAACTATACTCAGCTCATGAATTGTTTGGGCATTAACATCCCTTGCCCCGTCTTGCAGATAGTCGCTTACACCTGTACTGACTTGCAGATATCCCTACAACATTCTACTCTGAATGCACGATTACATGTACCGCAAACACACACTGTGCAATCCACACCATTTTAGAATTTTGCAAAAATGTGAGGCTCTCTGATGACCAAGGCCCAGGTACTCTGCAGGCACCCTTTTCTTACATTATCTGCCTAAAGTCATCCTACCTTGAAAGGCAATACAGGCTGAGTGAGCAAGGACAGGTCAGCACCCAGTACATCATACACAGAGTGTCCGAAGTAACTTACTCCAAAATCTTAAAATGCAATTCTAGCAATACATTTAGCAAAGAACAATGTGTAGATGAAAATGCACACTGTATTAGTGGATATTGTTACACAGTCATTACAGGTGTACTGTAAAGAGTAAATAGCATTAAAAATGAAATTTGCAATACATGCAATTTAGCAAACTGCCAATGCATCTAGAAGGATTGGATTATTTGTGCTGGTTCATTATCCTCCCCTCTGTGCGAGCTGCTGTGTTCCCAGAGTATTCTACAAAAAAAAAACCCAGACTTTGGACAGCTCTCAAAGTGATAACGGCCATAACCCTTAAGATACTAATAAATGCTACAACATATAAAAAGTGAATTTTGAATTCTAGTTCCCATTTAAGGGGCCATCTATCTACACCACCAGAACACATGGAAACTCACCTGAACAGGCTTCTACTGGAGAGAAATTCATAAAGCAGAGCTTTCTCAAGGCATTTTAAGGATTTCTTCCCATGAAAAGACTGCAGTCCCAGCGATAGTACAAAACACGTCCACCTGTGCTCTGTAGATCCAGAAATACTGAATGCTTGGTTTGCCTTGAGGAAACTCCCTAATCACAAGCTAATTCTGATAGCAACCAACTCCTGCAAGGAAATTGCAATCTAGCTCCACCTCGCCACACACACCTTACAAGCTAGTGTTATAAATACAGTGTGATAAATAAAATAAAGATAATTCACTATTATTCAAAGAAAGGCCACGGAAAAAGGAATCAGATCACAAAATTCTGTTCATGGCAGGAGTAAACACTAAAAGCCCTCAAAGGAGCATTCTGGGGGCCAGGACACACTTATTACTATGGGCATCAGTACAATGTAATAAATAAAACTACACTTTAAAAAATTTTTTAAATAAATCACAAAAGGAATAGAAGAATCAATATAAAACCAGAGCATAGGAACCTATTGTATTTACACCCTGTCTACAATGCCACTAAGCATTAAAGCTTTGTACTCCCCTACCAGCCCTAACCCTGTTTAGCAGGATAAGATCACCAGGGATGGATAGCTTAGATCACGCATTTGATTTCAAAGGATCATGCAAACATGTCCAAGGATAAACCTGACTGCCATTCTGGGGTCAAGAGGGAATCTTCAAACTGGGTTTTTTGCCTTCTTTTGGATCAACAACAAAAATAAATGTGAGGAAGGTTGAACTTTATGGACACACGTCTCCTTTCAGCATATGTAACGGTCAGTGAGACATTCTATAAAATTCTATTTCATTTTGCTAGCCAAAATAAAAACCTATACATAATAAGTTGTCCTTTCCAAGCTCATTGCATACTACTGGCATAGCGGTATAAACTACAATTATGTCAGCCACAGTGTGTGCATCTCCTTAACCCCTTAAGGACACATAACATGTATGACATGCCATGATTCCCTTTTATTCCAGAAGTTTGGTCCTTTAGGGGTTAAACCTCCCACAGTACGGCCTCAGTGTAGAAATGCTGCAAAGCATTATGGGAGCAGATATCATGCACTGCTCACATCATACACCTCAAGCTAAGCCTCATCTTTAGCATTTAATCTAAGCATTGGGTGGAAGTTTTGCTTCCACAATATGGGATTTATTTTATTTTTAAAGTAATGCTGATGAATGGTCCACTTTATGTGTAATGCACTTTAAAGATCAATCAATTTCACATTCGATCAGCTTGCCCTTGTGTCAAACATGTGTTGAGTAATGGTGGCACACAGTATTATTTTACTTTGTATATTCTTGAAAGTGCTGCCTGGCAGTATGTAGAATTAATGTGTTCAAATAGTGATATTATTCACGGTATTCCCCTTGAAATCAATGCTGTGACACATGGATGGATTACAATCTTAAAGCACACGAATACACAAAGTGCTGAGAGTTTTACCAATAGAATATATGTCTTAAGTGCCCCCACCCAAAAAAAAGGTAGCAAAACAAGTGCTTCCCGACACCTGCAGCCTGTGTCAGGCTCTGACAGCAGATTCGCAGTATTTCAGATAGAGAAACATACCTTGATCTGGTCAATGAGAATCTGTAGGTACGCGTCAGACTCTGCAAGCTTCTTATCGAAGTCTTGAACACTTGGAACAAACCCTGAATCCACACCCTGCCAAATTAAAGTCACAAATTAACGTTTCCTTTTCAAACAAACATTTATTCAGCACAAACAATGTGTACATTGAAATAAACCCCCCAAAAAATAGGTCTTCATCAGTAGGAAAAAAAAAAAAAAAGTAAAAATCAAACCCTATTTTGTAGACAGACAAAGTAAACTTTTTAACATATCTCCAGCATTAAGATTTGGAATGTATTGTTGCCAGACTGGCTGGGATCAGGTACGAGTGAACACTTTTCACAACATTTGCTGCTTTTCAACACATTTAGCTTCCCAGGTGTCTCTCCAAAAGAAAAAAATAAGTTGTTTTGTTATCACCTGCAAAGGCTGTAAATTTTGTTGCCGATATACGACGCAATCTGTGTGACATTGTAGCAGTAATTTAACAAGTACACCGAAGCTGGATATACCAGAGTTATTTTCATCTGCTACAAAAAAAATGTAAAGCAGATTATAGATCAGGCTGGTTATTAAATTAATGAATGGATTGTGAAGAAAAGGTCAAATTAGAGTACGCCTGTACCAGAAACCGATCTAGTATGTGTCAAGGCATAGAACACAGAGTTTAGGGAAAGTGACAGGATGACAGAAAAATTAAGACTGAATAAACAAAATAACAGAGATAAAACCAATTAACTTGATAAGGTGCCCCATAGAATGTGACGGCAGATAAGAACTATTCGGCCAGAGTCTGCCCAATTTTCTCAATAACTTTCATTAGTCTCTGGCCTTATCTTACACATATAACCTTATGCCTATCCCACACATGCTTAAACTCCTTTACTGTGTCTCTACCACTTCAGCTGGAAGGCTATTCCATGCATCCACTCTCAGTAAAGTAATACTTACTGATATTTTTTAAAACTTTGCCCCTCTAATTGAAGGCTATGCCCTCGTTCAACATATTCAATAAAGGTATCACGGAATCACCTCACCTATTTTAAGCTGCAGTGAATGGATCACAGTTAGGCACACTGACAAATGTCAGCTTCAGACATAAACGTTTTTGAATTCTAAATTTTCTGCAGAAATTAAATAACTACTCCACAGGCAAGTGCTCTATAAATCACAAGTATTCCATGTTAATTGCAGTTTATAAAGGTGCAAATGTCTATTTGAAATGGGCACTTTTAAAAATTATAGAAACACCACTTGGCACTCAGACAGACTGGAGTATGTTCCCAATTCAGATGGCCAATTCACCTGTGCATCCCTGGCTGGTCATTGTATCCTACATAGCTACCTGCAAAGTTGCAGCTCAAAAATCAGACTTTTAAATTTCAGAAATTTGACATTCTGAGCAGTGGAAAAGTGGAACGGCTTGCAAAGGCTGCAGAAAAGAGATCTGCATCTTTTGCAAACCGTTTTTACATATACCCCTGATAGTAAGTAACCAACGCGGAAAAAAAACAAAATAATAATTTAAAAAATGTCCTCTCTTCATGAGAATTGGGATGCTCCTTAAGAATCAGCTACCAGCTTCAACACCAAGGTGTCGTCGCACATTGAATTTTTCATTTACTTAAATCCCAGAAATGGCTACCATACAGACATATGCCAAGTACCACTTTGGAGGCTACACAGTTCCAGTGGTGGCCGTGGCACTGTTGCCATAGGTTTGCCATTCATGACATAACAGAAAGGATAATATAAATGCAGATACAAATCTCTTAAAGGACCACTATAGTGCCAAGAAAACACTCATTTTCCTGGCACTATAGTGCCCTGAGGGTGCCCCCACCCTCAGGGCCCCCCTCCCGCCAGGCTCTGGGGAGAGGAAGGGGTTAAACACTCACCTTTCTCCAGTGCGAGGCGGGGAGCTCTCCTCCTCTTCGGCTGAATGCGCATGCGCGGCAGGAGCTGCGCGCGCAGCCAGTCTCATAGGAAAGCATTCACAATGAGACAGCCACTAGAGGCTTTAGAGGCTTGATTAACCTATTTATAAACATAGCAGTTTCTCTGAAACTATGTTTATAATAAAATTGGGGTAACCCTAGCTGGACCAGGCACCCATACCACTTCATTAAGCTGAAGTGGTCTGGGTACCTAGATTGGCCCTTTAAAGACGCTTTACCATGATCTGTGAATGTTGTAGTCCTTAGAGAACCCCTTTAAAGTCCATATACCCTCCTCTGTGCAACATTATGTGTGAACATAAGGCTTCATTAATATTAATAATGTATTTACAACTACACTAAGTAATCTAAGGCAGTTTACAAAATGATCAAATGCAGATTAGAAAAATCCCAAACAACACTTAATGGGATAGTAAAGGCACCAAAATAACTTCGACTGCAGCAATTTTGGTGTAAAGATCATGCACCTGTAGTCCCACTGTTCACTATTCTTTTCATGATAAAAGGTTTTGGATATTGTGGATTGGTTTTTTTGTTAGATGGAAAAGTCCCATTTACTATGAAAAACAGAATGAGCTCAAAAGGTACTTCAGGGTGAACAGATTAATCTCTGGCGTAATACTTTGTTGTTGTTTTTTATGACTTGGATTTTAAAAGCATTGCAGTTTAAAATCTAAGATAAGTGAAAGACGGATTGATGAAAAGGTTTATAAGGAACTGCCAAGAGTTGGACTAATTATTTCTGCATTCTGGCACCGTTACTGAGACACTGACACGTACACCACCTCTCATTCAATGCCAAAGGCTTTAAAGGCTTAATTCAACCACTATGACCACTTCTGCTTTTAGAAGTGGTTACGGTAGTAGAAGTCTGTATGTGGAGCATTTCAAGGAGAAATACTACACATACATTTTGCTAGCTGCACCCCCAGCTCACGTTAGACAGCCCATAACACTGTTTGGGACGGTCTAATGTCATTTCTTTATTAGAATGCATACCAAGCTGGCAAAAGATGCAATGAGCTTCTCAAATGCAGGCAGCACCTGCAAAATGAGCCATTCATCACCACCCCTTCTTCATTTAAACTCTCCCTGTCTCCTTATACCCTTTGTTCGTTATTTTTCACTTCCTCCCTCACTGTACTGGTTCAGAGTCGACAAATGCGCTCGGAGCCTGTGTAACAGTCCAATCAAATGCTTTTCTATGATGTAAAATAACAGATGAAATTCGCATCTTGTAATACCTTTTTAATTGGACTAACAGAATTTTGGAATGACAAGCTTTCGGGAGAACATTCCTTCTTCAAGTCTTAAGCATTTCTGAGCAAACATAACAGAATTGAGTTGTGAGAAGTCATTGGGATTAAAGTAACGAGTGCAAATAGGACACAGGTCTGATAGAAAACAGGTACTATTTTTACAGAGGGTCGGAATAATTTGTGTAAAGGATCACAGAGTGGGGGCGGGGAGGGAGAGAGAGATCGGGAGAGAGAATCAAAAACATAAAACAACCAAACCGTACACACACTAAAGCATTGGGACACTATTGTGCACGGATGTCAAAATGCTGGGCTGTGACAATCCGCATCTCCTCAGAGATCATTGAATCAATGCATCTCTATGAGGAACGTTCAGCGTCTCCACGCTCTGCATGGAGATGCTGAATGCCAGTGCTGCACACTGATAGGAAGACAGGAACACCTCTAGTAGCCACCTGAGAAGGCAGTGTTTACATTGAAAAACCTGCATGGACAGACTATAGACACCAGAACCTAGAGGTTTAGTGGTGCTGGGGCGATGTCATATTCTGACTCTTGGCATCACTGAAGAGTGCGCGAAGGAGCAGAGCACGAAAATTACAGCTCCCGCATCATTCGGCACACCCGGCCCTTTCCGCTCTCTCCCACTGCTGGCACCTGCATGCTCCCTCGCTGCCTCAGCTGAACGGGCTCACAAATCCCAGGTGCAAGGACCAAATTCATAGTCGCCTTGCTGACCTGGCACCTGGAATTTGTCGAGGCTTGCTATAGCGTACCTTTAACAAATGGATGCATATAATAGAGAAAGATAAATAATGGGAGGGGGTCACGTAAAACTTTGGTAGCGAGATAGGAAACCCAAATCAACATTTTGTCCTCTATTCTTGCAGTTATAAAATAGAATCATTCTGCCTTCAACGGTTTTTCCTTTCTTGGGTGTTTCTAAAATTCCCTATGAGCGCTTTGACTTTAAGGTCCTTGATTGAGTGGTCAGGCTGGGTAAAGTGGTGTCCCACGGTAGTGCAATAAGATTCTTTATGGTGTTTAATAGTGTGTCTGTGCATCTTCGTGCTGCCATTTAATTGCCTGGTGGTTTCCCCAATGTAGCATCCCTTGGTGGCATTTGAATCATATATACCCCCATAGCTATATAGAATTATGATCCTGCTATATGCAATAGATTTATCTCAAGTGTTGGTGTCAGACTAGATATATCCATAATATGTGGGCAATGTATTCCATTGTACTGAACCTGGTCCTTATTCATGAATTTTCTAACCTCCAGACTTCTAAATTACATTATGTTACTTGCAATTCGGTTGGTAAATCAATTTTCATCATTCTGTATTAAGAGCAACTCCCTTCACACACCTGCTTGTATTTTTAGACTTGTGATAATGCATAGACACATTAAAAGTTCTGCCCTTTTAGCAAACAAGTACCGGTATATAAAAAATACATACATACAAAACAGCATTAATACAAATTCACATTTGAAATTTGTTTTTGTTTTTTTAAAGGAACACTATAGGCACCCAGACCACATCATCTCATTCAAAGTGTCTGCCTGGCAGTCCCCTTAACCCTGCAGCTGCAAACATTGCAGTTTTAGAGAAACTAGTGTTTTTATTGCAGCGTTAAGACTGCCTCTAGTGGCTGGCAACCAGACAGCCACTATAGACTCTCCTGCTGTTTCAAGAAGTTTGACTCAGTGAAAAGAAGACTTTGCAGCGTGCTGAAAAACTCCATAAACCTATTGTGGTTTTCAACATATAGGGTCAGGAATACACGTTTGTATTTCTAATCCTATAGTGTTCCTTTAAAGTCATTCCTATGGGAAAGGTCTAATGCATAAACAGCACTCACTGTAAATGTGCTTTAGGTTCCCTCTCCTCTCAATGACTGAGGAGACTGAGGAACCTGGAATAAGGTGAGTATTTAAAGAGATTTTAACCCTTTAACTTGTGCAGGGGCAGAGGGACACTCTAGAGTTGGGAATACAGCTTTGCATTCGTAACACCATATTGTTCCTTTAAGGAAAGAACAAGTGATAACTCCATTTTGTCATGGACACATTCCCCCTTACATTGTCAAGTTCCACTCAGCACTGCAACCCATTCTTGATACAGATCACATTTTAACTTATTCCCGTCACAGGAACATTCAGGTTTAAGAAGAAAACTTTTTTTTTTTTTAATGAAATAAATAAAATGATATTGATTTGCCATCAATTCTTAGATTATCACTATCATTTCTAGAGTAAAAGAAAAAATGTAAAATATAAACAAGCCATCTCAAATAGCCAACAATGTAAAGGATAGTAGCAGGAACGAAGGATTGACATTAAACTGGTTTAACTTGTGAAGCACAATTCATAGATAGGATTGGAGAGGAGAAGATGTAAGCATTTAGAGAACATAAACTTAACCTTAAGCAATAAAATACAAAAGTTATCACTATGATAAAAGATATATTCAATACAAAAGCAGAGGTTACTGCTTAGTGTACCTGTTATGACAAACATTCAGGTTCATTCACTAAAGTTGCAACTGTGGATAACAAACAAAACGTCAAAACTAAAAGGACACCCCACTGCCCAAATACATTTTAAAAAATAAAATCATGATTTAGTATATAGTGCCCCCAAAGAAAACATGCATACATTTAATTATGCATTTCTTCACTGGGAGGATATATAAAAACAGCCGATCCCATGTCTGCATAATTTGCAAGCCCTTTGCTTCTGACCCAGACTTTCTGTGACTGTCCAATCACAAACTTCCAAACGCATATGAATGAGAAGTCTTTACAAGGCAGGTGCTCTGAGTAATTGCTGCCTCTAGAGTTTAGCTCGACTGAGCTAATCAAACCAGGAAGTAACCGGACCTGTTGTCTGACTGACAAGGTTAATTTATAAACGTGCATATTTCTATTTGAAACCCGCACTTTTTTTATCAAATGAAAAGGAAGACAGGAGTATAGAGTGTCCCTTTAAAGTAAATTTTAAAAAATAAATAAAAAGTATGCAGCACTTAGACAGGATCCTCTAGTTGCCAACTGAGTGCCTGCCCCTAGAGGTCTTACTAGGCAGCTTTGTAAACACAGCCTTTTATCAAAAAAGGCAGTGCTTACATTGAAAGGCTTATACAAGTGATGAAGAGGGAGCCAATATGGAAGCATTCCCATTGCAGGATAGAGCCATGCACAGGTGTGGTTTTCTAAATTTAAAGGAACATTATAGGGTTAGGAACACAAACATGTATTCCTGACACTAAAGTTTTTATCTAGAATGGGGAGATTTACTGTATCCATTTTGGTGGAACATGCTGTTGCGTCAAATGCTGGGTGTGAAGGATTTCACTTTGGAAGCATAAACTTGCCGCTCACTCAAAAGTCAGCGCCCGTTTTAGCTATACATTGTGCTCGCTCACCTAATCGACAACAGCAAGAGATGGTATGTAAATGCCTTCCTCAATATATTGAGGGATGGCAAAGAAAGCAGGCCTTTCTCTATGATGAAAAACTAATGCTAGGGATGGCTATAGCAGAGATGGCAGCATAGCAAGTTAAATTGTCGCATTGATTTTAATTTACAGAAATTATTAAAGAGACACTATAGACACCCAGACAACTTCAGCTCATTTAAGTGGTCTGGGTACAGTGTCCCTATTGAACTTAGTGCAGCAATATAAAATATTGCAGTTTTAGAGAATCTCCAATGTTTACATTGCAGCTCTAAGTCAGCTCTTTAGGACATCCAGCGTCTGCTATTTCCCCATTCAATGCTTTCCTATGGGGAGGCCTAATGCACGTAAGCCACACGTGCGTGTTAGTGCCCCCTTGTCAAGTGAGGGATGGGGGAGGCAGAGAGAGCTATAGTGCCAGGACTACAGCTTTGTATTCCTAGCACTATAGAATCCTTTCAAAGAACATTGGTGGTTATGAATAAAAAGGTCATTTTTTTATGCTCATAAACCATTTTCTTATATAAAAAAAAAAGTTACTCGGTCCTTCATACATGGATTTCGCTTTTTGTAACCATTTCTGTAGTGCACATAATCCATCTTCCTGACAACTTTTTTTTGGTATAAATTTTCCCTTTATTAGACATTAAAGGACCACTATAGTGCCAGGAAAACATACTCGTTTTCCTGGCACTATAGTGCCGAGGGTGCCCCCACCCTCAGGGACCCCCTCCCGCCCGGCTCCGGAAAGGGGAAAGGGGTAAAAACTTACCTTTTTCCAGCGCTGGGCGGAGAGCTCTCTGCCTCCTCTCCTCCTCCGTTACGCCCCGCCGGCTGAATGCGCACGCGCGGCAAGAGCTGCGCGCGCATTCAGCCTGTCTCATAGGAAAGCATTTACAATGCTTTCCTATGGACGCTGGCGTGTTCTCACTGTGAAAATCACAGTGAGAAGCACGCAAGCGCCTCTAGTGGCTGTCAATGAGACAGCCACTAGAGGGAATAGGGGGAAGGCTTAACCCATTGATAAACATAGCAGTTTCTCTGAAACGGCTATGTTTATTTAAAAATGGGTTAACCCTAGCTGGACCAGGCACCCAGACCACTTCATTAAGCTGAAGTGGTCTGGGTGCCTAGAGTGGTCCTTTAATTTGCTTTGATCGCATGTGAATTTCCAAGACATCACAACACAGCCAGAGGGACCTTTTCCTAGGATCGCATCTTTAGCACTTGAGGAAAAGCTTAGAAGTGACAGAGACACTTTAATAAATAATGCAGGGGAGAATAACCACCAAAAAACACACAAAAACACAGATTCCAGTCTCACTTCCACTAATATTAGTAATTTCTTTGAATCCGACTCACATGAAATCTATATTTAAGAAAAACAACGAAAAGATTACACAGTGGGGAAGTTTTATGTTATTTCCTGGTGTACTGGAGACAGCCAGCTAAAAACAAACCTTCCCAATAAAAGATTAAGCATTAACCCAACGGCTCAGGTATTTAACACTATGACACAACACTGCTCCAAAAATCCAAGAAAGCAAAATAATCAGCAGGAAAAACAAAACGGCTTTATATACCACAGAATGAACAGTAACCCAAATTTCTATATAGAGGCCAACGCAGCTTATTTGGGGGTGAAAAATCTCCAATTCTGGTACAGTCACAGCTTTCAATTTTAAAATTAACAGTTTAGTGACTAAATAGACCTCAAGGTGTTTAAACACTCTGCTTGACACGCTTTTGGATCAATAATCGATTTATTCAATATCCCAAAACATTCTCTGTGTCCACATAAGGTTTTAATAGTTAAACCAATAGCGGTTTTAGGACTGCCACTCCCACAATGCTTTGCCAACCATCCAGACATCTGTTAACACCTAGCAAGTTATGTCAGAACATTAGCCACAGTAAAACTGAATTCCAGCAATTCAACCTTAGCAGAATTACAACTCCCACAATGCACTGCAATGCTTATAGCTGTACGACAATAAACAAGCCAGCACTCACCCAGAACAGGAAGAGGACAGCGGTAGTGCAGGTTTCCAAGAATGAGCTAGCGGTGAGTGAGAAGAATAGTGACAGGAATGATGCTGAATTGTCTGCTTGTGTCTATGAATCATTAGATAAGAAACGCTCTGCAGATCTTATCCAAGGGAAGCACTGCAGACAGATACCCAATGACTAGCTCTACTGGATCACACTTGCTTTGACTAAATGATGCCAGTAGAGACAGGGAAGGTTTCCACATAAATAAATACATCATAAATAGATACTGACTGAGCATGCCATGGTTTACCTCCATGTATTTATAAAATCATATGTAGTTACTCATCGGGAATCCTGGATTTCCATAGAAAAGGCTTCTTATGTATTCATGTAAGCGACTGCAGCATGACCGCCGCATTACTAAAAAGGTCACTGTACACATAAAATCCATTCCCTACGTTTCTGTTTTATGAGCATTTAAGAACAGCCCCACAGCAAGATCATTTCTCTGCTGCAACATAAAATCAGGGGGAGAGGAAAAATACTAGCAGTGCATATAGCTGGTCATGCGGGTATACAGGCAACATTCTGTTACATTAAGAATCCTGCTTATAACCCAATGCCCTTGGCATCAAGGTGTAAGTGCATCATGGCAGACGCTGTATCTGAGTATTCGATGCACTAAGCAGCCCACAGCAGAGGTACAATCCTTGAATCTAATTTTATAATCCAATGTCAGTTTTGGATATGTGATGAATGGAAATGCCAGCTATAGATGAAATAAACCGTTACTGGTTGGGGGTTTATGGGATACGTTCCGGCTCCAACAAAAGGATAAAATCAGCCTTATAGGGCGAGCCATTTCCAGGTCTGGACAAAGCTTGCTGGAAATCGTTGGTAGCCCAGTTGAAAACCTGAACTGTAGGTAGAGTATCTTTTGTTATATTTGTTGCACATTTTTTTCAAAGGAATACTTCAAGCGCCATAACCACTACAGTGTGCTGTAGTAGTTATGGTGCCAGGAGTGCCTTGGAGCCCTGTAAGTAGTCAACGTTTTAAACCAGCTTGACTTCTTAACAGAGATCCTGAGTGCCGCTCCCTACCTCCACTACAACCTGCGCTCTTGCTGGAAGCTCTCTGAGCTAAGCCCTGTGGGTAAAAGGCTCAGCTCTCCAGACTGCTCACAGCGAATGAGCCAAGACAGGCGCCTAAGCAGGAACTTCTGGTTCTACTTGCAGCTGAGAGGAGGCGGGGAACGGCGCCTGACAGACCCCAGGTAAGAAGTGAAGCCATTCTAAAAACGGTTTGACTACTTACAATGGAGGATCCAAGGTTTTGCTAGCACCATAATGTAATGCATTATCTATAGAATACATAAAATTGCAGTCAGAGATAGAGGGAAGAGTGAAAGACAATAGGAGCACATGAAAAGAGCTTTGTTGGAGTTGGCCTCCTAAAATCTTCTAGCTAGTCTTTTTGGGATGTTTTGGAGAAAATGATTGAAACAAAGTCTGACAAAATGAAATCTTTAGAAGAGGTTAGAGATTTTCTCCTCTATCAGCGAGTATTCAAAGTGGTGGCTACGCCAATGTCCACGTCCTCCGAGGACTAGAACTCAGATGCTGTGGAACAACTAATGGTACTTTAACAGCTGATTATAACATGCAGACCACAAAAAGGGACATTAAAAGGGTTAATCTAACATCCATGACCACTTCTGTTTTTAGACGCTGTCATGGCAGAAATTATCTGTATGTGCAGGGTTTCAGCATGATACAGATACAGAGTAATCTGCACTTTTATGCCAGGGGCTAGTTACCACACTGCCTATGTTAAATTTGTGCATTGGACCCTGGTGACAGACGTTATCAGCTTCTACTCTTGAAAGCAGCATGCACGCAGTGGAAGCTTCAATCTCAGTATTTTATTTACCTTGCCCCTTGTACGCCCACTCTTCCCCCACTCCTTCCATCCTTCCCCGGCTCAGAAGCATTTGATTGGTCCTCAGAGTGACGTGGAGCAAGGTACAAAAAGGGTTATAGTGACCCTTTAATTAGATGAATGGACGTAGATTGTATAATGCCGTTATGGTAAAGGAAGAGACCAACGGCTGAAAGACAAGGTTGTAGAGGAAGTAGACACACACTGGATTATTCTGCATTTAAAGGTTGTAGAGGAAGACAATGCAGTAATATGCAGCCATCTATAAGAGCCAAGAGGAGACAAACCAATGGCACATTCTATTGGTACCTATGGAGATTGCTGCACTTTTACACTGTACCCACTTTTCTAATGACTGTTTTAAAACATCGCCTTTTTTGTCTGCACAGGACACAGCAGGGAGGACAGGAAAGAGATGGAAATCATTTATGTTTAAGACAGGAAGACTTTACTTTGGTCTACACCTCGTCTTTATCAGGAGAAACCTGAATACAACTGAAATGTGCAACTTTACTCTAAAATACAAGAAATATGCAGATGGTTATTTCATAAAAAGTCCATCTCCCGCCTCCCTTTTTGCATGATTACTATTCCTGAAATCAATCTTTTGCTTTAAAGCATTTTTACTTATGTCAGAAGTTCTTAACTTTTTGCAACGTGAGCACAGTGACCCATTACTCATTCTATAATGGACATTAAAATAAGGCTTCAAACAAAATTACATTTGTAATATTTGTATTTTGGGTGATCCGTAGTTTGTCCAAACGCCTAAACCCTATATGGACAAATCGCAAAACATAAAATAGACAAGGAATGAAAGTGATCAGTAGAGAGATAAAATAAAAAGCGGTAAAAATGTCACATTTAATATACAAATATATAAATACAGATTTTTCTTTTAGATTTTTTTTTTTACAGATCCTTCTCTTTTTCCTTCCTTTGGTTATTTCTTCTCACTTAATCTGTGAGAAAAAAGTACCTATCAGCGTCCGGAAAAATTTATACATGTATATTATGCAGTACACGGATTGGGCAATATTTGCGCCATTTTTGATTGGTCACAATAGTTCTTCTCATAGCGATCGCATAAATGAAATTTGTTAGAACTGAAACGCCACTTTGACAAAAACTGATTTTTTTTCACAGAGCATAAATCTGATTAAACTAAATACATTTTGCACAACACTTTGGACTCTTCCCGTAGCAGAGGGGATGGCATTGCTCTGGGAAAGTCTCTGATTCTACAATAAGAATTTAGATTTAGCAAAAGGCCACCTAGAAAGGGCAGTATGCACTTAGTGTCTTCTACTTGTATTGTAATCACAGTGCTGTGAGGCACAGCTGACACTGGTATGTCGGTTCCATTCTCCAAATCCTGTTATGACAAACATTGCTTTAAGGTTTAAGCTGTTGTAGGCTTAGAAAAGGTTTACTCAAGCAAACATGCATTTTATCCCTCTCGCTTTGGCTTGCTGATTTGCATAAATACATTTATAAAGAATCTCTCTGCGTTGGCATGCATTATTAAAATTAACTATATCTTTTAGGCAAAACTGGATACTGGGATGATAAACAGTCCCACAAACCTTGTAAGTGAATAGAAAGCATTCAAACGGTTCTACTGTGTTAGAGTACAGACAGGTGGGTTCTCCCCCCATTAGACATCCAAAACATCACTAGCGCTGGGTCCTGCGATCAGGAATTAAATGCCATACTCCATCAAATGGATTAAAACCATTCTATATTTGGACCTAATGTGCGAGGGGGGGCTCGAAGAAGGGAAATGCCAACATGTTTCCTATTGTGCAAAGCACTTCCTCCAAATATATACCCAATACAAAAGATACATTCCATATAAAAATATAGAAAATGAAGCCCTGTGCATAAACCGCCAGTTCTCCTGGTAAGCAGCATTAACAGAAGTTTTGTTTTTTTAGTATTGGTCCAATTGCCATTTAAGTGTAAGCTCACCTGCCATGTCCAGGTAAATCACTTCTAACAATTCACTTTAAAGCGTTCAGCTAAAAGGCAAGTATCTCTAATAAGCGCTGTCACGACCCCATGTTTACCTGATTAAAGGTCAATACATTTGTAGGGGTTTATAAGAATAACCCTGTCTGTCTCGGAGAGGTTTGCCTTTTAGTTTAAATTGGCGATTAGAGTGACACTTAAAAAAACTCCAGTTGTTTTAAAAAAGGAATAGGAACACACAAAACAAAATTCTGAAATTCACTTTGAATTCCTGGCAATTCTCACATTAGTTAATAACCCTTAAAATGTAAAATAAAATAAAAGCTTGCACAGCATCGTATTCCCTGCTTCATGCTGGTCAGAAAGCAGGAAAACCTCATACAATAAAAAGGCACTTTATCACATTCATCAAATAAAAAAAATAAAAATAAAAAAGTAAAATTAAATAAAAAATATAAGAGCGGTGTTTACATAATTTAAAGGAATTTCGTGAAACACCACCTGACTATCTGTAGAACATGAAATCAACCCGACACTAGCTGTGCCGAGCAGAACTATAAAAGCATTTGAGGATCTAGGAGGTAATCTTGTTTGTAATCAATGTGAGAAACAAACAAAACAACAAAAAAAAAAAAATCAGAAAACAAAAGAAAACTGAAAGTTATATGTAAAACATTACGGCATTACATGGGGGGCGGGGCTCATGTTCATTAATGTTAAAAATCGCAAGAGGCAAAGAGAATGGAAAACAAGTGATAAACATGGGTACTATACTAACTATACCTATGTCCCACCCACTTAACGACCGCTTTAAATAATAAGCACGGTATCTCAAACACGTTTCAGGTTGTGATGACAGCTTAGTTGGACATTAAGGGTTCATGAGGCCCCGGGTTCAATCCCCGGCATCTCCACCCCAGTGGTAGAGGTTAACACAGTAATGGAGTTTAAGCATGCGTGGGATAGGCATAAGGCTATCCTAACTATAAGATAAGGCTAGGGACTAATGAAAGTATTTAGAAAATTGGGCAGACTAGGTGGGCCGAATGGTTCTTATCTGCCGTCACATTCTATGTTTCTAAGGGGTTAATAGCGCACACTAGGGGGTGGTTCCCGCCTCGGAGCATTGCTAACTTTAAATAACATTGGCAAGTCGGAGAAAAATTCTGTGTATATGTGTATTTTGGAGAATTTTTGTCAAACAGCTGACGGGTCAAGCACTGACACTTTTTTTGTCCCCTTTCCATATGCCCTTTGTATCTCAGTGATTATAGTCCTCACTCCGCCATTTGCCTTCCTAGCAACTGATCCCAATACCTGGGCGCCGCCATTTTGTTCTGCTCTCTCCATGTTGGCTGCAGTTTGCCCTGCTCTGGGATTCTTTTGACTGATGGATTGTGGGTAAACTCGATTCGCAACTGAAATGGAACTTTGCTTAAGCCCCGCCCATTGCAGACATTTGCCATAGATCATGCTCCCCGTGAAAAAAAAAAAGTAAATTAGTTAGAAGAAAAAAGAAAAAAGTTGCATTTGATGAAAATGAAAGAAAGGTACAAAAAAAAAAATTTTTTTTTTTTTTAATTAAAATCTGCAGAGCGGGGGCATCCAAAATGTCCACTATTTCTTTTTGTACCGTTGCTCTTCTCCTAAAACTGGCCAGTGGGTTGGGGGTAAAAGTGGCAGGCCAGTGTCACGGTTGTATCATTGGCTCTACCCAAAGTTGGCAGACCCACCAGGACCAAATTACTGGCAGGTGAGCCTGGTGTGACTGCAAGCCAAGAAGCCTGCCAATCAAGTAGTGAAGCCAAAATTGGGACAGTTGGGAGGCATGCAACATGATCGTTAAGATAAGTTTGTTTTCTTAAATAATCACCTGCACATTTGCTAGCACAATATACAGATAAAATGAGAAAACTATAAAATGGAATGCTATAATCGGATACAAATGTTTTAGAGTTGCTCAAATGGAGAACGATGCTCTGCGAAGACAACATATTCCTAAAACAAAGCAGGACAAAAACAGAAAATATTAAATGTAGAAAAGAGAAATGGCACTTTCTTGACTTCCATAGATTTAGAAAATTGGGCAGACTAGTTGGGCCGCAGGCTTCTTATCTGCCGTCACATTCTATGTTTCTATATATAAACCCCAAACAGGTTTAAAGGGATTCTCCAAATACCATAAATACACCAGTTTACTATACTGGTTACAAAATCTGCCCACATTTTGACAATCCGTAACCACTGTGAGTAGTGTAGTCCAGAGCTTGGACTGCATCCACAAATTCTTGCTCATCATAGCCACTACAATGAGTGGTAGTGGTTATAGTGCCTATCATATCAATAAATAGGGCACGGTTTCAATTGACAAGTCCCACTTTCCCACTGTTTGGTCGCCTTCATGCCCATATCCCTATGAAATAAATTTTAAAAACGAACATGAAAGGACGACCCTTTGCGCAACAGTTAATGACGTTTCATATGAAAATATGAGGAAATTACTAATAATTATTCACTTCCCATTTCTCAATCCCGTGACATTGAACAGCACACTCAACAGTAGACATTCCTCATACGTGAGATTTAAAATATCAAAAGAGACGTCTGGTCTGAATGTCTTCAATATACAATCACAGCAAGCCTAGCCCCACTAATAATAGTCAAAGTGTAAATAGCAAAAATCTAGCCTTAGGCAGTGTTGGTTCATGGCAATCTACTGTGCAGCCATGCACGAACATTTTAATTAGTCGTTGAGCAGGTATCCAGAGTTTTTTTTCTATACTGGCTCATAAAGACGTGAGCCTGGACATTTATCCACAGGCATAAGGCAGAGTTCAAATCTCAAACCCCCGTAGGCAGTGGTTATTCAGGTATTCTCAAAACCTGTCTGGTTGTGAGACCATAGGGTTTATCCAATAAACCGAATTATCCAAAATTCTAACTGAATTTCAAATTTCAGACCAGAATTGCCATATTGGTAAAAAGTTTCCACATCAGCTGTGTTTTCATTTGTACTGTTTTGGCCTGAGATGGGAAACTCGCAGCAATTCATATTTTAGCGAATATGCCTCATAAACTGTGGTGAGTTGACAACCGTCGCGCAAAGTTTAAGTAAAAATATTGTTGGCACGTTTTCCAACCTCTCAAGATTGAGGACGGTGGTGTGAAATTGGGGCAGGTGGAGAAATGGGAGGGGGATAGGACACATCACTGACATCTGGAGCGAAGCACGCCATTCAAGTGCACTTGGTACCTGGGCAGAGCTGCCAGTAAATTGGCTGCGTCGTGCACACAGAGCTGGGTTAGATCTCTTGTACAGACAAATGGGCTGTATTGGCTTCATAGAGCACAACCACGTTACATAATCAGGTCTACGCACTTTTGGGGGACATTTTTCTGGTGTCTCGAATTGGGATTGTCCTGCCAAATCTTGGACAGTTTTGGTGTTTGATAGGTGATGAGCGTTTGAATCTCTGCTATTCTGGCATAAAGCTTGGAAGTCAGCTGTTAAGATAGGACGTATTGTTTCATAATCAGATCGCTTAATATTGCGGTGATGTTATATACGTCATTCAGTATCGCATACCTGCTGAGGGGCTCCTATTAAAAAGGTCAGCCAGGGGATTTAACTGGAGGCAGTCAATAATGGCCCGTCTGCTGCTACATTACAATCAAGAGTACCTTGGTCAGTGTTGTTTAGCTAGCCAAGGATAATTTAAAAACTTTAGTAAAGCAGGAAACTCAAAGTTCAATAGTCCAGTTATAACCAGTTGAAAAAGCAGAAATGTCAGATTTTTCACCTAAAACAAATGTTTTTTTCTGTACCTTCGGCTATTACTATTTAAATGGAGTCAATATGCTCGATACAGCTTTACTGTGGATACAGCCAAGTTGAGGCGAGTAGGCAGACAGAAGAGGAGAGCAGGATCTTGCTCATGTGAGCTAAGATCTAAAGTGTTTAATTGTAAACACAGTTCAAAAAGTACAGCAAAAACACATTTATATAATCTATTTAAAAAAATATATATTTTTTTAACTGTATATTGGCATTTAAAAAAAACAAATGAAAAAAATAAATCACAGATTGGGCATCACGATATTGTAAACACACTGATTACTAAGCAGCTCATGCCGACGATATTCCGCATTCTGAGGTTTTAATCTCTCACAACTGCAAATTCTGACCTTTTCTATTTAAAGCAGTTAATGAGGCACACAGCGTGTGGTTACACAAATTGAGCTCTCAAAACAGGCAGCCATCCTTTTCACAATGACATTAAAGAAAGAGCTGGATTATTCGCTCTCCAGCTCAACCCCCCTCCAACACTGCAATCTGTATGCGAATGTAACAAGGCCAGCATTAAACGGTGCTAAGGGTTCTTATTACTTACACTGCCGCATCCTTCCACAGCCATCCTGATTACAGAGCCCTGCTCATGCAGTGCTAACAAGTCTTCACGAGCCACATGCTTGGCTTTTGACTAGTGTTTGCTTTTTACTTACAAGCTGAAAATATCCAGCTACTTCCTCTGGTCTTCACTGTCAGGAGTTGCTCACCTCCTCCTGGCAATGGATTGGCTGAGCATAGTTTACATGTCTAAAAGGCGTGTGCATATTGGTGTGCTCCAAGTCACGTGATGCCACGTACTATTTAGCAATACACTGGGGGAACATGCCAGATCCCATTCACATCACGCTCAGTTTGGCAATTAATCTGGAGCTGATATCACAAAAAAAACATTTTTACAGTTTTGTTTTCAAAGGAAGAGTCTGGATATTAGCACACAAACGCTTTAAAAAAAATAAACAAAAAAACCTGTAGATCAGGAGAAATAAAAATACAATAAAAATTAAATTGAATGAAACCATGGGGCAGAGAAGAAGGGTTAAAGGCTTACAGACTTCCTATTCACAGGATAACAGGGGAAAAAGAAATCAAAGCCTGACCTTTACTGCGAGCACCCTTGGAATTCCATGCAGTGATCGCAACAAGCTGAATCTCTCAGTTCTGTATCAGCGTGGATTGCCCTACAAACCCTCAATTGAGAAGGGCTTACTATGCTGGAATACCACATTAGAATGACAGCAAAGTCCTTAAAGAGGGATGGAGTTACATAAGGTCATTACTGGTTACAGTTCACTGATTGGCTGTGCCACAGGAAAGCAATTCATCACACAACTCATTTTCTCAAATCCTCCCCCCTCACTGATGCCAAATTTTTCCCACACCCTAGACAACTCTCTACCTACTGCTTGATAGGTTACTGACCGCCTATGTCCTGCAGATACAGGTTAATGTACTCATACAGATCACCTGGGAATTCTGGGACTTCACCAATGAGCAGGTAGTCTCACTAGGTAATGTATAGTGGAGAGCTTCCATGAAGGTTGTGTTATTGTTTAGGATTTCACAAGAATCCTAGAAGACTGACAAACAAATCACAATAGTAATAATTAACCTATGCCCAAGCAAACCACATTCACAACTTGAAGGAGGGAGGTTTCAAATGACAACATAGCACTCCCCGCAGTCAGTCTGCAATCTGGACTCAAGACAGGTTAGCAGCATGACACAGAATGCTCATTACCTGCTGCAGAGTTCTAACCTTTTTTTGAACTGTTCCGATTTTACTTTGAATCTGGGCCATCTGGGCCAAGATTGTTTCTACCTTCTTCGTCACATGACATAATCCTGTCCATGTCCACGGTCCAATCAAATGTGTCTCATAGAGAAGCATTGTTGGAACAGTAAAAGCTACACTGCGCATGCACGCAGACAAGCAGCAAGATGAGCAGAATGACAGCTCATCTCACCAAGCCCACCCTCCTCCCAATCACTGTGGAGGGGAAGGAGGGAAAGCTGTACAGAGGGTGGTGGACAAGAGGAGGAGGAAAGCCTAGTGTCAAGGAGGGAAAGTAGAATATTAGAGCGAGTCGTTCTTAGAACTGCCCCCACACGGTTCAAACAGCCTTCTCTTTGTAGGCGCACTCAGTATGTGTTGACAGATTTATTTATTTTTTTGCACAGGATTCACTCTGGGTTGACCAAGTCACATGTGCCGAAGTTGTAACTACACTCAAAGTCACTAGTATCTCTGGACAGGCTGCGTTTCAATATGAAAAACTGCACATACAGATTGCATGCACAACATCTAAAACCAGAAGTGGTCACGGTGGTTGGAGTAATCCTTTAACAACATACATTCTAGTAAATAATGCTCCTTTTCGTAGCCCGTCTTTCAAGTTCAGTCTACTAACAATTAACAGGTTGATCTATTGTAGCTTACATTTGGTCATTAAAATGTTTTATTAAAGGGACATTATAGTCACCAGAACATCTACAGTTTAATGTAGCTTTTCTGGTGTGTATAGCATGTCCCTAAAAGCTTTTTAATGTAAACACTGCCTTTTCATTGCAGTCCAACACCTCTAGTGGCAGTCACTCAGACGGCCACTAGAGGCGCTTCCCGAGTAAGTGCTATGTTGAGCATCTCCACGCTCTGGATGGAGGTGCTGAATGTTTTTCATTGAGATGCATTGATTCAATGCATCTCTACGAGGAGATGCGGACTGGTGCATTGCTGCGTTTTGCCATGCCTGCATATTAGCCTCACCATGCTTTCTTATGGAAAAGCATTGGATTGGCTGAGATAACCAGTTTTGATGATTTCAGCCAACGAGGAGTGTACCTGCGAGGCCACCTAAAATTACACTATAAAACACATATGTTTGTATTCCTGACACTATAGTGTTCTGTTAAGAGTTTGAAGTAGATAAATTTCACACTCAAAAAAAATAATTTTGAAATAACTATTTTAGAATATGTAATAGGAGTTCTCAGTATCAGCACTGTGTATCTTAACGGCACTCCACATGCCATAGCAACTACAACTGCTTTGTTGCAATTAGTCCTTGGGTGTATTTCCTGTTAAACTGCTCAATGCGGGGGGAGCTACATTTGACCTGAGGAGACAACGTCTACTGTGAACACTGAAAATTCCAAGTCTATTCTATCACTTAGCATTCCAATTTCCGATTTCATCGCTGTAGCAGGATTGAAGCAGGAGTCTATACCAGTTTGACACATACCTGGTTCTGTCAGATGCCTGTAGTCCTACCTGTATACAGCGATACACTATTATTATTACTGGCATTTATATTATTATTTATTTATATAGCGCCATCAAATTCCGTAGCGCTGTACAATGGATGGACTAACATACATGTAATTGTAACCAGACAACTGGACGTATAGGAACAGAGGGGTGGAGGGCCCTGCATCACGAGCTGACATTCTAGACAAATTCCGCAGCACTTTACAATAGTATAAGAGAGGGAGATTTAACAATAAATGAGACAATGCCAAAAAACTTACAGGAACGATAGGTTGAAGAGGACCCTGCTCAAACGGGCTTACAGTCTATAGGAGCTGGGGTATAAAACACCGTAGGACAGGAGGTAGCAATCAAACAAGGTGAAGTGAAGCAGAGCTGGAGGAGAGAGTAGATTGCTGCCCTTTAGGAGAGAGCAAGGGACAGGTATGTGAGGTAGAGGTTACTCTGGATGGCCATAAGTTTTCCTTAAGAGATGGATTTTAAGGCACTTCTTAAACGATTGAAGACTAGGAGAGAGTCTGATGGCAGTAGGCAGGCTATTCCATAGGAAGGGAGCCACCCACAAGAAGTCCTGCAAGCGTGAGTTGGCCGTACTTGTGCGGGCAGCGGAAATGAGAAGGTCATGGCCAAAGTGGAGAGACAGAGAAGGGGCATACCTATGGATCTGTGAAGAGATATAAGAGGGGCTAGAATTGGTCAGTGATTTATAGGTATGGATTAGTACTTTGAATTGACTCCTATAGGATACAGGAAGCTAATGTAAGGACTGACAGAGGGGTGTGGTGTGGGAGGACCGACTAGAGAGGAAAACCAGTCAAATTGCCGCGCTGGGCACGAGAACCTCAAGATTGGAGGACGGCATGGAGGATACTACCGGGGCACATAACGTAGTCGTGTCCCACGTGCATAAAATGGAAGCTCGAGTAGCTGAAATGGAGCTGGCTATGGAAGACATGGCAAACCGTTCCAGGAGGAACAACATACGACTCAGGGGCCTTCCTGAGAGAGAGGGAGAGGGTACCCTTCGCGACACACTCCTCGCCATCTTTCAGGCAGAACAGTGGTGTATAGAGCGAGCACACAGGGCCCTTCGCGCTAGGAGGCAGGCGTCCAGCTCCCCAAGAGACGTCATAATCCGGTTCTTCCATTTCCAGACGAAGGAGGCCTTGATGCGGAGGAGCAGGGAGGAGGAAATCCGTTACGAGGGTTCAATAATTCAATTGTACCAGGATCTGGCTCCCAGTACCCTACAGAAGAGAAGGGAGTGGAGGCCCATCACAGAGGCCCAGAGAAGAGCTGGCGTGCACTAAGCCTGGGGCTTCCCCTTCAAGTTATGGCGTTCCAGGAGGGGACTCTCCCTGCGCAGGCCCCACTGTGCTTACCTGAAAGGCCGTTTTTTCTTTAATCATCTGCACAAAGTTTGTGGCCGATTCCTTCCTGTTGGGTGGAGGTGATGGGACGGACCGGAGGCCCAGTGTTGGTTGTTAGCGGGCCCCTTGACTATCTTGACGGCAGGGTGTGTCAGCGTTATGAAGGAGGATGCTATATAGGTGGGAGCGGGAATGCCCCTGATGCCGGTGAGACGGAAAATACCCGCTTCATGGGGAAGGACGTATGTGTGAATTCTTGACTTCACTGTCCCAGCCCTATCAGATAACAACATACGTTTTAGGGAGGTTGACAGAGTCAGAGGAATGGAGAAAAACGGAAACAAAAAATACCAAAAAGAAGGGGAATAAAAAGCTAAAAAATAAAAAAGCCACACCCAAAAAAAATAAAGGGGGGGGGGGAGAGAAACGATTAAAGAGCACACAGAGGATTAAAAATAAAAAGGTAGGGCGAACCATCAAAACGAAGGAGAACCGTTAGAAAAACAGGGGTTAACTATGGTTGAACCTTAAAGCGGCACTATCATGCCGAATCCTGGTTTGGTTTTTTTAACCCCCCTAGGCCTCCATTACATCTGACACCCTAGTCACCCCCAAATGCCCCTAAGCCCCCCACATTACCTATTTTTTTATTCCTTATTTTCTCTCCCGATCTTTATTCAGGGCGCCGCCATCTTTGTGTGGGTAGATGAAGTCCCTGTGGGACACGTCATCTGCCCAGACTAGACAGACTGTGAGATTCCCGCACATGCCCAGTGAAACACCTGGACATGCGAACGGGAATTTCATCTATTCATTCATCCAGACGAATGAATAGAAATATCAGCTGAACAAACAAACACTGTATCAGTGTTCGTTTGTTCGTTCAGTTTATTACAAGGAGGGAGCTACCGGCACAAAGCTCTGTCCTTGTAATATGTAAGTATAAAATCTCCCCAATGCCCCTACTCGCTATACCGCGAGTAGGGGCATGTCTGGTAAACAGTGAGCAGCCAATATAAACGACGGGTGGGGGCCCTAAAGTAAAATAAGGGGGGAGACCTATTGTCGTGCCCCCACCCCTGCGCGGCTGGTGGGGGCCATAATGATAATTGGGGGGGGGATCTACTGCCGTCCCGACCCCCACCCCTGGGCGGCGGGTGGGGGCCATAATGATAATGAGGAGGGGGACCTACTGCCCCCGGCCCCCACCCCTGGGCAGCGGGTGGGGGCCATATTGATAATGAGGGGGGAGGGACCTACTGTCCACCCCCCCTCCGGCCCCCACCCCTGGGCGGCAGGTGGGGGCCATAAAGATAATGGGGGGGGGGAGGGGACCTACTGTCCACACCCTCCGCCCCAACCCCTGGGCGCGGGTGGGGGCCATAAGAAATGGGGGCCTACTGTCCCCCCCTAGCCCCCACCTGTGGCCCTAAGTCAATTCCCCCCCCCCCAAGGTGACTGTGTCATTTTACACAGCGTGGGAAAGTTCTTTGGAATTTTCCCACGCTGTGTAAAATGACACAAAGCACTGATTGGATGGCTTGAAATCCATCCAATCACAGTGCTCTGTGTTATTTTACACAGCGTGGGAAAGTTCTTTGGAATTTTCCCACACTGTGTAAAATGACAAAGAGCACTCTGATTGGTGGCTTTAAGCCAATCAGAGTGTTCTTAGCCTAATTGCAGGGCGGGCAAGGCTTTGTGTAAAATGACAGGAAGCATCGTGGGAACACAGAGGAAAGGTGAGAATTGTGGGAAAATTGCTCTGACCAGCGGAAATGAAGCACACTTTGCTCCTCCGCTGGTCATAGCTGGTCAAGCGGAGGAATCCTCCATAAGGCAAAGAGTCCCTACTTTGTCTTATGATTTTAAAGAAAACTAAAGACAGGAATAAAAGAAGAACAGATCCTGAGAGAGGGGGAGAAGAGGAAGAGATTGAGGAAAGGTAAGTTCGGCATGACAGTGCCGCTTTAACAAACACAAAATGGAAAAGGAGATAAGCGCCAAAAATCTGCAATCATTCTGCCCTGGGTTTGACACCTGTACACTTATTAAGACCATGCCCTCCTTGACAAGCGTATCTACCACTATAAGAACCCTATTCCCCACATTCCTGTTGTAGGCTAATACCACCCCACCCCCCCATCCCCCTCCTCCCACGCTGTTGTCCAAGCAGCCTAACATTAATCTGGTGACCAAACCACCCAAAGGTAATGGAGGGGCTCCCGCGACCTGTACTGGGGTCATAGAAGATCAGACCCGCAGGATTAGATCTGGGGAAGTTCATTCCACGATTTTGATGCCAGTTTTAGTTTGGCTTTTTTAATGGCCCTGCCCAAAGTGGGGCCCTCAAGCTCTTGGGGAGGAGAGGGGTGGAGGGATATACGAACGTGATGCTATCAGGGTCCCGGAGGAGGGGAGGCCCAGTTTACCAGAGAATGTGTACGAGGTCTACTTTCACAAGGGCATCGTATATTCCCGTAGCTCAGAACGGGTACTGAAGTGGTCCCCCACAAACTTCAGGTTTTGATGTTGTTAAATTTGTGTGTTTAGTTTTTTTCGTTCGCTTTGTATCTGCTCGGATATTGCAAATGTGTTTTTTCGATCATTGTTTTTGTTCTTTTTCTTCGTTCTGCAATACTAGCAGGCACGCAATTACATACTCACTTCTGACATATACACCACACAGGAGTAACTTTCGTAGCACATAGAGTTAGCTAAGAAAAGTTACAAAACAGCGCAAAATGGTTAGATGCGCATACATCCGCATCTCTCTCTAGCGCTGTGCGCAGGCGAGATGGGGAAATGTGAACCTCACACCAGTATGGCAACAGATAAGACCAGATGACTACACTTGGGCACTCACAGTGCTCAGTTACTTTTTATCTATTCTCTCTCTTTTCTATCCTTCTCCGGTTCACCTTTTACCTAGGGGTTGGGGGCTTATACATAGGGACACAACGGTTCTGAAGTGGACAGAGGCGAGCATGCAAAAAGGTGTCACGCTTAGATCAAGAGCATGGCTCTGAAATTGTCATCCCTAAATGTCAAAGGGCTTAACACGCCAAACAAGAGGACTGAAAAGAAAGAAATCTGACAGTCTTTATTCAGGAGACTCACATACCAAAACAAGCTACATTCCAACTGAAAGACCAAATGTTTAGGGTTTCCTATGAAGCCAGAACTTACACCAAGCGCAATGGGGTCGCAATCCTCGTACGGACCAGTTGCCCAATACACATAGAATCTTCAGATGCAGACCAGAACGGGAGGTACATAGTGGTAACGGGTACCCTATTTTCACAAAGGATACACCTTATTAATGTGTATTCCCCCAACCAACCTGACAGCGATTTTTGGGATGATTTACAGACCAAAATCCGAGCATTGGATCACGGACTCATTGTACTGGGAGGTGACTTCAATGCAGTATCAAACCCTGCCGTCGATAGGAGCTCACAGGGAGGTGTTCCCAGGTCCCAAGGGCAGGGAGGACAAGATAAGATGCTCCATAGGTTCATCACGGACACCGGGTTGGTGGATGTCTGGAGAGCACATCATCCGAGCACTAAGGACTTTACCTTCTACTCGGCTCCGCATGGCACATATTCAAGAATTCGGTCGCTATCCCGGGTAACAGAATCAGAGATAGGTTCCATCTCTTGGTCCGATCACGCAGACATTCACATTACCCTGGGGAACCTCTGTACTGCTTCCCCATGGACGTGGAAACTTAATTCATCCCTATTGCAAGACCTAGAGATTGTGGAACAGATCCGCACAGACATTCAGGAGTTTTTTGACACCAATGCCACTCCAGATTTGCGCCCAGAGACAGTATGGGCAGCACATAAAACAGTCATTCGAGGGTCCCTTATTAAGTTAGCAACGGCTAAAAAGAAGATGAAAGCCCAAAAACTGGAGGATCATTTAACTGAGTTACGGACGTTAGAACAAAAGCACAAAGACTGTCCAGATGATGAAACATTTAGACACTTAGAAGCGACACGACATGCCATACACACGCTGTTACTAGACGATACTGCTAGAGCCATGAATTGGTCCAAAAGGACGTTTTACGAACGGGCCAACAAGATGGATACCTTACTAGCCAAGGTCCTCAAACCAAGAATGAGACGAGGACACATCACATCCATCCAACACCCAGATAACTCTGTCAAAACTATGCCCAAAGACATAGCAGAGGTTTTTACTGTTTACTATAAATCCCTCTACAATCATTCCCCAAACTCAGAGACAATGACAATCAGAGACGAGGACGCAACCTGAAAGACCTGGGACTGCCCAAGCTACCACAGGAGGCAGTTTATATCCTAGCATCTGAAATCACCCCTGACGAAGTAGACCGGTCAATATCAGCTTTAAAAGGGAACAAGGCACCAGGACCTTACTAGGAGTGATGTATACCAACGTCCGAGCGCAGGTGAAAATCTCAGGAGCCCCACTCCACCCTTTCCATCTTTTTAATGGTACTCGACAGGGGTGCCCCCCCTCTCCCCCCCTATTTGTACTGTCGTTAGAACCCCTATTACAGCGCCACCCAGTTGTTAAGGGTGTCAAAGTGGGAGGCAGGAAATTTATGGTCTCAGCCTATGCGGATGATGTGCTCCTAGCGCTCACCGACCCGGTGAATTCAATAGGAGCCTTGCAGGGGGTGCTAAGGGACTTTGGGATTATTTCGGGGTACAAAGCAAACATGGCGAAGTCTAGCGCCCTCCTAATAAGGCTACCGGCGACGGCAACAACCCTCATACATGACACACACCAAATACGAATGGAACTGCAGTCACTTATATCTAGGTATTCGCCTGACAGCAAACCCAGAAAAATTATACAATCAAAATTATACACCATTGATGAAACAGCTGATACGGGAGATGGAGACGTGGATGGTCAGACCCATCTTGTGAATAGGCAGAATTCACGCTGTTAAAATGAACATCTTGCCTAGAATTCGTTTTTTGTTTCAAGCGCTGCCCATCCGCGTCCCAAGATCGTCCTTGCAGCCCTTGCAGAGGGCTATAGGGTCCTTCGAATGGCAGAACAAAAGACACAGAATTTCCAGATACATTCTACATAGGCCAAAGACAAGAGGGGGCCTGGGTCTCCCAAACCTATATTACTATTTCGCAGCGACTCAATTGGCAATGTGGCACTCTCCCCCAGGAGACCGAAAATGGGCAGACGTGGAATCTCTCATGACAGTCACTGACATTCCACAGCTCCTCATGTGGGTCCCTAAAAAACACAGACCCGAGATAAGGGTCACCTGCCCGACTATAATCAACTCCTTGAGGATGTGGGACTCCCTTAAACATAAGTTTCACTTAGCATCTGATCCGTCTCCTCTAATGCCATACTTACGCAATAAGGCCTTTGCCCCCGGAATGACAGCTAGAGCCTTCAAAAACTAGGGTTACAACGCATTTGCCAATTGTATCAGGGAACAGAGGTCATCCCTTTTGATACGTTAAGACAGCGGGGACTTTTCCGATACATACAACTTAAAGATTACGCAAAACAAACACACATCAAAGCGGCAGCCCTGCAAAAGATGACTTTCTTTGAACGCATTTGCCTTCAAGAAACCATACCTAAAGGTATGATAACGCTTATGTATGCTCACCTCTGTTCAGAAGCCGGGGTAAGCTAGCCTATACGGATCAATGGGAGAAAGACCTATGGGAAATACTGGAAGGCATAGAATGGCAAGAGATTAGGGAGGCTAACCATAACTCTTCCGTATGCGTTACCCTACAGGAACAATCTGGCAAAACTATGCTTCGCTGGTATACTACACCGGTTAAACTACATCAAATGAGAAAAATCCCTACAGATGTGTGCTGGAGGGGCTGCGGCTTGCGTAGGACTTATGTCCACATGTGGTGGGAATACCCTCAGATGGTCAAATTCTGGAAACGAATACAGACTCTGTTGTCGCAGGTTTTTTCTAGAGCCACAGACTTAGATCCATGGCTATTCTTATTAAACAGATCCATAGATGGTTGGACTAGGCATGAACAAAAGCTCATCCACAAAATTACATTAGCAGCTAGGAGAGCCGTAGCCTCAGAGTGGCTTAAACCGGGCACACCACCCATGACAGGAGTGATAAACAGGACAAAAGAGGTCCACTTGATGGACAACCCAACAGCTAGAATAAGGGGCTCCTTAAAAACTTTTCAGAAGATCTGGGAACCCTGGGAAGTTAATACGAACATATCCCGCCTGACAATCTACCCATTCCATTCATGGGAAGCCCCCCACCACCTCTCTCCACCCTTTCGGATCTTTACTTTTTCCTTTCTCTCTTTCTATTCTTTAATGTTTTATAAAAATCTAAAATATTGACTACCATGAGGCATTCCTGAGAGACAGACATATCGCAAACATGGAACGTAAGAATTGTTTGCGATCCTTCCTATCCACACATCGCGGTGTTAGGCGATCCCCGATGACAGAGCAAAATAATGATTAGCATATGATAAAAAAGAAAAAAAGCAAGGAACCACCGATAACACGCAAATCAGACTCGACAATTATGATACATATGCCATTACACTAAGCTTTATATGACAAAGAGCGGAATATACGAACGGATTTCAAACTTTTTTTTTTACCGAATATATCTGCTAATTATTGTCTCCTTTATTGTATGTCATTACAAAATAAAGAATTTAAAAAAAAAAAGAAAAGAAAGAAAGAAAAGAACGGCACAAGACAAGGGGCTAGAGATCTCATGAGGTGAGGCGGGACGGGATTAAGTGGACATGTGGTGGGACAAGAGGAAAGGAGAAGTGCATCCACCCCCTGTTCAGTAGCTGGAGAGAAGGCTTGGAGGATAGGGATGGTACGGTCCAAGTGTGGTTGAGACAGAGAGGAATGAAGGAGGGAGAATTAATTCCTTAACGGTTTAATCTTGTCAGTAAAGGAACAAGCAAAGCCATCAGCTGAAAGATTCGTTTGGGGGAGCTGGCCACAGCAGGGCGAAGAAGAGAGTTAAAAAGTATTAAAGGACCACTATAGTGCCAGTAAAACAAACTCTTTCCTGGCACTTTAGGGTCTTTAGGTCCCCCCACCCTCAGGGTCCCACTCCCGCTGGGCTGAAGGGGGTTGAAGGGGTTAAACACCTACCTTTCTCCAGTGCCGGGCTCCCTCAGCACTGGAGAACTCTCCTCCCTCTGCCGACGTCAGCGCCAGCCGCGCGCGCATTCAAACAGTCCATAGGAAAGCATTTCTCAATGCTTTCCTATGGACGTCCAGCGTCTTCTCACTGTGATTTTCACAGTGAGAAGCGCAGAAGCGCCTCTAGCGGCTGTCAGTGAGTCAGATTAACCCCAGTGTAAACATAGCAGTTTCTCTTGTTTACAGCTGCAGGGTTAACACTAGATCGACCTGGCACCCAGACCACTTCATTGAGCTAAAGTGGTCTGGGTGCCTATAGTGGTCCTTTAAAGAGAAGCCTAGGATTGCGGGAGCATTAACGAATGACACCGTTTAACAAGGATGAGGGCTGTGCTGTATCAACGCAAGACAAATTTAGAATGCAGAAAGTCTGGCAAGGTGTGAGACTTCCTCCAGCAGCGTTCAGCTGAACAGGAGCATTTTTGCAGATTGACTTTCCCTTCCCACCTATACTTCTGTCCTCCTCTTGTTCAAGGTTTCTTCACTCACTATACCCTATTGTTGTTTCTTTTGCATCTTCTCCCTTATACATTAACACCCATCCTGTTTGTCCATTTCTCAATTATTCCCCACTACCCTCCAAGATTGTAACCCGTTATAACCGCTACAATTCTTCCTTATATATTAAAGATTTAGCAAATTACATCACAGTCCAGTTCAGTCCAGACAATGCCAGGGCACACAATGCAAATGAGAAGAAAAAGAAAACAGTTTCACTTCCCTTCTCTATATGCTATCTTCACCACTGACTGCCTGGTGCAAAGGACAGATCTTCTAACAATGACAGACAGGGTTCTACAATGGAGGCACCCAGTTAGATAAAGATGTGTGTGACTTCTTCATGAAATATTATTCACACATCGCTCACACATATTTGTTAAGTATAGGGAATGAGTAAATAGAATACGAAAAATCATAGGAAATTACACCTTTCCTTTAAGCCAATTTATAAAACACTCATCACCCCAGTCTCCTACATAATGCATTAGCCCTGTATTTTACCTGGACTTGTGCTTTTAATAAAATGTTTCCATCTGGTCTGAACAGCTTCTGTTATGACTTGAAGATTAAGATTCTAAACCATATTAATAGCCTTTAGCATTTATGAACAGAGCTTGCAGCTTGTTTATTCCAGTTTTTGGCTTAGATAAGAAGATCAGCTGCAGAAAATCAATTTTTAAAGACTCTGGCCACGGAACAGACAGTGCCAGAATCATATGGCGGAAAAACAACAACCAGTACTCTACGAAGGGCTACTCAACCAGTCCATCGACGGCTATTCAATATCTCACTGGAACAAGCAGAAACATCCCTTATCCATGAACCCTCATGATGAACACAGAAAATTTAGACCAAAAAATAAATTTAAAAAAGTCAAATGCATGTTCTCTATCATTATTCTGTGTGTAGTTTTACCCCATTTCCTTAACAGGCAGTGAGTGACCTGTAAAGTGAGTTTACAATCTAATCTAGTCTCTATAAGAAATTCATCTTTTGGAATGTATTTGCATGTCTTGTGATCCCAATGCACAGGGCTGTAAAGTGTTTATACTTTATAAGTAAATCATAGTATAAATAATACTACACACAGACAGTACAGTGGTCTACTAATGTTCCATGTTGATTAACACTCAGGAAGTAGTGTCCAGCATGTACAGTGCCAGGAAGTGGTAGACAATGTGCCTTACATTTTAAATGCTTTAACAGTCACCTTATTCAGAATATTACTGCTGGTCATCTTTGCTATGGCTACAGGTTAACATTTTTATTAGGGATGCTTATGGATTATGCATTCTGGTAGACAAAAACAAAAAGTGCTGCCCAGCAGAGGGGTGAATCATGTACCCACCATGTATAATTAAACAATCCCAGTGATAATTCCGATTGAACCACCATTATAAATTAAAAGGGCAACAATCACTTTTACATTAGTTATACCACTGAATAAGTCCATAAAACCCCACTAACATGTGTAAACCTTTCTTCTCTCATGCAGGGCTCCATTCTCTTTAAAAAAAAAATTAAGTTAAAGTTGCACAAATTCCCACCACAATGCAGTAGTTAAAGTAAAGCAATCTTTGAGCCGCTATGCTTCTTTAGTTCCCGGTGGTTTTACCGGCCAGGAGTAGCCATCAGCTCTGAACAGTTATGAAGATTTAACAAGACATCACACAGATAAACTTGCACTAATAATAATATAACCCTATGGCATCTGTGATCTTGGCTGTTCCCATCAATGATGACCTTGATTGATTTGCAATAGCAAGAAATGGCAGCTTGGTTCACTGCTAAATATCAGCCCATAACTAGTCTTTACTATGTCTCGTGTATACCTTTACAGTTATTTCCATTAAGTTACTACTGTGCATGGAGGTCCTGCAGTTTACCTTATTACTTAAAGGGGCTGAACAGTTTACAATCTGTTTAACCCAAAGTAGCCCAGACAGCGGCCGTTGACTCAGCCCCTCTCAAAATTACATTTTTTTAGTTCCCAAAGTATTACTTTAGGTGTGATTCTATAAGCACAATGTCATTTTCAATTTATAATACCCCCGACAATCCAAATGGGCAAAACGAGTGACACTTTCATTCAGAGGTATCTAAAAACAGATTAACGGAGAGTTGTATTTGGCGAGCAGCTAGATGACATAGTTACGTGCTTTGTTTTGTGACAAAAAGTAATTACCAGAACGGATTTAAATTGAAAACTAAAACTACATCTTTTAGGTGGCAAAGACAGTTGATATTACACCACTCACACTTTGACCACAAACCATATTAAAGGAACAAACCTGCGCAGTGAAGGAACCAAACTAAGTCAAGCATTGGATTTTTTAATTAAAGCTCCAGGTAAAACAGAAGAGAAACATCCCCCTCTCCATCAGTGCTTGACCCCTTCACTGCCAGTAAAGGTATGCAATCATCTCCCAAGCACTTGTTGACGTGTTTCTTGTAATTTTAAGAACTTATAAATAAAAATTTAAATAAAATAATATATAACTCCTGCTAACTCACAAAAAAATAAATAGCTACCATCTTCCAAGAAAGGCAGGACCCAAACATATCAAAAGAAAACACTATGACAGTGTCTCCCAACACCAACAGTCCAAGATTTAAGGTCTATCCCATACTGTTCCAGTGAGTGCACAGATAAACCCTGGAATACTGGTGACTCCGTACCTGTATCTGCAGTGTGTGACGCAAGATGGTTTCTTCTAGAGCATGAATCCACTTCTCGCGTTCATCAGCATCTCGAGCTGCAGGTGAGAAAACAGGGATTATTATTGTTGCCATTTATATAGCGCCAACAGATTCCGTAGCGCTTTACAGTATTATGAGAGGGGGGATGTAACCATAAATAGGACAAATACAAGAAAACTTACAAGAACGATAGGTTGAAGAGGACCCTGCTCAAACTGGATTTTAAACAGCATTCTCTCCTCTACTGCCACAGTAACATATCACAAGCACTAACTGCTACAGCAGACTCCGGGTGGCTTTACAGTGACACACTCATTTACAAGATTGCTCTTTGATAAGCAGTTATAAAAGATTACTTTAGGCCAGTATTATGGATGGAAGAAAAAAAGCAAAATAGACAGGATAGCGGAAGATAGTGTATCTCTAACACTATCGTGTTTCTTTAAAGAGGAAGTGCCCCAATGACTAACAACCACTGGAAGAGTGTTCTAGGCCCAATGGAAACATTGTTTACATTTCTCAGAATCAATGTTTTACATTGCAAGTGACAGCATCTAAGTACTATAACCACTACATTACAACCTTCCACCTCATTGTACACAAGGAGTAAGTAGTAAGAGGTATCTGTCAAGCCTGATAATGATGCACAGTTTTTCCCAGAGAGGGACATTTTATCAGATCCAGCCACCACTGGATCAACATTGGTTTTTCAATTTATATAAATTAAGCCCATTTACTCCAGTGCTTCATTAGAAGCAGCTCTCTAACGTATCTCTGAAATAAATAAATGGTAAAAAAAAAAAAAAAAGTCAACCCCATAAGAGCTGCCACTTAAGTCATGTTTGAAGCTTTTAAATATCACCACGATTTGCCCAACAGCATGTGCACAGACCTTTGGTAGGGGAAGTGCCACCTCTATTCCAGAATGAGTTAAATGGCAGTGTGGGAGTGGACAGATTTCCTTTAAGCCAGTGTCCGCTGTGCAGATTTCAGAAGGTTAAAAGACAGAAAATAGGGTGAGGTGCTTCAAACAACATTTTGCTGGTCACTATGGTTAATGGCACTGAATGTTTTTGTATTCGGTTTGTTTTGGAGGGTCCGTATTTATATATTTTAACAGATATGACAGAATAATAATACTGGTGCTTTTAACGTCTGCCTTTCTTCTCAGAGCTCTGAGTGGATAAATAATTAGAATGTCCATGTTACCGTTAAGTGCACAGTGCCCCAGGACTGATGATGTGCTGTGTGTCTATACAGATGTCTGCCCTTTGGAAAAGTAATTATTTTTTTCCTCTTCATTGCAGTGAGCACACTGTTAGCCAGTCAGCATCTGCGTGATTTCTCAAATTATGCCCAGTCTGAACAGGCTACGCCTCACAAATGCATTAACTTCCAATACTAAAACATCAACATAAGGCCTTTGTATAAAGAAAAGCGGAAACGTCCTGCAATTAATGGACATCTTTACTTCAATGCAACTTAAAGACAAAAATAAGCTTTTCATTTGAGATGCAGATATTATTAGGAATACTGTGCTATATTTACGCATTCACATGTAAAGAAAACATTGTCTTTTTAATGCAATTAAAGGGGTTTTTAAAGCAAGTGGGTGAAAAATGCAATGCTTCCCAATCCTACCAGAAGTAGCCCAAAAGAAATCAAACCAGTGTAGACCTCACTGGAGCCCACAAAATTTCATGTCTTCCATCGAGTCTATTACAAAGGGTATGCCAATGATGTCTCCTCTAATATGTGGGGTATCCCATAAAGTGCATCGTGCTTGATGGACACTGACTAATAGCTAAAAAGGCACCTGTACACATTGCACATGTTTTGACACTTGAATTGCTGTATTGGAGAAACTGAAGTCTTCAGTGGGACATAACCATAACAATGCAGTATAGGAGTAGGACAGTAGGATATCAAGGAGTGGTTCTGCAGAACCAGTGCATATGGTAGGCAAACTAATCAGCACAAGAACAAGTGTCCACACATATCTTTACATATTACCCTAAAATTACCGCCCTAAATAAAAAGTTATGTATTGAGATGAGCATCCATGACAAAAATGTTTAAACCATTTTAACTGCAGGCGTCAACCCCAGCCAATGAATTTTCTAACACTACTGCACACTTTATCCCAGAACACCAATGGATGCAAAAAAATAAAATAACTGCTAAAAAGTTAACTATCGCAGTGTAATTAATTGTAATACGATACAAACTACAGATTATCAAAGCCAGCGGGTGCCCCAAAAGAATGAAAACAGATTTGTGATTAATGGCAGATTTAGCATGCTCTAAAGAAGTGGAACTAGTTGCTGGACTACATCCACAAGTCCATGTGAGCAGAATTATCAACTGAGCAAAATGTTACACTCTCTCCATTGGAGGCAGTGACGTCTGAAAAAGGAAAAAATTTTTACATAGTAATGGTGTGTCTGACGTGTACTATGATGATGCCCTCATTGCTCCAAAACCAATTTGTACCTTTTTTTACATAGTAATGGTGTGTCTGATGATGTGTACTATGATGATGCCCACAATATGCTCCAAAACCAATTTGTACCTTTTGCTCTATATCAGAGTTTCTGAATTATATGTTAAAGGAACACCCCGAGCCCCACATCCATTACCACGTACCGTACTATAGCATACTGTAAGCCTGAAAACTCACCACTAGCTATATGGTTTGTGATTTATATTTAATCTCTGGTGCCCGCTGCCATTAGGAGTGGTAAATTGATTACCGCAATACTGCTGCTGCTATCCGCTTATTCAGCAATTTCTCTAATCTAATCTAATCTTACTTACAGGGTTATTCACCAAACCTCGTGTTGGAGTGAGTAGAAATCTGAATATTAAAAAATGTAGAGTAAAATAACCAAGACTATAACAAAGATGGAGATTTTTATTCCAATCTGCTATTCATATTTAATTTTACTATATTCCAGGAGAGTTCTCACTGAAGCGCCAAGCTGTATCCTGTGAAGTCATCAGTACTGATGACTTGTGCCCCATCAGATACTTCTCACGGAGAAGAATTGAGAAACAAGTGATGCGCTAGCAATGCTTCTCAAAGGTAAGCATTGAAACCAATGCTTCTCTACCAAAAGCATTCACTTCCACTATAAACTATAGTTCAAAGTGAGTGAGGTAAAAAGTCCTTCCAGAAGTTTACTTGTCATCTGGTATATGTTACTAAAGTAATGTTATAAAAAGTGATAACGTCTCTTGAAATCTCGGCATGCTAGAGCTGCTCAGCACAGATGCATTTGCCCAAAAAGAAGTGATAGGCTGAGAACATGAGCTGACACTCTCAGCCAATTAATGGGGCGCATAGCGAGTATTTAAAAATCGTTTAGGCACTAAAGCATTTCAGCATAAAGGACTGGAGAGTCTCTCTAAGGTACACATAAAGAGTTAATTATATTTATATTAATAACAAATAAAAGGAGAACTACAGCACTAGAAACTAAAATCATTAACCAAGCTCAAATAAAGCATTTAGCCAGATTATTCATGAAGAATTGTATTATACCTAAACCAGAAGACAAAAAATAAATTTAAAAAATTATATTATATACACACACACACTATATATTTATTTATTTTGCAGGCCCTGACTGCCAACATAGACAACGCACAACCCTGTAGCTCCTCCATTCTAGTGCAAATACAATGAATTCTAGACCTTACTTACCATGGACACTGAACTCTGACAGGAGCAGACCCACTCTTGGGGTGCCATGCACCTGATTGGGAGCAAAAGTGACCAGGTTTTTACCTGACCAGAGTGGAAGTCCCTGCCCATGTCCTCGCGGCCTGGTTTCATGGATATTTGCTGTTGACGCTCACTACGTTCTGGGTCTGGAGAGCGGGAATATTGGGGCACCACTATGCCGGTTTATACAGGCCAATTTATCTTCCCTTGCAAGCATGGGGCGGAGGTGGCGAAGTCCAAGCTCCGCAACGTGGCCTAGCTGCGGCATTGGCCGGCTCTTTGGTACCGGTTACTTACAAGGCAGATTTACTTTATGTCACGTGATTACATTTTATAAGTCATTTTTCCCCATGTGCTTTTTTCATTCACTTAGTTATCGGTCCTCTTATACCTCCTCACATTTGGCAAGTTTCCTATAAGTATCTATGGTTGTTCATCCTTAGCCTTGGCTGTGAGTGAAGGGACATGTTTAATATTGTACCTGTTACCCTTCTGTTATGACATGTCTATTTGTACCTGCTATTACACAGAAGAAAAATAAACTAAAATAAAATTGAGTGGTTGTGAAGCCTGCATTGGTGCCTAGTACTTAATGTGATGTCTTATTTACCGCATGTAACTGCTTGTTCACTCAATAAGAAGAAAAAAAAAAAAAGGGGGGACGGTTCACTTTGATTTTTTTTTAAATATATATTAAATTCCTAATCTTCAGATTATTGCTTCTACACATTTTTTTCTAAATGTATTCATTAAATAAATTAAAATCTTACCTTTATCTCAGTACTACTCGGTACACACTAAGGATGTATTGCATTAGCCATGATCACCAATCCAGTGTTTTATTGTTATTGAGAAGCAGAGGACGCACACAGCGCCTGGTAGCAGCATACTTTGCACGCTGATGCCACACGCCAAAATCATTCCAGAACTGAATCTTTTCCAGTCCTGCGTGGTGGGTGGTCTAAGAGCCACTAGTCATGGAAACCTCCAATTGTAAACAGTGTTTACCAGAAGTGGCACTATTTTATAAGGAAGGCTAATGTGGCAGCATCTGTGCCCCCAAATTACTTCAATTAAGATGAAGTGATTTTGCAGAATCTTTGAGTAACAGAATTCTGGTTTGCAAAAGTGGTTCTCCCAGCTCAGTCATTAACCCAATTAACTTTGGACAGCAAAGCAGGTTAGCCCTGCTGGGAAGAAAGTCAGAATGAAATGCCTAGAGGCCCTGAAACAAAGCATCCAAATGGATGTGTTCAATAATTTTGCCCTGTGAAATAAAATATTTGTCTTACCATTTTAAAAAAAAATTTACCCCCAAAAAAGTTGAGTAAAATAGCTGTAAAAAGTCTTCAACATTAAAACTGAGGAAAGCGGTGGCATTAAAAGCAAATGGTTTTATGAAAGTTGGCTTGCTGCTGTGATCGCTGTATGGTAATGTGATTGGCAGGGCTGCTACAGCCAATAATATTGCCTTACACAATATCCATTTAATTGTTTACCATTTACACCAATCGGTTATGTAGCAAGCAAAACTTATTTCCTCACTGCAAGGCTGAATCTGCGCTAGTAAGAATGTCCTTTTCTTGACTTTTTAGTGACAGTGAATTAACCATTTTAGATATGTATCCCGAAAAGACATTTTCTAAAACTCCACTTCAAAATATAAAATATGCAGAAGAATCTTGTAAAGAGACAACAAAACAGAATTCATATTCACAGACACATTTGAAGGAAAAACAAAAATAAAAATGATAAATGTGATCGTGTTATGATAAACATGCACATGTGGCAAATTGTGGTGAATTAGTAACCAAATTACAAGGAAAACAAACAGCAGAATTTAAAATAATAATTCTCTAGCTTGGCAAGTTGAATTTTGTTTTCAATGATATTTTGGCCAACATTTAGTAATTTTATAACGATTTCCCAATTACAAGTTAAATTAGACCATGAAGTTTATTCAGATAAATAAAATGGCATATGGGCTTCTTGTATTCTAATATCACCTAGCTTACGACCAGTTATTTCTGCATAAGGAGTTGAGAATTTGAATTAAAACCTTGACATAATCATGACTAGAACGGCAAGTCCCAAAACATGCATCCAATTAATTCAAAACTATTTATAAAACTGATACGTTTCTAGGTATCAGATTATTAAAAGAAAACAATTCCCACGTTCATGGCTCATGCTGTTTGCAAATTACAGGACAAGCAACTATGCCTTACCCTTTCTACGGTGGAGCCATAGCATGCAATGCCGAAACATAGCAGTGACAGACGGCATTGGTTTGAGTTATTATGGGTTGAAATGTTTAGAAAAGCGGAGGAACAAATGGTGAATAGGGGATGCAGATGAAAGAAAGGAAGAAAAACTTGCAGTCTTGCATGGAAACTCCACCTTTAAAAAAAAGCAACAGCAGGTTCAGTAATCACAAACTGAACTGGTAGTTTTTCTTGCTTTGTACGGACACTGAATCCCAGCCTGGAAAATGCATTTAGTGTGCGGTGACCAGCCCATACGAAGCAGCTGCACACAATGCAGATTTTGCTTCAGTGAGTCAGCTTTTAAGACAGGGAATGCCTGATTTCTCCTGGTCGTATGTCTATCACGTTTGTCTATGCACTGCAGAACGGCAAACTATCCCATAGCAGCACCAAGCATTCACGCGTCTCGCTAAATACTTAAAGCAAGCCTTGATGGTGGGATTTGTGTCCACAGTGTAGATAGCAATAGAAAGTAGAAGAAGAAGTTGTTTTCGCTCACCCTGGAAATGGAAGGTTTTCTGATCAACCGTTATAGTAAAGGTGCTGTCGTCCTCATCGTCTATGCCAATTACAGCCCCCTGTGGAACAAAGAGCAGAATGCTGAATTGGGCATCAGTGACATCAGCAACACAGAGCGGATCACAGCAGCACTGCGGTAGAGCTCTCCGCCAGGGGAAGCCAGCTCACAGGAAGGAATTTGCATTTAACCAACAAGCATCCTTGCAAATTATAAACAGTGGAGTAAGGCAGCCAGGACCGGTCTCAGGCCACACATGAGGATTGCTTATTTATTCATTAGTTTATTAATATATAACTTAAACAGGAAGCAGTACACCATGGGTGAAATAGCTGGTGAATTTGAATGAGCAAGGGAAAAGGTAAAAAAATAAAATAAATTAAAAAAAAGGATGTACATATATAATAATAATAAAAAAATAAATAAATTTAAAAAAAAACAGAGCAAAAAAATAAGGTTTATATAATACAAGATATTTTCCCCCAATTTCTTGGGTTTCCTGTGTTCTTTAGTTCTATTAGAATACTGCTTCTATTAACTTTTATCAGCTTTTAGTAGGCCAAAAGAATAAATTAAATGGCTTTAGTGATGCTTAGTTTCTTTTTAGAATGAGTTGCTATAACAGATTAGAACAAAATAAGTTGGTACCAGAAATACAAATACACGGTCAATAAATGTAGGAGTTTTCTAAATGAGAGACAGTACTCTTGCAGTAATAAGAATTTGTCACACTTCTGCATATTTATCCCCTGGGGTGGCCATCTTTACATGATGTACATAATTAAATCTCCATGATGGGTTTTGCCACTGATTTGGTGGAAGCTCATACATTCTGTTAGGTTCAGGATAAAGCACAAGAAAAAAGTTGGTGCAGGCCTCCCATTGTGGTTAAACAGTAACTTATTAGTCTGCCAGTCTAAGACAAATAATTATGGGGGGTTATAGCTTGAGTTGGACATCCTTGCACTAATCATCCTTATCATTACCCTCTTTAAACGCAGATGGGGCCAAAGGAATAATTAACGTAGAGTATCAAAGGGTCAGCCCAAGCCCCATCATTGCACTCTACAGTTAGCTTCAAAGAATAAACAGTATGCAACAATAACAAATCCTGCACCAACACAGAAAAAAAATAAAACAATTCACAAACATCTATGCTGTAAGGGCAATAAGGTAACAGAGGTGCAGGAAGAGTTCTTGCAATTTAATTCCATGTCAGTGGCGCCACCTACTTGTAATCATGGAGAAATACACACAAACGTCACAATTCCCCAAATTCATCCAGACAGACACTTCCATATGGAATTTTTTTTTTTTTAAATTACTGTATTAAATGACCACTATAGGCACCCAGACCACTTCAGCTTAATGAAGTGGTCTGGGTGCCAGGTCCATCTTGGATTAACCCTTTTTTTCTATAAACATAGCAGTCTCAGAGAAACTGCTATGTTTATATTAGGGTTAATCCAGCCTCTAGTGGCTGTCTCATTGACAGCCGCTAGAGGCGCTTGCGTGCTTCTCACTGTGAAAATCATAGTGAGAAGACGCCAGTGTCCATAGGAAAGCATTGAGAATGCTTTCCTATGAGACTGGCTGAATGCGCGCGTGGCTCTTGCTGCGCACGCACATTCAGCCGAGGAGGAGGAGAGCTCCCCGTCCGGCGCTGGAGAAAGAGGTAAGTTTAACCCCTTCCTCCCCCTAGAGCCCGACGGGAGGGGGACCCTGAGGGTGGGGGCACCCTCAGGGCACTATAGTGCCAGGAAAACGAGTATGTTTTCCTGGCACTATAGTGGTCATTTAAGCTAACTTTCTAATACATCAAGCAACAAAGAATAGAATATCATACCCCAACAATGATGGATCTGATGGATTTTGGACAAAAATATTTACATATCCGTGTGCCGAGCCATCATATGGACAATTCCGCTAACATGATCTGTAAACAGTTTATTTCACTGCCATTGCAACGGCCTGTGTACGAGTTATCAAGATGAAAATTGACTACACTAATGCACAAATTGGATGACAGCATATGATTTTATTTAGTTTTTAAAGAAAGAATGCCACTGTGTCTCGCTTACAAGTCAAATGCCACAAGTTTTTGGGTGCAAGTTTAGTTTTAAAAATGTATCATTAAATGGTTTATCTAAAGTTGACGCAGTTTAAACAAAAATAATCACCCTGAGCAATAGAAACATGCGCAGAAAGGTTAATCCTATATCAGTCAGAAATCAAACCTATAGAGTTAGGAAGCAAACACAAATGACTCACACAAAAACACTTTCAATCACACCTTTTCAGCTTCTGCACACTCGCAGAACGTAGGCTTTTTACAAAATATTAGAAAAACAAAAAAAACAGGAAGATAAAAATAAATGTCATTTAACTAAATATTGCTCAAACCGACCCAGGGTTTACCATACCCTAAAAGAAATGCAAATACATAACCTAGCTAACAATATAGTAGGATAGTCAGCAGCTATGACTAGTGGAACAAGCAGTGTTTGCATTCTCTGACAGCAGAGATAGATGCAGTGCTAAACATGTGGCTGGCTCAGAATTATCGCGTTTACAGATCAACAACACCTCATGATCTCCTAGTCTGTCAACATTCACAGAAAACCAAACCAACACTATTATTAAGGTCACTGGCTTCCCCATAGCATGCCAAAATTATAAAGGATGGGGAACATACTAGTCAATTGCAGCTATATTCTCCTGTACATACAACTTCGTCATACTGCTATGCATTAAAGAAACACTCAAACCACCATAAGCGCTAGAGTGCCCTGGAGCCCGCTAATATAAGTAGTCAAACCCTTTCAGAATGGTTTAACTTCTTACTTGGAGTCCACTGGTGCCGTTCCCCATCTTCTCACAAACTTTGGGGAGCTGAAAGCTCTGGCTTAATAACTTCTCTCTTAATAAGAGCTCTGTTATCTCTCGTGAGCTAATTCCTGCATGGAAGGGCTTGCTCAGTGGCTGAGACTGTCAACCAATTACTCACAGCCAGTGAGCTAAGCCCAGAATTGCCTGCCTTAGCTCAGGCGTAGAGCTTGCACGTGGCCTGCAAGCTATGGTGAAGGAGAGGAGCAACACCCAGTAGTTGCACTAATAACACTGGGGTTTTTAAGGACACTTGACACCATAACAACTACAGCACAGTGCTTGCAGTGTCTTTTTCATTGAAAAAAGTCTTTGCCTTTGCCAAGGAAATATTTCAAGGATGATTTTTTAACAAAACTGTCTTAAGCCGATTTTCCACTTGCAGCATATTAAGTCTGCAAACATCAAAGCAGTCATTTTCACTTAATAAACATCAGCACAATATAACATTTAGCCAGGTAAATTAAACACTGTACCTGGCAATTCCTAAACCAAAGTTAGTTGAAAACGACCAACTATTTAATGTACTTACTCTGAGCCGGACACATCCTCTCCGTGATCCTCTCATCATTTTGTCCTTCGACTGAAAAAGAAATGAAAAGAAGAAAAAAAACAAAAACATTAGAACTTTATTTTGTGACAGAAAATGAAAAGAGCTCTTCAGAAAATGTTTCTCCTGGTCATCCCTTGTTTCTCACTGTAAGAGGCATGACAACCTCTAAATAAAGTGTATGAAATAGAAGATTATTCTTCTTTAAAACATGCTGTTTAAGAACCTCAACAGGGACTGGTTTTCAATCAGTTAAAGCAAACCTAATCAGACTTATGTTCCCCTGATTTATGTAGGGCTAAAGGAACAAATTGGCGTGAATTTTAACACTTTAATATAAGAATTTCAAATAGTTATGTGTATAACGAGCATTATAAAACTAATAACATAACATTCTGCAGGTCAGCTTACTCTACAAGGGGCTTCTGTATCCATGTTCTCATTTAACGGTGGAATACGGTCAGAATAAGGAAAACAAAATACAGAAAGGCGAGATATAAGGAATGTTCCACTGAAGATTGCAGGACTGTTAAATAGTACGTTTTACTGATCAAGACACAAGCATACTGAATTCTTGACATTATAGTGACTATTAAAAAGTCAGACTACTAATTATCAAAAATCATTTCACACATTACATCAAACACTCATGCATGTACAGTCTTTCCACCATAGTAAATCTCATACAAAGGTGTCACCTTTCTATTCCCACACAACCATAGCATTGACAGTTATGCCAGCAGTGACGCCAGTGAAATTTAACTCCAGCTCTAGTGCACAAGCTCCTATTCATTTTCCCAGGAAAACGCAGTACGGAAAATAGCCGTTATTGGCAGGGGCTGGCTAGGCTGGGGGGCAGGGAGGCAATTGCCCCCAAGGCCGCCCCAAATCCTTTTAAAACCGGCCGATGCAGGGCCGGTCCTAATGCTGCAGCCGCCTGAGCGCTCTGTTAAGAGCCTCTGGCGGCTGCAGCACAGCTTCTCACCTCCCCTTCACTGTAGCGTGGCCGAGCTCTTCTCTGGTCCGCGGTGCCCGGCCGGAATGATAGGAAGATGCACACTGAGTTTGCTCCTTCTATCACTCCGGCTGGGCACAGCGGACCGGAGAGGAGCTCGGCCACGCTACAGGGAAGGGGAGGTGGGGGAGAAAGAAGCCGAGGGGGAGGTGGGGGAGGAAGAAGCCGAGGGGAGGAGAAGCAGGAGGGAGGAAGAAGAAGAGGGGGAGGGAGGAGGAGAAGAAAGAGGAGGGGAGGAAGAGAGGGAGGAGAGGAAGAGAGGGGAGGGGGAGGGAAGAAGAGGGGAGGAGGGGGGAGGAGGGAGGGAAAGAAGACAGGGGGAGGAAGAAGAACACAGGGAGGAGGAAGAAGAACACAGGAGGAGGAAGAAGAACACAGGGAGGAGGAAGAAGAACACAGGGAGGAGGAAGAAGAACACAGGGAGGAGGAAGAAGAACACAGGGAGGAGGAAGAAGAACGGAGGGAGGAGGAAGAAGAACACAGGGAGGAGGAAGAAGAACACAGGGAGGAGGAAGAAGAACACAGGGAGGAGGAAGAAGAACACAGGGAGGAGGAAGAAGAACACAGGGAAGGGGGTAAGACTAAGGGGCAGGGGAGAGCTCTTAGGGACAGCTCTATAGGACAGGGGACAAGACAGAGCTCTTTTACACTATGCGCACACACACACACAATGCAACCCTTACACACACAGAGAAACACACAATGTAACCCTTACACACAAAGACAATGCATCCTTTGCACACATACACAGACACACACAATGCAAACCCTTACATACACATGCAAACACACACACTGCTTTTCTTACATACACACAGAAACACAATGCATCTCTTACACTCAATGCACACACATACAGACACACACCTTGCATCCCTTATGCATACACAGATTCACACAATGCATCCCTTACACAACCAGAAACACACAATACATCCCTTATACACAAATACACACTGCTACCACTTCACACAAACTGGTATCCCTATACACTACATACCAAAAGCACACATATTAGATCCTCTACAATAACACATAACACATCCCCTACACACTCCACTCCCTGTGAGCGAATTCATGGGTGGGTGGAACATATAAGTGGACTTATGAGTGGGCCTTATGGGCATACTCACCGTCAGGCCCTGGGGCTCAGACCTTGAGCTGTGTAAGGGGCCCCCCAAAAATGGAGCTGCTTCCAATTCTCCCAGAACATTGAATTTTGTAACCACAGTTGCAAACAGCCTCCAGAGATCCTGTTCTACACCAGACCAGTGGAGCCAAACTGCAGCCCATCATCATCCTCATCTGGTTGTAAGTAGGCAATCTAGTATATTATTAGTGACACTAATCTATAATTTACCTCACATTAAAGGGACACTATAGCTTAATGAAGTGGTTCTGGTGTCTATAGCTGGTCCCTGCAGGTTTTTTAATGTAAACACACACTGTGTGCAGCACTGGCGTTAGTTCATATGGCAGATCATATGGGTGGGGCATTGTGATGTCACATGGGGGGGCGGCAAATTTTTCTTTTGTCTAGGGCGGCAAAAATCCTTGCACCGGCTCTGATCCTGGGCAGGTGCACCAGTCTACTGGTGACCCACAGGAGGGGAGTGCACTAATTGCACTGCACTCTCCTCCTGCCCAGACCTGTCTTTACCACAGTGCAAGTGCCCTCTGCCCCTAATTTACAGTGGCTCACACTCACAACAAGCAGTGCCTGGAGCCCTTTGCAGAGACGGGAACAAAGAGGTTCTGTGGCAGCTGGCCGTCCTGCAAGCATTACATTAAACAGCTGTTCCCCATGCAGCCACAGGTGGTGCTGTGCTGGGAGAATGTGATTACTCTTCACTTCCTCCCAGCCTACAGAGCAGCGCATGGGAGAGAGAGAGGAGGAGGCATGACTTAATCTTACAACAAATCCAGTAAGCAAATCTTTATAAATTTGGGGGATCAGCTCTGTTTCCACAGTTTATTGGTGTTTACTCTGATGTCTGTATTAATATTGAGGGATTTCTAAGTAGTAACATCAGTATGTGTCAGCAGGGCCAGACGTTGGGGTGTGCAAGCTGTGCGGTCACGCAGGGTGCCATGACAACAGAGGCGCCCGGCGGCCAACACAGCTCACAAGTTGGGTACACCAGCATATTCAATTTAAACGATTCGCTGGTGGTCCACTGGTGCGCACCAGCAGTAGGTGCAGTCAGATTATATCCTCTCCCTCGTGGTTCCGGCGCTCAGTTAGTGAGTCAGAGCACAGGCTCAGAGATTCTCAGCCTGCGCTCTGACAACATTGAAAGTCAGAGCCGTGAAGGAGCGGGTATGGCAAAGAGCTACTGATTAGCATAACATCAATATCCATTATAAAACCAGGAAAAGGTGGGCATGGATGAACTGATTTGGTGGTGCAATGGGCCACTTGACTGGTTTTGCCCCCCAGGACTAAGGCTGCCAGCCCTCCCCTGGTTATGGGTGTGTGTTTTTTTAAATAACTCTATATCTTTAGGGTAAAATTCACCTATTTCTCCTACTGGCTTTACAATGGCTTGGGTGGGCACACAGTTTGACAATGTTGCAATAGGCAAACCAGACACTAACAGGAAATTGGCCTGATCAATTCTTCCTGATAAGACATATGGACAGGTTCAAGCAAGCAAAAGTGTCATTTAACTAATGCAAGCACGATTGTGAAGCAGCAAGCATTGTCAGACTGCTATGTATGCCACTATAGTGCATTTAAAAGGTGAATATTAAAACATGGTAAATATATTAAAGAACAAAAAAATAGAAATAAGGTACATTTCACAAGCTCAAGCTAAGATTTAAAAGGGACAAAAATTTACACAGTGTAAATTGGTAGAGAAGTGAGATGGGGGACACAATTAAAATTAAAGGGACACTATAGTGACCCAAACTACTTTAACATTATGAAGCAGTTTTGGTATAGATCATTGTGGCAGAACCAGCCTCGCCACTGTCCACTGGAGGAGCCTGGTTGCTCGCCTGCTCCCTTTAGACTATGGCCCGGCATTTAAAACCTTTTATTTTCCCTGCAGAAAGGTTTATTCGTGCCTTTCTGCCAGGGTGTTCGGTAGATTCAATCTACCGAACGATCGACCACCTGGGAACTGGAGTGTGCCGTCAATTGACCGCCCAGAAGCTGCAGTTAACCGCAGCTTAATTGACTAACGCTGGGTGGCCTTTGTTTGCCGAACACGTGGCAGCGACCATTTTAACTCCCCAACGGCCAGCGGTGTTCAGCGCCCAAACTAAGGAACTGGAAACGGACACTTATTTGCGCGAACACGGCTGAGCCGCCAGCCTCCTTACCTCTGCATTCGGTAGTGGAACCGAATGACTGTTCATTCGGTAGTTTAACCGTATGAACAGCATCACCCCAGATAGCCATGGGTGTAAGCTGATTGTATGCTTTTCCTGTTCGGCTGTTTCCAGTGTTTGTGTGTTTCCTGTTCGGGAGTTGGAGGATTCGTGTAGTTTGCAGTTCGGGAGATTGGTGCTTGCAGTAGCTGTCTGTGCATCTGAAAGGGGAATATCGCCTAAACGGTTTCTAACCTCTTGTGTGCAAAAAGGGCCGTTACAATCATGCCTATGCATTATTACTGAGTGCGGAGTTAAATCACTTTGTTTATGCAGCCTTTTGTTTATGGTGCAAAATTACTTGCTCCATGACAATTCTAAAAGCAGAAGAAGTGGTCTTGGAGGCTGGAGTAAGCCTTTAAAATTAGATCTCTCTTTACAGGAAGTGCATAGGGAGACTAAGTCACATGCAGGGGGGTGTGGCTAAAGTTGTATAAACAAAGTGATTTAACTCCTAAGTGGCAGAGAATTGAGCAGTGACCACTTCACTAAGCTAAAGATGTTAGAAGAAAAAAACAATTATTTTTAAAAAATTTTTTTTTAAATACTTCTGTTGCACATCTGTAGAATATCAATGTCCCAAGATGCTCCGGCACCTACACTGCAATGCCGTATGAGCATGTGCATACTCTGCCTTTCCTTCCATAGTGCCAGTTTATCAATGTAAATAAAGCTGAACCTGTAACTTACAGGTTACGTGGTTCACAAGTTCATGTTGGTATAGATTTTATCTATGTTAAATTGATTAAATATAAATATACTGAGCCTATTAAGGTGTATTTACATGAATATTGCTTTCTCCTCCCCATACATGCCAAGTGAAACTACCCACAACCAAAATAACAGCAGGGCATCCAGTTCTTATTTTATGGGTGCATGCTGTCATGGGATGCAATCACATGGGGATTCAGCAATTGTGTGGACAGTCATCGGCAAAGCATGTAGTTTTAGTCTATCCTACGATGCCTGTGGCAAGTAAGGTGGGCAAAAAAAAAACCAGTCTAACCATGTGCTTGCAGCTAGCACCGATTAAAGGACCACTAAAGTGCCAGGAAAACACTAGTTTTCCCGGCACTATAGTGCCCTGAGGGTGCCCCCACCCTCAGGGACCCCCTCCCGCCGGGCTCTGGGGAGAGGAAGGGGTTAAAATCTTACCTTTCTCCAGCGCTGGGCGGGGAGCTCTCCTCCTCCTCCTCTCCTTCATAGCGACGTCATCGGCTGAATGCGCATGCGCGCCAGGAGCCGCGCGCGCATTCAGCCAGTTCATAGGAAAGCATTTACAATGCTTTCCTATGGACGCTGGCGTCTTCTGACTGTGATTTTCACAGTGAGAAGCACGCAAGCGCCTCTAGCGGCTGTCAATGAGACAGCTACTAGAGGCTGGATTAACCATATTATAAACATAGCAGTTTCTCTGAAACTGCTATGTTTATTTAAAAAAGGGTTAACCCTAGCTGGACCTGGCACCCAGACCACTTCATTAAGCTGAAGTGGTCTGAGTGCCTATAGTGGTCCATTAAATGTTTCCACATTAGCCTGGAAATAAAATAAGTAAACACTTGCGGGTGAAAAGTTCACCTCTGTCTATGGCTTGAATATTTAACCTACATCCAAATCACTAAACCTCTTCCCTCAATATGCAGTTCAAAAGGTAAAAAAAAATCCTTTAAAGAAAGTTGTGTGTCAGCATATTATTAGGATACTTAAAGGGACATTATAGTCACCTGAACAACTACAGCTTAATGTAGTTGTTCAGGTGAGATCTATAGCTCCCTGCAGGCAATCTAATGTAAACACTGTATTTTCAGAGAAAATTCAGTGTTTACATTGATTGATAGGAATACCTCCAGTGGCCGTCACTCAGACTGCCACCAGAGAGACTTCCTATCATGTACGGCCCTAAAAAGGCCATGTACACGTCAGACGTATTAAAATACGTCTGATGTGTGCAGGAAAGAGAAGGCACTGTGTGCGCGCCTTCTCTCTCCTGCCTGTCAGCAGAGGAGAGGGGGCAGGAAAAGACGGCGAGCTGAGCTGTCAGCTCAGCTCGCGGCCGCTGGAAATGACAGTATAGCATTCAAATCTATGGATGAACCTGCAAGACCCTCCATAGACAGAGCCAATTCCCCACAGTCGTCACAGGTGATTTCCATCTGGATTGAGCCTATAGCTCCTGCCCAGAGTCTAAGAAAGTCAGGCGGAGAAAATATACAGACTGACCGATACAGTGAAATTTCACCACAGTCAAAATTAGTATTTTATAGAGGTCGTATCTTTCTATCTTTCATTTTAAGCAAAGCGGGGTAGACAGTGATCAATGATAGAAGGGATCCTATAAACTACTGTTATTTTCGGTACTATAGGTGCCCTTTAAGACTGCCCTCTCGGACACGAAAGGAAGTTTTTTTGCTTTGATCTTGCGGTTCAACTAGAGCGTGCAGGGGTGCATGCACAGCATATCTATGCTTCCCTCCCTTGTTTTGGGAAAGAGAGCCTAGCAGTATTGTTACGAACATCCGTTCGAGGAGTCGTATTTGTATAGCACCAACATATTCTGTAGAGCTTTACAGTTATAGTGGTGAAGAATTCGATTTATGAGATCAGATCTTATTAACTGGAACAGGGGGTTGAACTAAACATTCCATAAACTCCTGCTGGACAGGACTTTATGAAATATAGGCAAACGTTTGTCTATTAGCTGCTTCTGCTTGCAGTGCATAAGCAGAAGAGGGAGGAATTTTAAAGCAAATATATTTTTCCTCCTTTAAAATGCATTAGCTATTCAACATATGTGAAAATGGTTGTTACAGCAAGGCCTAAAGTGTTCCTTTAAAGTTTATTATTAATGAAGTGTCCCTTCTGCATGGTAAATGTTCCTAAAAATACCAGTGTGATAATGTTCAACATATAGAGCTTCAACTGAGTAACTACCCACTACTACTGATATACAACCACCTGCCACCAGCCTTCTGTCTAAAACACTCAAACAAACTGGGAATAATACAAATTATATTGTCATTCAGAAACACAAATCTCCCCAGATAAAAAAAAAAAAAAAAATAGGATTCAAGAAATTCCATACAATGGCGCCGCTTTCTCAATGTATGATGAAACAACTGTTGGGGTTGTGTAATAGAGACTACACAGTATTACATCATTTGTAACAAGCTATGTGATTCTGTTTTTACAGCAAGTCTGCTCGGATAGATATTGCAAGGTAACCACATACAGAAAATGATAAAGGAGTATGACTAAACAACTCCCACCTATGTCAGCAGCAGTTATCCAGGTCCTCATATTAATAATCCAGGCTTCAAAAACCAGCTGACACTGGAGACACCATATTAGTTGTTCGCAATGAACTTGGAGGCTCCAGGATTCAAATAAGTAATTTTAAAATGAAGCGTTTATTTTTTTAAAATGTAAGTAAAACACCCAAAAGTAGAGTGTTTAAATAAATACTATGTTTTAAAAGTACTTATTTAAATCCTAATTTATGTATTTTAAGCAACTTAAATCTTGCCAGGTACTGTCTCGCTAACCTCATATTTTTCGTAGGTTTCTGAGTTTAGTGATCTACACAGCAAAATTGCTTCATTAAGCTAAAGTTGTTTCAGTGACCACAGTCTCCCCTTAAGTCTGGCTACTGGCGTGTTAAGTGGCAGGGCAATTCGGGAACCTTTCAGAGAACTTACTGATACCCAGATAAGTTATATAATGGAAAAACCCATTTACAAAAAGACCAAAAAAGTAAAAATTCAAAAAAAAAAAAAAAAAAATCTATACAAAATTAAAACTCAAAACACATTGTTTTATTGCTGTGAGATACAGTTATTTGCAGCATGTAGGAGAGTGCTTTCTTATACACAGACATATAGAGACTTGCTATGAGGTGTATGTTTTGCCATTTGTCTGAGGGCTACCATAAAGCATAACTGGGGGCCAGCAGAGCCCCCACCCCCCATGTTCACATAGTCGGTTGAGACATTTAGAGACATGCTATGAGGTATGTTTTGTCATTTGTCTGAGGGCTACCATAAAGCATAATTGGGGGCCAGCAGAGCCCCCCCATGTTCACAGAGTGGGTTGAGACATATAGGGACATGCTATGGAGGTGTATGTTTTGTCATTTGTCTGAGGGCTACCATAAAGCATAGTTGGGGCCAGCAGAGCCCCCCAATGTTCACAGAGGGGGTTGAGACATATAAAGACTTACTATGAGGTGTATGTTTTGTCTGAGGGCTACCATAAACCATAGTTGGGCCAGCAGAGCCCCCCATGTTCACAGAGGGGGTTGAGACATATAAAGTCTTGCTATGAGGTGTATGTTTTGTCTGAGGGCTACCATAAACCATAGTTGGGCCAGCAGAGCCCCCCATGTTCACAGAGAGGGTGGAGACATATAAAGTCTTACTATGAGGTGTATGTTTTGTCTGAGGGCTACCATAAACCATAGTTGGGCCAACAGAGCCCCCCAATGTTCACAGAGGGGGTTGAACCCCCTCCCAGCAGCATTCCTGGCTGACATGTCCCATGACTGTGGACCAGCACAGGCCCCACTCACTGGGCAGCAGACAGGCGTATCCGCGTTCTGATTGGCTGCTTTGCAGCAACCGAGCGTGCTGATTGGATAACTCCGGCTGAAGCTAGCGCTGATTGGCTGCACACGCGCAGACTGGAAGTCGCCAGAACAAAAGCTGTGCTGATTGGGCTCCGGGCTGGGGAGGCTCCGCGCCCCTCCCCGCCTGGCGACTAAACCAGCGCGGAACGCAGGCCGTAAAGCAGGTGCTGGCGGTCCTCACCGTGTAGTAGGAGAGCAGGCCGGCGTTGTAATCCAACACAAACCAGCGGTACTGCCAGCCCTTCATCACGTTCGTCCATTTACTCAGCGGACCCTCCATGATGGACGCCATCTTGGGGACGGGGAACTGGTGCCGTGCGTCGCACGTCATCAGGGAGGGGGGCGGGGAGGGAGGAGGAAAGCGTGTAAGGAGGGAGGGGGCGGGTCCGTGACGTCACTGCTTGGACCAACGCGTTGCTAGGAAAGATGCTGCACTAGCATAGCAACCAGGAGTCTCTCTCCATCACTCAGTGAGCAGGGTGCATGGCTCACTCACACCAGAAAAAAATATATAGTAAAACAAAATATCTAATTACATTGTAGGGATCTTAATTAAACGTGTAGGCAAAGAGCAAATTTTAGTTGAACATATACATACATATATAATATATATATATTTTTTCTTCTTCTTTAATTAGTTTTTCCCCAAAACTTTTCTGGCTCAAATTTTGCATTTCACAGTATAGTGCAAAACCCTGTTGGTTGTCAGCTCACCACAATTCACTCTTTACTGAATAAAATCTACATCGGGGTGCTCAAAAGATAGATCCCCAGATGTTTTAAAACTACAGCCTCCCTGATGCTTTGTCATTCTAAAGGCATTCCAAAGACATGCAAAGCATCATGGGAGTTGTAGTTCTACAACATCTGGGGATCTACCTTTTTGGCACTCGTGGTCCTCAGTGCATAAGACACTACTTACTCTCTCAATGCAACTGTACATTTGTACAAATTCATGTGTGATTGTAAACAAATAAATAACTTGCAGATGTATGAAAAAATATGAGTCTAAAAACGTAAACTGGAGTGTTTTGCAAAAAAAAAGGTTGATAATGTTCCTGTATTTTATACTGTATTTATGTGAGTCTGACATTCTGTAGTTCCCATAAGATTTTGGAAGAAAATTAGTGTTATTTCACAGTAAATTGACTCTTTTGGACAGAACCTGAAGCTTTCATGCAGTGTGATATCACAGTGCATCCTCCCCTCCTATTAAAGATACTTGTTTTGATCAGTTAACACAGTGTCTTTAAACCCTTAAGGACCAAACTTCTGGAATAAAAGGGAATGATGACATGTCACACATGTCATGTGTCCTTAAGGGGTTAATTGTTATGATTATTCCTACATTGTGAGTTCTATTTATATTCACAGCAACCATTCTAATTGCACTGGCATTCAGCTTGTCACTAGAGATAATTGGCACAAAATCTATGTTGAGGTGTCATTACACCTATTCTTTCTCAGCCTACAATCACAGGGTTAATAAGAACTGTGCAGGAGTTGTGCAGTCATTTTAGGTTAAACAATAATAAACAGTATTTTTCCCCTGCTTTCTTTCTGAGCAAGCCAGATGTCGAGGACCACGTTTGCTAACATTCCCACTCAACCAAAAGGCTGGCTGAGCATCATGGGCGACGTAGTCCTTACAAGTTGTGGAGCTAGAGGCTCTTGCAGTCTCAGGTGAGCACTCTCTCCATCCTTTGCAATCACTACCAACACGTAGTCTGCCCTGATTGGTTGCCTGGGGGAATATTTCCGACCAATCAGACTGAGCCAGCTGTGAGGACCAGTTTGAGAGATACAGTTTCTCATCACAGCCAGCAGCACAACTTGTCAGGAGCATCACCTGTGCCTGTCTGCAACCAGGGAGCCATTCAGCACTACAGGTGATTTAATCATCCATTGGTTTCTGTCCATGCATCTCTTGATGCCATTCCCCTGTATCTATTTCACCTTCTCCCCTGCAAATCTTGTACTCTCTCCCCTGTATCTATATCACCTTATCCCCTGTATCTATTGCAGCTTCTTCCCTGTATCTATATCATCTTATCCCCTGTATCTCTTGCAGCTTCTTCCCTGTAACTCTTGTACTCTCATCTACACCTCTATAAGCTTATTCCTTCACACTCCTGAAGCCTCTGTTCAGCTTTTCCCTGTACAATTTAGAGCCTCTCCCCCTGTACATGTTTAAGGTTTTCCCCTGTACCTCTTGTAAAGTCTTTACTGAACCTTTTGCAGCTTATCTTCTATAACTTTTGCACTTTCCCCTTTACCTTTTGCAGCATCTCTCCTGTATCTCTTTAAGCTTATCCTTGTTCCTCTTGTTGCCTCTTTCCTGTACCTATCTCAGCTTCTCCTCTGCACCTCCTGCAACTTCTCCACCTACTGCAACCTCTTCATTGTACTTCTTTCAGCTTCTCCCCTGAACCTCTTACAAATGCTCTTCTATAATGTTTGCACTCTTCCCCCTGTGCCTATTGTCACCTCTTTCCTGTACCTATCTCAGCATCTGCACTGCACCTCTTCCAAATTCACCTTCCTAGATAGTTAAAATTTAGATTTATTGTATAAACCCCTTTGAGAATAATGCTTTGGTTTTACTCACTGAAAAGCGAACTGTAGTTAATTGAAAACCTAATGGCAAAACATGTATTTTCCTCAAATGATTTTTAAGCCTTAATTCTGATCTTTACATAATAAATAGAGGGGTTACCCTTTTAACCCCTAAAGCACTTCAGAAAGCTTTAATCATTCGATTTGGCCACAGGTACAAAGTGTTGCATCACACCGCATCTCTTCAATTTACATGTATGCATCATTTCTGGGCATACCAGATGCTGTCTTCTTCTTCCTCAAGCACTTCCTGCTCATGAACCTCATACACACAACAAATTGGACATATATTTACTTTAACATATTTGTCCGTTTGAGTTGCTTCTGAATTTTTATGTAGTTCTTGCATTTTGCCGCCTGCCTGTATAAAGCATTGTGGTTAATTCACTAAACTAATAATTATGACATATTGACAAAGGAATTGCAAATGTTCCACTGAAATAGACTAATTTGGAAAAGTTTTCCAGTTTCGTATTTCCGCCAGCTCAGTTATTTTTGTTTTCATATCACTTGTTGGTTCATCATAACTCCCAATTGTGCTGTGTGCAAAACATTTCAAACTTTTATCACACCAATTTCCTGCATCTTCAATATGTACCTTGCAGCTCATCTTTCCATGTATCTTGCAGACTTTATTCACACACTTAATGTGTTGCTCCAAGCACCTTGACCTTCAGTGATTTGAAGTGGTCATGGTGTCTGGAGCCTGTATGTGCAATGTTTCCCTGTGAAAGAGCTATACTGAGTTTAACCCTTTTGCTGCCGTAGGTATATCTCCACCTCGGGCAGCGTCATTGGGGTGCATTCAGCCAGCCAAGAACAAGAGGAGGATCATACTGAGGGGAGAACTTGGCCTTGATAATGGAACGGAGGTAAATTTTAGTTTTGGAAGATTTTCTGTTTTTTGTTGTTTTTTTTTTAAATTGGGGGACAGGAAGGCTTACTCTAACCAAAAACAGTTTTTTGGAGGGGTAAATATGTAAAAACAGTGTTTTATTAAACAGTGTTATTTGGTTGGAGTAGCGTTTTAAGGTTACATAGCAAACTGGGATTTATGGAGAACTGAAAAGAAATAGCAAAAAATAAACTAAAATAACCAAATCTGAAATAGTTTCCAAGCTCAGCCACTTTTGGCCTAACATTGGCAATTCACTTGTACTCAGATTACTGTCTTTCTGTATAATATCTGTAACACTTTTAAGAAGTTTTAGGGTTGCACCGTTCCTTCCTCACTCCATTAATCTGTCCCCTAGTCTCTTTAAAAAACAAAATCCCTAAACCTATTCAAGAAGGGTATATCAATTAAACGTAAAGAATTACTTTAATGTTAGGAATACAAAAATATATTCACAACACTAATGTGTTCCTCTGCCCTGCGTCCCTCTTCCCAGCGATGTTAAAGGTTAAATAACCCTCTATTCACAAAGCTGATTTCAGTGCCAATCCCCCTTTGCACTGGGTCTCGCTCCACCTCCTCCGAAGTCAGTTGATGGGGAGACCGAATGCGCATGCGCAGCAAGCGCTACACGCACATTAGGCCATCTTCATGGGAAAGCATTGTCTCAATGCTTCCCCATGAGGTCTTCCCTGACACTGGATGTCCTCTTGCAGAGTGTGAGGACGTCCAGTGTTGTTTAACGGAGTCAAATTCGGTGAAACTCTAAAAAGCACCTCTAGACAGCCACTTAAGGCAATCTTAGTACTGCAATGTATACATTACAATTTCTCTAAAATTACAATGTTTTACATTGCAGGACTAAGGGTGACAGGGACAGTGAGACAATGAGATGAAGTTGTCTGGGTGCCTGTAGTGTACTTCTCCCTCCCCTTATCTTCCTAACCCATTTGATTCTTCTCCTGTAACTGTGTGATTAAAAAAAAAAAAAAACTTAATTGTAAGCTATTCTAGCAACCTACTATTCTTTGCATGAAATACATTTTACCCTTACAGCTTGTCTTATTTTACCCCATTCTCCTTAAAATGTAAGCTCGTTTGAACAGGGCCCTCAGCAACTTCAGTTACCAACTTGTCTCGTTGCATCTAGTTGTTTGTTAGTGTGCATGTTGTACAGCACTGTGGAATATGTTGGAGCTTTATAAATAAAAAATTTTAACATCACAAGTAATTATCTTTTTCCTTAGGTGTCCTGTAGCTCACTATCCGGACATGAAGCTGTTCTTGCTGTTGACAAATATATTTTTGTCTGTGTATGCAGAGACCATTGTTTATTTTCGTGAACAGTTTGAGGATGATGGTAATATGTCTTTGATTATACTATTCACTGCTCATCTCTGCAATCCACACCGATCAGCCACAACATTAAAACCACTGACAGGTGGTATATAGTTACAATGGCACCTGTCAAGGGGTGGGATATATTAGGCAGCAAGTGAACAGGCAGTTCTTAAATTTCAGGAAAAAGCAGGAAAAGGGGCAAGTAAAAAGATCTGAGTAACTTTGACATGGACCATTTAGTGATGGCTAGACAACTGGGTCAGAACATTTTCAAAACGGCTTGCCTTGTGGATTGTTCCAGACTTTTACCTACCACAAGTGGTACAAGGAAGGACAACCAGTTAACCGGCGTCAGGGTCATGGGCGCCCAAGGCTCATTGATGCACATGGGAAGCAAAGACTAGCTCATCCGGTCTGATAACACAGGAGAGCTACTGTAGTTAAAATTGCTGACAAACATAATGCTGGCCATGAGAGAAATGTGTCAGAACACACGGTGCATGGCAGTTTGCTGTGTATAGAGCTGTGTAGCTGTCCACTACCGAAGGTGCCTTCAGTGGGGATGTGAGTATCAGAACTGGACCATGGAGCACTGGAAGAAGGTTGCATAGACTGATCAATCACATTTTCTTTTGGATCTGGTGGATGGCCAGGTGCGTGTGCATTGTTTACCTGGGGAAGAGATGGCAGCAGGATAGACTATGGCAAGAAGGCAGGCTTGCATAGGCAGTGTTATACTCTGGGCAATGTTCTGCTGGGAAACCTTGAGTCCTGGCATTTATGTGGATGTTACTTTGACAAGTACCACCAACCCAGAGATTGTTGCAGACCACGTACAACACTTCCTGGCAGTGGCCTCTTTAAGCTGGATAATGAGCCCTGCCACACTACACAAAATCTTTAGGAATGGTTTGACGAACATGACAAAGAATTCAAGTGTTACCTAATTCCGCAGATCTTAAACTGAATGAGCATCTGTGGGATGTGTTGGAACAACAAATCCAATCCATGGAAGCCCCACCTCACAACTTGCAAGTCTGAAAGGTTCTGCTGCTAATATCTTGATGCCAGATGCCACAGGACACCTTCCGAGGTCTTGTTTTGTCCATGCTTCAACACATCGGTGTAATGATACTCACCTGGTCCTTGGGCTGATCAGTTATATAACCATTTGCCTGAATCCCAGTAAAGAAAATTCTGCTTGCATTCAGAGTTCTTAAAGACACACAGGGGACATTTCTGTCACAGCTTGGTTCACGTCAGTCTGGCGTCCCCCTTCACACACTTTACGGGGCCACAGGCATAACATGGACCAATCAAATCACATATAACAGCATTTAAACTTCTCTGGACCTATTTACTGTGTACTAGCATGGTTTCTGTTCTCAGTAGGTATATGCATGGGCAAAAGATTCGGTTCGGCACTTCTGAAATTCGGGACTTCGGCACTTCGGTTCGGTTCGGTACTTACAAAATTCGGGACTTTGGCAATTCGGAATTTGGCACTTCAGCAATTCCCTAAGCCTAACCCTAACCCTACCCCAAACCTAACCCCACCCCTACCCTAACGTAACCCCACCCCTACCCTAACCTAAGCCTACCCCTAACCTTAACCCTACCCCTAACCCCAACCCTAACCTTACCCCTAACCCTACCCCTAACCTGACCCCAACCCTGCCCCTACACCCAACCTTATCCCTAACCCTTCCACTACCCCTAACCTATCCCCTAACCCTACTAGGGTTAGGGGTAGGGTTAGGTTAGGTGTAGGATTAGTGGTAGGGTTAAGTGTAGAAGTAGGAGTAGGGTCAGGGTTAGATTTCTGTCATCATTCTCTTAATTCCCGAATGTCCGAAATTTGTCCAAATTTAAATTCGAACCGAAGCGAATTGTACATGTCTAGTTCTCAGTACCCTTTAGTGCATTCCTTGTTACATTGTGATATTTCTGGAATTGACCTTGGCTTAGTTCTTGACTCTGGCCAGTTTTCATTCACGCTGTCTCTCTGCCTTAAATAGGCTTCTACTTGACAACTTCTCCTCTCTATTGTACCTTTAGCTCGACCAGTCTTAGGACTGTTAATACATCTATTCTATCCAGTCTGTTATTGTTATTCTAGGCTCTGCGTATTATGGTACTTCCCCGTGACATCAGAGCTGTTTTGGCATCCCAAGGGGGACCTACATGATATTATGAAGGTGGTATTATTGTAGTGGCTGATCAGGGTTTATCTTTAAGCACATAGTTACTTATGCTTCCTGTGCATCCCACCATAAGACTTATTCTATACCCTGGTCTCATGGAAGGAGTTTTAACTCCCTAGGCAAAAAATCAGTTAGAATCTGAAAACGGTGTGGAACTGCCTATGTTATTTTGATAAGTTCCCCCAATGTCTCTTGAACAATGCATGACATTTTGAATGTTTTGCTTTAACAGAAATAGTTTTGGGGAATACCAAACTATTTTTCTTTTTCTTAGCTATGCTGCCAATACCTTCATTATTTCAACCTACATTAACCTATGTTTGTTTTACCTTTTATTGCGGTAATAGCTGTTTTTCATGTAATTGACATGTTTACTAAATGTACATTCATTTACAGAAGAATGGGTGAAACGATGGGTGCAGTCTAAAAGTAGACCTGATTACGGTATATTCCAACTTACCTCAGGGAAATACTTTGGCGATCCAGAGAAGGATAAAGGTAGGTCGCAAAACGCAATCATATTTATGAAAAGGTGTATCAAAATATCAAGAAATATCAAGAAAAGAAAAAAAAATACCCATATGTACAAATGGTAGGAGACAAGACAAATTGTATGTACAGAACACGAACAAGCTTACAGTCTACGGATTTAGTTACACATAAGGTAAAGGTAATGTGCATATAAATCAACTTATGTTGCAACTTATTTATACAAAATAAGAAATATTTGCACAGAAAGTTATTTGCAATCTCTTGACAAGATAACACACATCTTTTTCTATTTATTATATTGCAAGTTATATGTTGTCTTCGGGTTCCCTATTTTAAGGCTGGGTGGGTGTTTGCAGAGCTTACTAATCAATGTGTCATGATAATATTGATTTTGATGCAGGATGCTGTCCTCCTGTAACTGTTAGCAGCGCTCACCAATTTTTGTGTCATTTTGATGGGAAATCTGACGCAGAACTGAGCTATGACCTCATGCATCCTTCAATTACAAGATTCCAGTGTTTATTCCAGCGTAAAGGCACTCGTGCATGACACAGACCTATATACAGGCCTTAAACCTACATAAGCCCCTTTTGAGCTCAGACACATTGCCATGTTGTGGTTTCTGTGTGATTCCAGTAGTGCTGGCATTCTCTGTCTGATATTCTGTTTTTTGATTCAGCTTGTCCTGACATTCCTGCTCTCTGTTATTCCTGACCTAGCCTGGCATTTCCTATATGTGTATCCCTGTATTACCTAGACCTTGGCTTGTTCTCTTGCCGTTTCACCTTCTATGGGCTTGGCATTAAGCTTGGCCACTCTAAGGACCTGTAACACGCTGCGGTCCTTTTACTTTGTCTGTTTGAACATTACTGGTCCAAACTCTGCGTGTTGGGAATATCCTTTAGCTTGACATCTGTTGTACACAGCAGTGGAATATGTTGACACTCGATAGATATTAATAATGGGAGTAAGACATAACCTATCAGGAATTAATTAAAATGGTAGTCTAAGCTCCATAACCACTATAGCGCCTGTCCTGTGTTTTGACAGAATTCATTGGCTAAGATTGACAGCTTACACTCGAATATGAATGAATGGATATAGCTTCTGAAGAAGGGAAAATTCAGCTTTATAAAGCATGTGAGGAGGACACTTACTCCAGGGTCAAAGGAATTAACTCAATCATGTCGCACTAGGTTCCATGAAAATCGCTTAAGGCAAAGTTGCGGAGCACTGCATCTGTGGTCAGCAGGGAATAGACGGAAGGCATCAAAATGGTGGCTCAACTGAGACACTTAATTACTCCTTTGGGAAATCCAGTTGAGAAGTTTAAAATTCACTCTTTATTTCTTGAATAAGATATGTGACTAGAAGGTTCAAAGTGTAAAGAGCTACAAACCCATAGCTTCATAAGTTTCGCACAAATTGCTCAAATTTAATCAGAGGAGCTACATTTATAGGAAGGTAATCAAAGGGATAGCTAAACTTCCTCTTTAGGTATGTCAGAGAAGAGGGACCCTGGTAAGTGTCAAACCATTCAAAAACAGTATAACATTTATGTGGGGGATGGTCCTCTTTTCTGACATATATAAAGAGCAATGTAGTGGTTATGGTGCCTAGATTCGCCCTCTAAATAAAACTTAGACTCATGTGGTTATGACAACTCTTGTGAAATTTATGTAAGATATTAAGTACAAACGGCTTGTGAGTGATGGTGATGAAATCTGATTTAAAATGGCTCTGCAGGGGGCGGAGCCTGGAAGCGAGACGGGCCAGACGCCATTTCTGCGGGCTCCGACATCCACGGACCTAATCTGGCGAAAATCAGCCCACAAACCTGCCATCCAGCCACACGACCACCGGCATAATACGGGGGAGATCCCCCGGAATCGATCGATGCCCTTCAGGTACACCCCGAAGCAGGCAAAGCCTAAACTACGAGCCCGGGCCTACCTCCCATCAGCCCACCACGGCCTGGATTACCTATCAGGCGGGGACTTCCTAGAGGACGCGTGGGACACATCGCGGCACAGCTCCGACCAAGGAACCTCAGGGATGGGGCGCAGATCCCAGAAACCACCACCAGGTATAGATCAGCCTGATATAGGCATTATGCTTCAGAGGCAAACACCCGCCAAAATGGCAGCCGCACAAGGCCCTGACTCCCCACAAGAGTCTGCCTCAGGGGAGCAAAGCACTCACGGGGTTACATGGCTACAACCCACACCCCAGCAGGGTACCACCGAACCAGCCACCAAACAGGACCTACAGCATATGCAAAACATGCTGCAGGAAATACAAAGCCTACTAGCTGCAGATCTACCTACCCTTAAAACCAGCATGCAACAAATCACTGAAAAGGTAGTGCACACTGAGAGAGAAGTGCAGGGGATTCAAAGAGAAATCACCTCGCTGCAAGACTCCCTCTTACAACTACAACACAATCAACAAAACTTAGAGGTACAACTAGCAGCCCAAGAAGACAAACACAGACGCAACAACATTAAAATCCGAGGAATCCCTGGCACAGTCTCCAAAGAGGACCTACCTTACTATGTGAGACGGCTCACGCAAGCTATACTTCCCCCTGCGGTGGCAAGGAAACTCACCCTTGCCGGCATATACCGACTACCCACCCCGACAAAAGCATCTACTCCCCTTGCAGGAGACGTCATAGTCCGCTGCACCCTTCCCCAAGATAGGGGACACATAATGTCAGCACTCAAGGGCAAGACGCCACTCAACTTCGAGGAGTCTCAATTGACTTTTTTCCAGGACTTAACCAGAGCCACTCTCCAATGGCGAAGGACCCTTAGCGACTTCACCAGCCAGTTACGCTCCGCGGGCATACCATATCGGTGGGGAAACCCACGCCACCTCCTGGTTACACATCAAGGAAACACGTACAGAATTGCTACAGGTCCCGACGCTGCCGCACTACTACCAAAACTGGGTCTGCCATCCAAGAACACCCAGAACACCACCCCGGCCTGGGATCCGGGGACGATCGAGCCGTTTATCCCGAGGACGCGGAGAATGGACACTCACGCCACATGACGGGAGTGGGGGGAGAAGTCTCCTACCCCGCCCCGCTCAAGGGCTAAAAATTGCAAATTTTCTTTTCTTTAAAAGTTTTTTCTCCTATTCCTTTTCATCCTCTGCCACTTAAGCTATGTTGATATCTCACTAGTCACTATGACGCTCTAAGAACCCATATGACGCGCTGAAAGCCTATCAGAGTTGGCGCTGGCACACCAGTGCACTAAAGTAATATGCACTACCAGACAGAACACAACTCCCCCCCCGACAGCCCCTAGGTTAGGGTTAATACCCCTCGAGAGTAACTCGTACGGACCAAGGACAAGGCCTCCTGACAAGATACTCTCACGACTACCCGACTGACACCACAGACCACTAGGTAACAACACAGATAGACTTAGCATTCTGAATCTAACAATAAAAAAGGTTTTAAGCATTATGCATAATAAATCTGGAGTACACAGTTCACAACCTGGATAGGGTGGCCTAGGTGATTTGGAGGGGTCAACAGCTGGCAGCTTTCCTGTCCTACCTCCACCCATTTGCAAACAAAACTGTACTCATGGGATTGCTCGAAGGGGGAGTGGACTGGATAGTTGGCGAACTACTCTCCAAATGGCCAAATCCGGCTAGAAAGCCGTAGGTACCGATCTCCATACAGGTGTCCACTTGGAGGGACAATCTGAACTGACAGCATTAGCCAAAATTGCTCCAGAAGCATAGTTTAATCCCAGTCTGTGAGAACCAAGGGACACATACACCTAAGATAAAAGGCGACTAGGCAGTGTGAATTTCAAAGCAAAGCCTACCCGGGGCTTAGACAGGCACTATCATATCGATCAGTCAGATAATACCCAGACGCAAGTCTAAACTTAACAGGAATCTCGCATGGTGGCCATTACGCACACTAGCCCTTGCTCCCTAACCTGAAGGTCTCCTTCCGAACATAATCTCTCACACGCCCGTTGGCACAGTGCTAGACCATTAACCACCCTGCTCATACAAATATAAAAATGTGCAAAGTTATTCCTGCCATACAAATGTATTTATATGTCTACCAAACTCCTGGCGATAGCTGTTGTGGCATCGCTAGAAAACTGTTACTTACCTAACCTATGCACGAAAAATAAAGAATTTAAAATGGCTCTGCAAAGATTGTGCTTAATTTAATTCTGTTCTTCCAGGTATACAGACTATACAGGATTGGAAGTTTTATGGAATTTCTGCTCGATTTGAACCCTTCAGTAACGAGGGACAGACACTGGTGATTCAATACACTGTGAAGCACGAACAGGGAATTGACTGTGGCGGAGGCTATGTGAAATTATTCCCCGCTGACCTAAACCAACTACAGCTGAACAGGGAATCTCCATACTATATCATGTTTGGTAAGTCCTCACAATTCCTTAGAATTAACAGCAAATATTATCTATTGACATTGCTTTATTAAAGGGCCCCCCTCACTTCACTGGAAATTACATAATTGAATAAATCATTGAAAATCACCTATAACATATGGTAATCTTTTTTTCGTGTGTCGCTTTGTTTTCTATCAAATGTAGAATTAAAAACATCACAATCAAGTTTGGTACAGGCACACCAAGGGCACGTATTGGAGAAGGTGAAATAGAACCACTTTGGGTTATGTTTATGTGTAAAAATTGCTGGGTTCTGAAAAGTAGTACAAATATGTAAAAGAGGAGTGGACCAATGAAATGTGCCTGTTGGTTCCACTGGTTTCCATGGTGATTGCCCCCCTGTTTAGTACCTTAGACCACCTTTCAGAACAGGAGTTTTTACACATAACCCCCTGTGTTCTCACATACATAAGGTGTTTCAGTGTTTAAAGATGGTGGAGCGCCAGACCCAGAAATTGAATTCTCCCTATACAGTAAAAAACAAACAAACAAACAGTGCAATTCTCCAACCTGCCAAAATTATTTAATTTCAGCTTTTTAATATTTCCCCATTCTCTCTTCATATGTTTCTGTATTGTTTTTCAGGGCCTGACATTTGTGGGACAATCCATGAGAAGGTGCACGTAATCTTTAATTACAAGGGAAAAAATCATCTCATTAAGAAGAATATAACGTGCAAGGTACGCTTAATCTGGCACGTCTTTACCCCGCCCCCCCAGAATTTTAGCTATTTTTCTTCTATTAAATATTACTTTAGTTCATATTTATGCACGTGTTTGTATTGTTAAACATAACTGAACTTAGCATACTAAGCCATACCATTGTTAAAATACAAGCTAGTTACTAAATCAAATACAAACAGGGTTTCTTATTGAAGTGATATTTGTCTGTAATGCAAAGTGAATTTCAAGCTGTATTGGCCTTAAATTGTAAATTCACGTTGAATACCCAAAAATTAGAACTTTACTAGTTAACCCTGAAAATGTCACATTTTTGTTGTAGTGATAACAAGGCCAAACTTTTGAAACAATTTCCCCCCAAATAAAGTGCTATGTGGGCATGCTATGGAAAGTGAAAAAAGTGATAGTTAAACATATGTACTGTGCATCGCACACTATTAGAAAGTATTTGATTAATCAACACCTGCTACTATTCGTCTATTTTCTGCTGCGCTATCCAGGTTTTGGATCTGATCCCCTTAAATTGTTAAAATGATTAATTTTATAATAAAAATAAAATGGCAATGTATAAAATAACACTATAGTGTCATTATAGTGATATTTACAATAACTACAATTATGTGTTTCAGGGTTGGATTTACCAGTAGACAGCTGTCTGCATAAGCTGGTCTACTAGGTCACATACCATAACTATAAATGTGCATTTATTTTAATTGTTTTTTAGATATTTTGATCTACTTTTGATCCCTTAATAAATCATTGATCCTCTAGGCCGGGTGATTTGAAATGTTGGGAGGTATGTAATGTCACAGTCATGACTTGATAAGTTGTTGCACTGTCATTACAGTGCTGCTCTAACTTTGCTCGATATTTAAGACACTCCATTTTGGCACAGTACATTGTTATTTAATATTATATAAAATTAGATCAGCTATGTTTTTTGTTTTGTTTGTTTGTTTGATGAATAGAAATGCTCCATAAGATGGTGGAGTTTTCAATAAATATTCTCCTTTTACTAAAACGAATCCTCAATACACACCATAATAAAAGTGAGCATGACGACAGTTACATTGAACCATGGCTTAGAATATTGGCGTAAATGTGCAATACTCCTCTAAATGTGCACTTGTCTCTGCCATTGTCTTCCCTCTCTCAGCACGATGAACTAACCCACTTGTACACCCTGATATTGCGTCCAAACAACACATACGAAGTGAAGATTGACAATGAAAGGGTGGAGAATGGAAGCCTCGATGATGACTGGGATTTCCTGCTGCCCAAAAAAATCCAAGATCTCAATGCAACAAAACCCCTGGACTGGGACGAGCGAGTGCAAATTGTGGATCCTGATGACAGGAGACCTGATGTAGGGAAAACAAACACATACATTAAAAAAAAAAAAAAAAAACATCAAAATTGTGGGCTTTATTTTAGTGAAGGCTAAATTGCAAATTATAGGCATGAAGCTGGGTGGGACACTTTTTCAAACTCGGCTATTTTCGCCTAAAGTTTGTAATTCTAATTTCAGTTAATCACAATTCAAAGTTTAACAGATTAAACCCTTAAATGTTTCTTTGCAAAACCAGATCAAGAACAATTCTCCCACTCAAATTTGTCCTAAAATTTGCAATTTCTTCATCAATGGTCCACAATTTCCAGTTTAGTGAATAAGCCCCATAGTAAATATGTAAACAGATATCAGGCACACTGAGTGGACTATACTATGGATACTCGCAATAGCTGTTTAAAATATACAGAAAACAAGACACGTTGAATGATAACGGCAGTGACTTAAATGAGAGTTGTGCGTATCTCTAGTGCATATACCTCTCTCGTTTTTGCAGTAAGATCCGGGCTTTGCTGATGTTGTTATGAAAGGCACGCTGAAGTTCTTAGCAACAATAAGAAAGAAGTATATGCACCAGAGAAATGCACAAACCTCTAACTGCAGCTACCAGACCACCACTGACCAAGGCCCCCTCACAGGTCCATATCAGATGGGGGCCTCAATTAATATGAGTGTAGGGGCTGTGCAGGGAATAAAGATGGTAGACAGGAGAAAACAAAAGTAGTGAAACCTAATTGCGTATTTAATGGGATTATAGTGCTATAGGGTTGGCGAAATGTCCGAAATTCAGGTTGAGTAAAAAGGACTATATGTAAGCCATGCTCAGTTCTTATTGTAGATGCATGTTCTCAAGTTTGGACCCATTTGGCATTTTTTTCTCTATATTATTTTTTCCTGTGTTCCGTTGCAGGACTGGGAAGAAACGGAATTCATGCCAGATCCAGATTCAAGGCAGCCAGTCGATTGGGATTCAAGCATGGATGGAGAATGGGAGCCTCCTACTATTCCAAACCCAAAATACAAGGTGCGCTCAAGAAGACAGACACAGAATATGAGGTTATGCACCAATTTCTTGCTTACTGTGCTACAAGCATGTGACTAGCATTGGACCCTAGTTCGAGTAGATATTCTTAGTCACCTGTAGAAGCACTTATTCACAACCTTGGTATCGAACCATGTGGACTCTTTCAAGTAGAAAAATCAATCCACGTGGTAATGGTCAGTGCAGGGGAGTCTAGAGTGTTCTCAAATCACTAAACCATCTCACTCTGTAAAGGGTCATTCGGAATGCTAAATTTGGACATTGCTCACACTCAGGGCCAGATTAAGAGCCCAGTGGGCCTGGTGCTGACAATTATTACAGAATCTTATCGACTAATAACACTAAAACACTCCCAAGCGTCATGTATCTGATGGAGATGGTGCTGGAGGGAAAGAAAACAGCAGCTATAAGAAAACAAATACGTTATACTAATCTAATCTCTCTAATTTATGTTTTCATCTTTCAAATAAATCCATAACCCCTAACACAGTGTCCAGTCAAGCAGGAAGTCAATGGGCATGATAAAAGGGTTTGCCACTGACACAAATTACGTAGCCTGCCAAAAGGGGCGAACATGCCCAAAAAGAGGCATGCCTGCCCAAATAATTTTTCCAATCATGCAAGCTGGCCAACTAGAAATACTGTGCAGACAGCACCCTGAGCTTGGCATAAATGCGTCTAATGATGTGCTTGCTCAATGCTTTCTAAGGACTGTCCCCTAGCACTCGCTGGTCCACTAGTCTCCTTACCTTCTTACTAGCAGGCAGAAGCTCCTGGTATATAGTCTGGGACAGAGAAAAGGTGGATGTAGTGAGTGTAGAAGAAAGGGAACATGCCACATTGTTAGAGAGACCAAAGTCAGCATTACCTTAAGCGATTTCATTGTCAGCCAGTCCACACAAGTTTTGTTCCAATCCCTCCTAAGTTTCTATACTTAAGCAAGAGTATGTGAAAAGTAGTTAGGGTTGCCACCTTTCTTGGAAAAACATACTGGCCTTACTAATTTGCATAATTAATTATGTATGGGTGACATCACATGATATAAATCACAAGGAGTGACATAAAAGAAAATGCTGTAAAATCACCCAAAAACTACTTGGTTTGATTCTGCTGTATATATGGATTTCTCCTAGTGTCCCAGAGGGCACCCCATGTTTCCAGTGCCCTCATGACTCAGTGTCCCCATGTGTTGATTACCCCAGGTCTCAGTGATCCATGTCTCCTTGTGTCCTCCAGTATTCCCATGTGTCTATGTCCCCATGTTTTCCAGGGTCCCCATGTCACTAGGAACACAGGGAGACCTGGGGACACTGGGAGACTAGGGAACACTGGCTGGGACACATGGGAACACTGGGAAAATAGGGGACACTTGAAGACATAGGGACACAGGCATTAGGGACACTGGCTGGGGGCAATGGGGACATTGAGACATGGGGGAACTGGGAGACATGGGGACACTGAGACACCAGGGACACATACACTAGGGACACTGGCTGGGAGACATGGGGACATTGAGACACTTGGGGGCACTGGGAGACATAGGGGCACGAGAAGACATGGGGACACTGAGACACTGGGAGACTAGGGGGCACTGGGAGACATGGGGACACTGAGACACCAGGGACACTGGCAGGGAGACAGGGGGATACTGTGTCCCCATGTGTTTCTGTGTCCCCAAGTGTCTGTGTCATATTGTCTCCCAATGTCCCTTAGTGTCTCAGTGTATATCTCCTTGCAGCCTTTCCCCCCCATCCCTCACTTCCCTGAGCTGTAGGGTGGGAGTTGGTGTCTGGACTCTCTGTAGCTGCTCCCCTGTGGATCAGTGAGTAGAGATAAGCAGGTAGGGTTATGTTGGGACTTCCTATCCCAGCCTCTCTCCACACACAGTGACCCCTACTGGCCAGTGCTGGTATTGCATCATAATCTCTTGTTTATACTGAGAAAAAATACCTGCATTTGTATTTCCAGTATGACTGCAATATCGGCACCTGCCAGGCAGCCTCAATTACTGGCTGTGCCAATAAATTACCAGCCAGGTGGAAACCCTAAGAGTAGTGTGTAAAAAAAAAATATATATATATTTTTTTTAATCAATGGGCCTATTCCATGGGCCTGGGCCTGGAGCTGCAGCTCCACCAGCCCCTAAATTAATCTGGCCCTGCTCACACTATTAAACCATGTCAAAATTTAGCAGTCAAAGATCTGAATGAGCTTAAGTATGGCCCAGATTTCAGAATAACTGAAGTCAGAACCAGAATTGTTAAAATCCAGGCCCAGATTGAAAAATCTAAAGTATCTGCTTGCAGGCTGTGCTAGCTGGGAGGGGCAATAAAAGTAATAGTTATAAAATAAAATATATATATATACTTACCATCAGAATCTTTTTTTCTTCTACATCTTTTCTTCAACCCCCAAAAAAGAACAAAATAAAATGTACAATAGTGCGACAAAACTACTGAAAAACAAACAAAAAAAAAACACCTGATTCACAAAAATGTGGCCGGCAAAAATCAAAAACCTGACGCAACAAAAAAAAAATAAAATAGATCCATCTTCGCCTTACGAGGCCTCTGCGCAGAATGAGCTTCAAGGCAGGCAAAACCTTTATATGACATTTATAAAGGTTTTCCCACTCTTTGAATACTCATTAGAGCGTTGTGATTGGTTGGCTAAAATCTCTTTTTTTTAACATTGTTTTACTAGCGTTGCCAGCAGGCAGAAATTATTTCAAATTATCATTCGCTTTCCAAAAGCAAGTGAACTAAAATTTGCGAATAATTCAAATCTGATTTTTTTTTAAATCAATGCTTTAGTAAATATGAGAATTGCCATTCCTGTTGGAATTTGGCCGTTTCTACAAGGGTTTGTTCAATTGGACAAAATCTGATGTTTAGTGAATTATCCTGTAAGCCTGCTTGTTGATGATAATTGTGTTTTGCCTGGTTGCAGGCTAAACAAAACCACAAGACATCCAGGTCCAATAGAGAAGAGACGAGTGAGCAAAATCAATAACAACTGAAGATTAAGAAGCAGAGTGATAACAAGTATCAGAGTGCAGTAACTGAGCAATAACTCTGAGTCATTCTGGAATTTAAATAGAGAATAAGGCACCAGGACCTACCTACTGAGCACCAAACATGCAAATTTGTATTTCACCTTTGCGATATATTCAGGCAGAATCTTTCACTTTTACTTCTTCAACAGGATTAGATCAATGATAGGGACTTTGTGAGTCTAGGACGATGTGACAGATCATGTGGACTACAACAGAGAACATGACTGTGTGCATTGTTTAAACACTCACCTGCTGCTATTGACTTAGACCCAGGGCAGGAGACAGGATAGTGTAGTATCGGCAGCAGAAATACCCACTGTGCCACCATGTGAAAGAAATGTTCCTAATGACAAATTATTTTGTATTATCCAGGGAATATGGACGCCACGAATAATAGACAACCCTAATTACAAGGGGGAATGGGTTCGGCCAGAGACAGATAACCCAGATTTTGTTCCAGATCCGACTATTTATATATATCGCAACATCGGTGTAATCGGCTTAGACTTATGGCAGGTGAGTTCTCACCAGACAGTTAAAACACTAAATCACTTGAAAAAGGATGTCAAAAAGAAGCAAACTAATTTGAGATTGTTGGCTTTGCATCAGGAGTAGAAAATACAGACAAATGGATCAGCGCTATTTGACCAAACCAAAAAAATGGAAAATATTAAATAGGTAGACAGAACACCTTTAATTGTAAGACTCCCTCTTTGCCCTACACACAAAATACAATGGTAAAAAGGATAAGGAAAGGAGGTTTGCGTCAAAACAATGTGACTCTGATACAGGTAGGTAGGGATGTGCATGGGCAAAAAATTTGTTTCAGTTCGACACTTCCGAAATTCGGGACTTCAGGAATTCGCCAATTCGACACTTCAGTTCGGTTCGGCATTTCTGAAATTCGGCACTTCGGTTCGGCACTTCTTAAATTCGGGACTTCAGCAATTCAGCACTTCGGGAATTCAGGGCTTTGGCAATTCCCTAACCCTACTCCTACCCCTAACTCTAAGCCTATCCCTAACCTCAACCCTACCCCTAACCTAACCCGAACCCTAACCCTACTAAGGTTAGGGGTTAGGTTAAGGGTAGGGCTAAGGCTAAGGTTAGGATTAGATTCCTGTCAGCATTCCCTTAATTTTCCCTTCCTCTCCTATTTTGCCACTTTTCAGAAATCCGAAGCACTTAAGCACTTCCGAAATAGGGCACTTCCGACATTTGGCACTTTGGCAATTCTGGACTTCGGCAATTCTGTTGGGTTTGGCATTTCAGAAATTCAGCACTTCAGCACTTCGGAATGTAGTAAATATATAAAACAGAATGAGGGAAATATAATAATAAAAAACTATGACTATTGATATAGAAATGTCCAGTATAGATTTCTTCCGCTGGGATGCCAAATCGGAAGAATTCTTGGAATCCATATAAAAAGAGAGACCAATAGTGTAATATATTGCAGAAAGTGGTGTATGATAAAAAGTCTATATGGTCCTACTCACTTTTTTTAACCAGCTTTAACCAGCTCTAGTATGATAGAGTACGGTGGTACAATCCCCACTTATAGGATACGTGAACGGTTGGTGGTTGTCTCAATGATATGAAGACCATAAAAAATAATTTTAAAAAATTATAAAATGGAACAACAATAGTGCTCACTATTTTAAAAACACCAGGCGTGTAGAAATATAAGAGGGTACTCACATTTGGTTGAGCAGATGAATGCTCAATGAGTAGTGCGTGAGTGGTATAATTCCCACCTTGGATTCTTTAGAGTAGTCCTCACTGGAATAAATAAAATCAGATGCCAGGCAGTAGAGAAGTAAAAGTATAAAATAATAAAAGAGTAAAATGGCACACTCATGGTATAAAAGTAGCCAAAATACCTTTATTAACAATATTAAAATATCCACAATGCATTTCACCTTTAAGTGGAGATATCCCCACTTGATAACGCCTTAAAGGTGAAACAGTTGTTTCTTCTGGCAAGTTTATATTTGTGTTCTTTTGGAATCTATACTGGACATTTCTATATTAATATTCATTTTTTAAAATTATTATTCTCATTATCATTCTGTTTTATATATTTACTACATCCCGTTTTATCAGCTTTTTGTGTTGCCTACCTGTATCAGAGTCATATTGTTTTGGCGCAACCTCCTTTTTCTATCCTTTTTACCGTTGCATCAGGAGTATCTGAAAAGTATTTCTAAAACTTTACTGGACCACTAAACATCACAATGCAGTGAACTGGAAACTAAATTAAAAAATTGAGCCTAAAATATCCAAGCTGTGATTAGAGCTGAGTTGGTGAATGTTTCAAGCTGCTGGTTGCCTACATGTTGTAGTTTGGTTATCTGTTCACTGTGTACTGTGTTTACTGGTTAAATGCCAGTGTGACTACACTCTATGTATGAAACAGCAGCAGCGACAATAAACCACTATATCACATTACCTTGTACCATTGGGAAGGATGTAATTGGGACTGTGATGGGTGGACCTCTAGGGTCATGCCTAATGCGGCTTGCATCGCTGGTGGGTTTAATTGGAAAATGGGAAGTCCGGTGTGAATGTACATCGAGCTGACTGGTCAACGAGCTGGCCTGTCTTACTCAGGACTGCACCTGCGGAAGTTTGTTCATAAAGATATCTGGACTTTATCGCCTATTGGCAATTATTGATATGACTGGTACGGATCACAGCATAGAGCAAAAGGGGGAAAGTACTCGTCCTAAAAATTACCCTTCATTTGATTTAAATAGTTCCTATGAGTGACAGCGCCTATAAGGTTAATGGCTTTGCCAGCATAAACACAGTGCCAGGTTGTTGTATAAAAACTAGAATGCAGTACTTATAGGGGAAAGATAATAGCAACATTCAAGGCAAACACATTGAAACAGGGGCAAGGAAAGGCAGAGCCAAGGTAGTCCAAAGGTCAAGCAAAGAACAGCTGAGAAATGATATCTCAACTATTACAGTTTGAATTGGGCATCTGTTAGAGGCCATACCTACTTTGACATGTCTGTATTCCACCCTATTGGTGTGTAGGCTGTCAGAGGTCTTGGGCTGCCATGGGAGCTCATTAAGGCTGTCATGCACCATAGAACGAACGTGAACGTCTCCCTGGCCTCTTATGTTGCCCGTGAGACGTGATGCGGATCGTGTCCCGACTCCTGAATTCGCGCATGTGTGCGTTTGATACTTGCAACTCGGTGGTGCATTTGGAGAAAGTTGTAACACACTGGACATGTTCTGGTGACTTATTGAAAACAAAAACCATGTATTTAATTTTCACACAACCTGACTGAGAAAATATATATGTTTATAACATAAACACTACTGTCACGATGATTTATTGAGATATGGACACAAGCTTCAAGTTACTGTGAGTTTTATTGCTATGGAGCTCTGTGATACACTCATACACACTGCTTTTACTGTTTAACAGAACAATAAACACAATAATCTCTGGAATTTTGAAAGGATGAAAAAAATCTAATACTCTGCCATAACCACTTAAACACTTTAAATCTTTTACTTCCTACAGGTGAAATCCGGTACAATATTTGATAACTTTCTTATCACAAATAATGAAACATTTGCTGAGATTGTTGGAAATGAGACATGGGGAGAGACAAAGGTAAGAGATTGTAAAATCATACATTTTCTGTGTGATTTCATCCACTCGCTGCTGCTCCCCTCTTCTAACAAGTATATTTGTATTTGAGTAGAGTAGGCATCTGGCGTGTGGCCAGGCACGTGCCCACCCTACCAAATGAAATTGCCTAAAATGCAGGTCAGTCTTTGTGCCCCCTTCTGGGACGAACTATGGTGGCCACCTTACTGCCTTAGGCTTGTGCTGGCAATGCTTAGGGCCAGATAATCATGATTTTATCATGGGCATTTATGGGTATAAGAATTGCATCACAAGAGTCTGCCCCCAAAAAATACCTATGTAAATGATGAACAGATTTATTCTAACCGTTTTTTACTGTTTTCTACTTACAGGATCCAGAAAGGGAAATGAAAGAAATACAGGATGAGGAGAGAGACTCGAAAGATGAGAAAAAGCAGAGGTTGAAAAGGTTACACAAGGAGTTTGAAATGTTGGAAAAAATGGAAAAAGACAAAACCTTTGATGCAGAGAAATATACGCTAAAAGATATGATAAATAGGATTCAAGGGAAAGATGAAGAAAAAACAAAAAAAATTGAGGAGGCGAAACCGAAGGAAAAACAGGAAGTGCAACAGATAGAGGGAAAGAAACAGGAAGAAGATACAAAACAAGCAGAGAGTGAAAAATGGGAAGTGTGTGAAAAACAGGAAGAGTGTGAAGAAAGGGAAAAGGATAAAAACCAGGAACAAGATGGAAATCAGGAAGAGGAGAAAAAACGGGATCAGAATGTTAAACAGGAAGAGAGTGTAAAACAGGAAGAAACTGAACAGAAACCAGAGACACTAAAAGACAAAAAACAGGAAGAGAGTGTAAAACAGGAACCAGAGACACAGAAAGACAAAAAACAGGAAGAGAGTGTAAAACAGGAACCAGAGACACTAAAAGACAAAAAACAGGAAGAGAGTGTAAAACAGGAACCAGAGACACAGAAATACAATAAAGAGGAAGAGAGTGTAGAACAGGAACCAGAGACACAGAAAGACAAAAAACAGGAAGAGAGTGTAAAACAGGAACCAGAGACACTAAAAGACAAAAAACAGGAAGAGAGTGTAAACCAGGAACCAGAGACACAGAAAGACAAAAAACAGGAAGAGAGTGTAAAACAGGAACCAGAGACACAGAAAGACAAAAAACAGGAAGAGAGTGTAAAACAGGAACCAGAGACACAGAAAGACAAAAAACAGGATGGCGGAGACTGGCAAAGGGAATTTGATGAGAAACAGGACACAAAATCTGAATCTAAAGATGAACTGTAAAACTCTACAACACAACTTCAAATGTTTGACTTTACAAATGTTTGTGGACTAATGTTCCCCAGAATTCTTAGTCAGCTAGCAAACGGTGCTGGAAGTCATAGTTTTACAACACAAGGGGGAGTGCAATAATGTTTTAATTTGGAGATTTTTTCATTCCTATGACAGAAACTGCTCCTGCCTGTATAGAATGCCATAGAGCGTATGTTTCAAGATAAAAGTAATTTGATACCAATTACTCATTATGCAGCAGAAAATCACAGAGGAACATTAGAAGTTTTTCTTAATGGAGTGAGGTTCCGAATAACATCGTAATGCATTTTCCCAAGGACGTCCATACGATGGCCAGCTCTAGAAGATATTACATGAACTTGTCAAGAACTATGAAGATCTTACAAAAGATGTATTCTTATAAACATGCCTGTTGTTTTATTGGCACATAGTATGTAAATATATTCACTGGTTTTGGGGGTATCTACTTACAACCTGTTATACTGTCTGCACTCTGAAAGGTTTGGAGCATTTTTACATGTTACGTTTTTATCACGCTGTGTTAAACTTCACAAAATTCCAAAGCTTATAGATGCTCAATATTAGTGCCTTATTGTTTGTTGTTTTTAGATATAATATTATTTATGCAATAATATTAATTAGTAACAGGGGCATCCCTTTTATACTGTAATTTATTGGAATGTAAAATTAGCCATCAACTGCCCTGAGTTAAAAAATGTGTGTGCCCAGAATTACAGGGATGATTTTTGGGACCGACTGATACTTTGTTTGAAGATACTTTGAAGTAACACAAGTTCCAAGCATTTATAGTATATTGTTGTGTTACCTTAGCACTGCCAATATTTGCAAACTACAATTCAGTAGTCCAAAAATTGCGATTCACCGCTTTAATGTCTTCTTTAACCTTTGTTGCCTTATTCAGCAGTAATGCATTTACTATCCTTCTTTAACCCCTTAAGGACCAAACTTCTGGAATAAAAGGGAATCGTGACATGTCACACATGTCGTGTCCTTAAGGGATACTCTGAGCACCAAAACAACTTCACTTAATGAGGTTCTTTTGGTGCATCAACCCTGTCATTTCTGCCCCGTAATGTAAAACATTGCCGTTTTGTTGGCAATTACAACGGCTACTCTAAATTATTTTAGCCTGTATGTAGCAGTTTGTTTTTAATTCCCTCTTTAGTAGGCAAACTCTAATGTTATGATGAGATAAAGGACTAATTATCAAGCAGTGAAAGTAGCAACGTTGTAAGAAATTTGCAACTTGGCTTTATTGGAGATTTGTGCTATTTCAGAATAACATTTTCAAGTTACTTTTATGCCAAAAAAAATCTGCTGTTTAGCGAATACTCTACAGTGTCATTCTAAAATAGTTTTTTTCCCTCAATACACAGATCTCTCTTTCCAACATCAAAGTTTTGTACGTAGTCAAACTATTTAGAATGTCCTGCAAGTCCTTCTTCTAAGGCCTCTCCTAGCTCATTGGCTGAGAGTGTCAGCTGGTCGCTCATAGCCAATGAGCTTAGTCCTGCACTGCTAGACTTAGCTCAGACAGAGAGCTCCCAGCAAGCGGACTAGATAAATGTGAGGGGGTGGTGGGTAGGGGGGGATAGTGCACTGTTGTGTGTCAATTATATAACTTAAACACAACCTATCTCAACAGAAGAAGCTGTAGAATTCACAGCAGTGAACTAAAGCAAGTTGGTTCCCTATACCTAGATGATATTTGCCATTATATGGGTCCAGAATTATGAGTTTGGTGTTTGGTTTTTACAAATATGTAGTAATTATAATTTAAAAAAAAATAAAATCTAAGTAATTTGGATGTTATAATGCTGCAACTCACAAGGGCACTTTATGATACAAATCATATAATTGAACATAATGCAATGAATTCTATTAAATAAACAAATAATAAAAAGAAGTGTACTTAAACAAATGGACTTTGTGCGATTTTGTGTGCCCGCAACAGGTGATACATCTGTGACGTTCTCCGAGAAAGCTAAACCGGCAGGTCTATGTAGTGAGTAAATAGCAGTGAAATTATTATCTAGTATTTAGTTATATGTAAGGTGTAAGGTAAGGTAAGGTTAAATGAACACTCCTACTCCTTTACAACTTTAGCTAACTGAAGATGTCATGAGGACAAGAGTGCCCCCCGATGCCCCTTAACTTCAGGGGATAACCATTAGCTCTCTCTGTGATTGGCTGACACTCTCAGCCTATCACTGGCTACACAGCAAATGTTCCTCAACCTGTGGAGGCCCGGAGGAAGGAGGTGAAGGTGCAGAGATGTTGGATGGCAGAGGACCAATTTCAATGTTAAACCATGTTAAACAATGTTAAAAACTGTTTAGTCCCTCAATGTGAGATGGGGCTCAGACACTCTTGCCACTAGAACAACTTCAATGAGTGGACGTTATTATGGGGTGGGAGGGTTTATTAACATTTAGGGGTTTCATTTTTTTAAATTTCATGCCTACATTTGGAAAGTTAGCTACAATTCAATGTGTTGTGAATAAACCTCATTATGTGGTTATAAATATAGCTTACTTGTTTTCCTATCAGGCTCTTTTAACCTAAAATTTTAAATACATTTTGAACACCTAACAAAGGAAAAAACTATTTGTGACTATAACGGAGTTGGCAGAATGTTTCCATGTCAGTCATTTTTGTTCAATGGCATCGATCATTAAACTCAGGATTATAGAGATAGGAAAAATTGCAAAATTTAAAATACCCAGTAGAAGACTTTTTACAATTCAGCATTTGTCTCTAAATTTCGCAATTCAATTTTAAATTCACTACAATGTTCAGTTTATATGGCTATTTGTGATAGTGTGAATAGTCGTTGATTTAGGAGAATTCAAATTGAATTTCAAATTTTAAACCTTTGTAGCCCAAATGCAGAAAAAACAAACAAAAGAGAACAAAACATGTCTAGTTAGCTATCTTTTCAGTTTGACTGTTTTAACTTAAATTTGAAATTGAGTTAGAATTTTCAATAAATTCCCAGCAATTCACATTTTAGTGAGTAACCTTATTTATTTTTTCTTTTTTTTTTGCAGTGCATTGCATAAACCATACCTTGAATAGTAGTTTGTGGTAGAGAGGTTCTAATGCATAACATAGTATGGGGAGAAAACACTGAGTAACTGCACCAATTTCTAATTTTATACACGCTGTAAACGTGGGCCTAGGTCCTGCTGTAGGTGATAGAGCTTGTCTTGTGTGTTTAGAGATGTAGTTCGCCTATTCGGTCCTAGCGCCTTTGTCCCGTATTGCTAAATAGGAGGTAGTATGTTAGTAGTTACGGCACACGCAAGTTTAGAGAGATTTGTAGTGAGAGTGCCATGAGAGGTCAGGTTGTGTATTATCAGAGGTGCTTAGGGTGATTGGGTGTAGCTTCTCATTATTGTAGCTATGCACGCTGGTGGTTGTACTCAATGCCTTGAGTGAAGGTACTCCTAACCAAGGGAGTTGGGGGGGGGGGAGGTGTAGGAAGAGTGTGCGTGTCGCCCTTCTATAAATTTGGTGGACTACCTGGTCCAGGGTTAGTTTGTTCATCTATGTGTGGTTATTGCCATGTTGTGACCATAGAGGAAGGGTTATGCTGGACATGTAGTGTCGTACATTTTAAGATGAATAATAATGATGAGTTAAAACGAGGAAAATAACAACAAAAAAACATCATGTAAGCCAACTCAACAGAAAAGTTGAGCTAAAACAGTTGCAGTATTTAAACTTGCTAAGGTGATGACTGGATCTGGAATAGGCTTCCCTCCTTGGGTTCTTGTGCCTTGCTGTCAGCCAGTCCCCTGAGGCTGCCTTGGTTCCGTGGCCTGGGAGCTCCTGGCCCTTGGGACAAATGGTGCGACGTGTTCCAGGTCCCAGTTGGCAGTAGTGGATCTCAGGGGAGGATTAGCGGTCGGGAGCTCCAGTCCCAGTGTCTCTAAGCGTGTGGGTGCCTCCTCCATACCGTGTGTTGGGTTCCGTTCCGGTGCACGACCAGGGATCCGTTTGTCCTCCATCTGTAAGTGATGCTTGCCGATCTCAGGCCTCTGGTGAGAGAGCTGAAAGTTTTACGCCACATGAGGGTGGCTTTCGTGAGGTCTTGGAAGAAAGTCAAGATAGCGCCCTCAAAGGCCAGAGGTGTTTTACCTTTTAGCACGGACATGATCTGTATCTTGTCATGGACCGTTAGGCACCTGAGTATCACATCTTGGGTAACATATGAAGGCGCCTTTGCTGATGTGGGTAGGCGGTATATCTCTTCGGTGGCTATTTTCTTTACTGTAGCATGAGGTAAGATTGTGGCCAGTAAGCGTCTTGTATAGTGCAACAGTTCGTCGGAATGCCCCTTATTTTTATGTTTGTGCGCCAGTGACGTTCCTCCATGGCTGTCAGCTGTGCTGTCGTGGCTCTTTGTTGTGCCCAGACTTGCTGCACTGAGTCTTGGAGCAAGGCTAGGTGAGACTGTATGTCTGTGATGTCTTTTTCGGATGCTTGCACCCTGTCTGTGATGGCTTTCACATCCTTCTTAATGGGAGTGAGTTCTGCCGCCAAGATTTTATGGACGTCCGACAGTAGTATTTTCAGGTCGTGCCTGGAGGTTGGAGTCATATCTGCTTGAGGTTCAGGCTGGGATTGGCGCTCTAATTGAGTGTCCAAGTAGGTCTCATGCTCCGGTTGCTCTGGATAGTGAGTGTGAATCATGGGGCGCAGGGTTTTCGCCTGAGTGGTTTTAGGCTGTGCAGGCCGTTGGAGCATAACCCCAATATCCCTGCTGTCTGCCGCTGGTTGTGGTTGCTGTGAGTGGTGGCCCATGGCTGGCATGTGGGCAGGCTGATCTGACCTAGTTGGGGAGGCACCTTCCCACGTTTGTCTCGCCGCTTTACTACTGAATATTGCCTCCAGGCCTAGAAGTGTCAGCGTGGGGTAGGCCCCGATTTTCCCCCTCCGCTGGGTGGAAGCCTCAAAGAATGGCATCTATCGCCTCAGGAGGAGTTAAGGAGTCTTGCTGGCAACTCTTTGGAGCTTGATTGGCATAGGGTAGTGAGATTTTCCTTGGATAGTAGGTTTTGCAGAGGAGCATGCAAGAATGGCATCTGTTCAGGTTGATGGCCAAACTCGGCCCCCTTTTTAGTGAGTAACTTTAGTGGAGTGGTGTTGAAATTTTTCTTTTTTAATTTAGTGCAAATCTTGTATTCAGTTGATTCACCGGTCGTGGGATATCAAGTCTGTCTATGTCTGCCCTCTAAAAATAATCGAAAGTAACAATAAAGGAAAAAATAAGAATGGAGTCGAAATGTAAGATAAAGCTAAATTGTACTTATAGAATATCAGATTCAGTGTGTAACAACTTCCCACGTGACCGGTTGTATTGTAGAATATTAGTACAGGAAGTATTGACAAAAAATGTCTTCCCCCAAACCTGCCAAACACAAGAAACCCCAAACTGTGTTTCATTTATTTAATATATCCATATTCTTTGCTCTAGTATCTCTGTGTTTATTTCCAGTTTATTATTGTTTGGAGAAGTATAGTATATATTTCTAATTTATTTATTTAAACTTATACTATTCATGTCAACGTTCATTCCTTTTTAATGTTGGTACATTTTTAAAATGTACTTTATTTTAACGGAGAAGTACATTAAACCCTTTACACCCAGTACACGTGTCCCACTAAAAAAGTTCATTTCCTTTACTCACAGACCATAACATGACATCTCATTTCTAGGCATTGTCACAATGTACATTGTGCATGAGAACAAGAACAATAAAGAGATTAAGCACAGCCTGCAGAGCTAAGAGCACCCCAAAATCTAACTCCCCATTTGTGTACTGGGTTAATGTATCTTCCCACTGGTTACTTGTGGGGCATTAACAGACTATTACCTCTACTCACATTCCTTGTATCTCACTCAACTCACCCTCCTGTCCTTCCACTCTCAAGCTTCCCCTCTCTCTCTCCCCAGCTTTCCCTCTCATACTCCCCTCTCTCCCCAGCTTTCCCTCTCATACTCCTCTCTCTCCCCAGCTTTCACTCTCATACTCCTCTCTCTCTCCCCCCAGCTTTCTCTCTCATATTCTCTCCCTAGCTTTCCCTCTCATATTCCTCTCCCTCTCCACGACTTTCCCTCTCATACTCCTCTCTCTCTCCCCCCAGCTTTCCCTCTCATACTCCTCTCTCTCTCCCCAGCTTTCCCTCTCATACTCCTCTCTCTCTCCCCAGCTTTCCCTCTCATACTCCTCTCTCTCCCCAGCTTTCCCTCTCATATTCCTCTCCACAGCTTTCCCTCTCCTCTCCTCTCTCTCCCAGCTTTCCCTCTCATACTCCTCTCTCTCTCTCCCCAGCTTTCCCTCTCATATTCCTCTCCCTCTCCCCAGCTTTCCCTCTCATACTCCTCTCTCTCTCCAGCTTTCCCTCTCATACTCCTCTCTCTTTCCCCAGCTTTCCCTGTCATATTCCTCTGTCCCCAGCTTCTTCTCTCATACTCTCTCTCTCCCCAGCTCCCCCTCTCATACTCCTCTCTCTCCCCAGCTTTCCCTGTCATATTCCTCTCTCTCCCCTGCTTTCCCTCTCATACTCCTCTCCCCAGCTTCCCCTCTCATATTCCTCTCTCCCCAGCTTTACCTCTCATAGTCCTCTCCCTCTCCCTAGCTTTCCCTCTCATACTCCTCTCTCCCCAGCTTCCCCTCTCATACTCCTCTCTCTCTGACAGCTTTCCCTGTCATATTCCTCTCTCTCCCCTGCTTTCCCTCTCATACTCCTCTCCCTCTCCCCAGATTTCCCTCTCATACTCCTCTCTCCCCAGCTTCCCCTCTCATATTCCTCTCTCTCCCCAGTTTTCCCTCTCATACTCCTCATTCTCTTCCCAGCTTTCCCTCTCATACTCCTCTCTCTCTCTCCAGCTTTCCC